TCCAGGCTGTTTACAGACACTGAAATGAAATAAAACTACCAACTCGACTGCTCGGTTGCACATGTCACATTTCAAGCCCTCAGTCGCCACACATGGCTTCTGGCTCTTGTAATGGACAGGTATCAACAGAGAAAGTTCTGGAGGGTGGTGCCCCCGCCCCCCCAGCTCACACATACAGATTTGTCCCATCTCTGTCTCCTCTAGCAGAACCTTCTTTTCCACCCTCAGCTCTGAAGTTCTTGGGTTAGTAAGCCATACCCCCACCCTCTCCTATACTCATTACCTTGCGGGCAAGCCAGTCTAGTTGGACCACTCCCCATCAAATCAGGAAGCCCAAACCCAGCACCTCCCATCCTAGCCTTACAAGGATGAGAACTTTCCCTCTCCTCACCATACCACAAGATGCATTGGTCTCGGGGATACCTCTCAAAAGAGAGAAGAGAAGGGCCTCTCTTACTCTTATCCTGATAAATCCGTGGGAGAATAAGCCATGGTTCATTGCTTTCCCCAGTTCTCAGGCTCGGCCACCCTCACTGCTCCTCTCATGGAATCTGTGATTCCAGCTGGACACATGTTCACAGAGCCCCTGGTCTGACCTCCTCAATGTGCATAAGAGGAAGCAGTCCCCAAGAAAGAGCAGGACCTGTCCAAGCCTACACAGCATCCATCTCAACCTTCAAGTGCCAAGGGAGTTGAGGAAACCATCAAGCAGGAACAAACTGTGTCAAGTCAAGCACTTATCCTGAGTCGGGCACTTTATAAATCCCATCAACTTACATAATTCCAACAGTTTCACTGCTAGGTTTAACTCAGACGCTGGCCTCTGAGAGGTGTCTGAGAGGTCACACAGATGGTAGGGGGAGAGCCAGGCTTCTCACTCAGGTAAGGCTGATTTGGCAACCTGACCTGCCATACATAGAGTAAATCCTGAGCTAGCAAGGCTGGAGGTGAACAATGAAAAGCAAGCAGGCCGAGGAGGTTTCAGACACGGCGTGCCTTTCACTGTCCAGTTCTGGTGGCCATTGCGACAGACATTGCAACTGTTCATCAGCATTCCAGTCTACCAAGCAAGCTCGCTCACTTGGAAGAAAAGCTTGTAAGGTTTTACTCTTAAGAATTATGTCCAAAGTTTACAGACTTTGTAACATGCAGTCCTCCCCCAGAATGTACCAATTTCACGTCCAACCACTATGCAAAGAGAACTTTGAGCAGCGGGTTGCAAAATTTTGAGATCAGGTTGCCAAGTTCAGCCGTTGCAATTCTCATTTTCCATTTCTGAGGTGGCTCCCGCCCTCTAGTGGATATGGAACGATTCTCAGCATAGCAGCAAACGGTTCAGGCGCAGGAAGTAGGTGCCTCGTTGCTTAGGAGCTGTTTATTTTGTGCTGGAGGAAATTTGTTTCTGGATATTCCTGTTTCCTTTTACAATAAGGCAGTGTGGTAAAAATAGGGTTGCATGTTTTTGTTGTTTGCAGGGTTTTTTGTGGTGTCGTTTTTGTTTTGTTTCTACACTGGGTAAAGGAGCCAACAATTTCCCATTGGAGTCCTTTCTGGTTTGACGAAAGAGTCTTAGATAACTAAATGCCATATTTTCTGTAGGGCTCAGTTTATTCTCTTAGCAAACTACCTCTAGGAGAATTGGGGGAAATTCATTGAGCTGGTCAGCATGTTGTCTGCCTGTGGGAGGCACCAACCAGTATTGTCACCCAGCTTGCTGTGTGCCTCAGTCCACTGGAAAGGTAGAATGAATGCCAAAGGCTCCTTCCCTGTCACTCCAAGTCTTGCTGCCTCTTGCAGCAAGGAGAGTGGGGATGCAGCCCCATCCTGCAGGCCCTTTCCCTGCCTGCTGTGGGGTGCTTTTCTCCTCTCAGGCTTCTCATCATATTATGTCCCTTTTAGGAACACAGTCTGTACTGCTGCTATGCTTGAGCTTGCACAGGGCAAACATCTAACATCCCCTCTACCTGGAAGGTGGGCAGTTACTGGCTTTTTAGTATAATGCTTTTGAAGAGCCTCTCTTTCAGATATCTGAAGATTTGCTTTTCTGTGTGTGTGTGTGTGTGTGTGTGTGTGTGTGCGCGCACGCGCGTGTGTCACACACATGCAGGTACTGGGGATTAGCTTTTTTTTTGCTCAAGGCTGGTGCTCTACTACTTGAGCCTTACCCACACTTTTGGCCTTTTGGCTGTTACTTGAAGATAAGAGTCTCAGACTCTCCTGCCCAGGCTGGCTTGGAACTACAATCCTCAGATCTGTCTCCTGAGGAGCTAGGGTTAGAGGCATAAACTGCAGGGACTCAGCTGCTTTCCAGCATTTTTGGCTCTTGTCAGACCTGGGAGCCCATTTGCACTGTGGAAGCGCACTCCAAGGTTGTACTTCCTGTAGAGCAGGTAATACTCTCAAACATCTGCACAAGGGCTGGCCCAGCAAGGCACAGCCCCAAACAGAGGCAGAAGAGCCACTGTTTGCCCTTCTTATAGGTAAGACGTTCAGAGAGTGACAAGTGCATTTTCTGATGTTGTACAGTTAGTCAGTTTGAAGGTAAGACAAACACCTCAAACCCTTCTTCCCAAGCCACTGGGCTTCTGATGAAAGATATACCCCACTTAACCTCTGAGACAGAACAGAGGCCAGGTAATAGTTCAGTGGTAGAGTGCCTGACGGGCAGGTACAAAGCCCTGAGTTTGATGCCTAGTGGTTTGATCCCTGAGTTTGATCCCTAGTTTGGGAGGAGGTATATCAGAAAATCAGGGTTCAGAGAAACATGCAATATTAGCAAAACTAGAAACCCCTGAACATACCCCAGATCATGGCAGAGGTCCTCAGTGACTCAGTCCTCTCCATTTTACTTTGTTTATATTTTTGTCTTCAACAAAATATATTACTTTATAGAAGTAATGCTTACTTTTTTTTAAAGAAAAAGTAAAACCATTACACTTGTCTGAAAATTAATGACCACACCCTACACAAACACAGAGTGCTCTCTCAAACCTGATGTTGAGTGGACGCATGCAACCACAAAGGAGTGTTTTTGTTGATGAAATATTCAGACTCAGTGACCAAACCAGTTGGTGGTGCTGGGAATCTGGGTAATGTTGGTCTGGGGCGGGGCCGGGAACCTGCTGCTCCTCGTCCACTTCCCCCCCTCACCTTCTGACAATTCATCCAATACTACATAGTAGGTAGTTGGTGGGGGAAGGAGGGTTTTTCCCCTGAGTATTCTGGTCCCCTAAGCAGGTACCCCTGTGGGCTCTGCCTAGTCCTAGCCCTGCAGGGGAAGGCTGGGTGAGATTATTGAGGTCAGTCATGTTACCCAACCATCCACCCCACAGCACCATGTCTTTGTCTCTATCGGTTCCTAAGCCTGAAAACACCAACTACCCCAGGGCAGGGGTTCAAGCAGAATGAATACAATACAGAGAACTGGTCACCGGGAAACTACCAGAAAAGCTGAGAAGCCAAAAGGCAGAGTGATGCTCCTACCACACCCCCTCGGGACAGGAGGGAGTATCAGAACCAGGAGAGTGCCGGCAGGAGGCTGCTGGGCAGGAAGTCCGGTGGCAAACAGGGCAGCCAGAATGAGCCAGAGCCAGGGAGAGACAGCCACCGCAGGCGATGGCCTCTTCTCATGGGCATGGAGCTATTCTGGCTTCTCTGCCTCTCATCTCCTCTGCTCCCATCACTGGTTCCCATTGATCATACTAACCAAAAAGTACCAATGAGGGAGGCCAGGAAACAGGACTTGCAGGAGGCTCCCAAGCCCAGGTCCTTCTAGTGGGGAAGAGGCTCCCTGGACCTCTCAGTAAGCATTCAACTAAACCTCCCTGCCTCACCTGCACGGCATCCTAAGTTCTCCACTGCTTTTCCAAAGACGACAGGTGACACGCGGGGGGGCCACACCCTAAGGTGACCCTTGGCACAAGTCTCTCTCCTTGGGCATGCGTGGAACACATGACTTCCTCTAGCCCAACGAATGGGCCAAAGGGAGATGGAACATCACACTGGTGATTAGGGTCCACCATGCAGGACTCCATCATAATGGACCCCAGTGAAAGACTCTGGCCTTGGAGAAGCCAACAGCCATCCCTTGAAATACCTATAGGAGCTACTGGGACCTGGGTGATCTTTTCCCAGCTCTAGCAGCTGTGAGGTACTCGTCATAAGGCTGGCTGCAAGAGGAACCTGCCTACAATCTGAATGGGCAAGGATGGGATTCTTTCACAGAAATCCAGACTGACTGCCTCTCAACTGTAGGACCGAGATACCCTGGGCACACAACCCAGTGAGGCTATGCCTGAATTTCTCAACTGTTAAGAGATAAGTGAGCGTGATTTCAGGCTGCTACATGCGGAATTTTGCTACACTGCGATGGAAGATGAACACACAGCCTTTCCAAACCAGCCAGTCTATTTAAAAAAACAGAATGGCCAGGTGCCTGTGGCTCCTGTCAATAATCCTAGCTACTTAGGAGGCTGAGATTGATGATTGCAATTCACAGCCAGCCTGGGCAGGAAAGTCCAGCAAAAAAGCTGGGAATGGAGCTGTGGCTCACATTGTAGAGCACCAGCCTTGAGCAAAATAGCTAAGGGACAGTGCTTAAGTCCTAAGTTCAAGTCCCAGTAATGGTACTCCCACCCCACAAAAAAAAGAATAGGGTGCTAAATATGTTAAGTTACACCAAGCCTGGTAATTGCATCCATCCCTTCTTACTTCTTGCTCTAAATGAGCCAAAGCAGCCAGGGATGATGATATTCTGTGTATCAAGTAGATCTGGGACATGAAGGAAATACTGGAGCTCTTGGTGGAAGTCTGTTGTTACCAAGGTGCTCTTAAAACACCCCAAGAAGCTAGATATGGTGTGCTTTGTGACCAAGAATGGCAAGTAGATGTATGACTCTGACACCTGCCATCCTTAAGAGCCACAAATGTGGGACTATGACCACGAGAGCAGGCAGGTGGACACTAGACAGCCCTCTCGACTGTCATTTTATTTCCTTTTAAGCAGATAGATGTCATATCTCATAGATTCTTCTGGAAACTATCAAGTTACTGGGAAGATGAACGCAAAACTCGCATAGATCGGGCTTCCCACAGTTTGGACTTTCAAGACCTGCAATGTAAAACAAAATACAGCAAAGGGGTCTTTGAGGGTGAGAACACAGTCAGAACCTCTAAAAGGGGAAGAGGAAGGCTACACCTCGAATCACTAGGGCAAGGTTTCTAAATAACTTAACATCTGAGGCATAAATACAAAATGAAGGCCCAAACCTCAAGAGTACAGCTTGGGAGGGGTCCTAGAGGAAGCAGGGCTGCATAGCCAGCGCGTGATCCAGGTGACGACCCTCCCCAGCTTTTCAAAGGAAGCCTCCTCCATGTTCCTATGTTCCCTCCCACCAGCAGCCCACCTCCCCCCAGCCCACAAAGGAAATTGCTACTGCAGACTTCCAGCATCGCCAGAAGCAACCTGGAAGATTGTATCCACAGAAACCCAGGCCCCTTCAGGGCGCATGCGGTCTCAGTCTGGCCAGTCTCCAAGCTAGATGCTTACAGCCCCTAGGTGATGCTGACAGAGCCAGCAGGACCCGCGAAGAGCTCTCTGCTCTACAGGACAGTCCCTGTCCCTTGTAGGCAGCAGAGGAGGCCCAGATGTCTTTGAATTCACATTCAAAGTCCTCCCTAGGCTTTCTGACCATTTCAGAATCACACCCGTAGAAGGTGCTGCTCCTGCCCAGATGCTGGCTGCACCCACCGAGTTGATCAGTCAGGGGAAGGCAGGTAGCCCCGGGCCAGGATTTCAGGGAAATAGACGGGCTAGGCATAGGTACCAGTGGATACCAGCACTGGTATCAAATGCACCCTCCTGAGTCGCCACACAAACAATTTAGGCTCTTTCCAGAAGGTTTCTCCTTAGCATTCTTTGGAACCATGCCCAAAGAAACTGAGAAGGCTCCTCTTTTAGATCACTAAAGATTGGAAGCCAGGGTTCCCTACGAAGAGGCCAGGGGAGAGAAAAAGCAAAGAAGAAAGGAAAGAGAGAAGAGCAGACAGAGGCAACAGGGAATGCTCACGTAGCTTTTGCAGCATTTTTTGTTGCACCGGAACTTCTGTGTGATCTGGTTGGTCTTGAACTGCTGCCATTTGCCCTCCACGAAGGTGAAGGCTCTGATCTGGTACGTGACGAGGCGCTCGGCCTTCACGCTGATGGTGATATACTCACAGAGAGCGAGGCACTCCAGGTCTGTGTGCTTCATTCTCTGTAAAGAGGATGATTTGTCTCAGTGGGCCATCTGCCACGTGGTCCAGTGACCGAGGAGACCAGAACAAGTGACACATGGCTTCTGAGACACACTCCTGTTTCACATGTGCAGAGAGCAACAAGGACCCTTCCCAGATGGTTTCCAAGAGCCACCATTGGTATTCCAGCCCTCACTAGACACAAGCTGCAGGCCGATGGGCTGCCTAGAGTTTAGCCAATCTGCAAAAAAACACTAACAAGCCAAGTGTCTATCATTTGGCTGGAATTAAAATGCCAACCTACACCAGCACATGATAAATCACACAGGATGTCCTCCAGGCGTTCACACACAGTGAGACCAAAGGAAGATTCTCTTAGGGGGGATCACAAAGGCCTCTGATCACATCAAATAATATTGATCACAATGAACTCCAGGAAGTGGAAACAAGAGTTTTTTCCCTTTGTTGTTATTTTTGTTTTCTTTTCTTTTTGCCTTGGTTGTTCACTGATCTGTCTTTGGGAGTGTAAGGGGGGAGACACAGAAATGGAGGGACAAAGGGTGAACAAATGCAGCAGAGGTACTTACTAGGCACTATATCAAAAATGAACTATATAACTTGTGGGTGGGGGCAGGAGGGAAAAAACTGGGAGAGAGAGAGATGGGGGGGAAGGAAGGGGGAGAGAAGGGATGACATTGTCCAAAAAGAAATGTATTCATTACCTGACTTACGTAACTGTAACCCCTCTGTCCATTACCTTTATAACAATAACAATAAAATAAAAATTAAGAGAACTACTCCAGCACAGTGTTCCCAGGGGCTTTGTGGTTGGTGGTTAAAATCCATCTCCTCCATCCAGTAACTTCATTGCACAGGGAGGCTGCCCAGGGGACTAGTGACTAAGAACCGCCACCCAAGGGAAAGGGACTTGTTCCAGGGAATATTAGAAGGTAGAGGCAAAGTTGAAACTAAAACTTGGGTTTCATCATTTGTTCGCTTATTAATTTTGTCCATCTCTTCCTTCCTTCACTTAGTCAAAGTTCCCCAACATTCTTGGTACGGTGGCCGGCAGTGGTAATAAACATATGAATACGATAAGGTTTTTCAAGAAGATTGCATTTAGAGAAGAGAGACTTCTCAACAGATCCTAAGTGTGATTTAGTAATCCTTCACCACAGTAGTAATCACCATCATCATCATCATCATCATCAAACTATCACCAACACACACAGGGTTGCCTGGGGTTGTAGCTCAGTGGTAGAGTGCATGTACTCTGCTGAGCCTCCCTGCGCTCCTGAGTTCCATCCCCAGAACCGAAACCAAAAAACAAACAGCAAAACAAACAAACAAAAACCCCTTCCGGTTATATGTGTTGAAACAGGACCTTGTCCCAAGCCCCTTGCACAAATCAGCACATTCAACCCACGGCAGGTCCTGTCACTTTCCGACTTAAAGACGGGAGGTACATGAGACCTGCCACGCTCACGTAGTTCACCAGGAAGTCCAGCTCTCTGCTCTTAATTGGCCCTCTTCTGCCCCTCCTAAGAGTCTGTAGGAGCACTGAGAAATCCTCCACCCTCCTGATGCTTCAGGCATCCACCTTCCACCTGGCTGAGCCCCTCCCCATCACCTCACCCCTTCTCCTGCTGTGGGCGCTCTGTGTGGCTTCCACGGAAGGATGACCATCTTCCAGGCTCCAGCCATCACTCACAAGCTGAGGATAGGCGGATTTCCAAGAGAAGGCTGGAATTCAACCCTGTCTTTATCAATAGAGGTCATGGGAAGCACAAAGTTGCTCAGGGTAGACAGCCCCATCTGTCTCCATGGCCACAACACACAATACGCAATGCTTACGCTACAGCCAACGTGGTTCTTTTTTTTGAAATTGTAAAGATGCTGTAGAGAGGAGTTACAGTTACATGAGTAACATAATGAGTACCTTTCTTGTTGAGCATTGTTACCCCCTTCTTTGTTTTTCTCCTACTATCCCTTCTCTCCCCCACCAACATGGTTCTTAGTTCTTGATGCACTGGTTATTATTAATCCAGTAGGAATGGATTGACTCTAAAGATGTACTTTGTCTGCATTCCATTCTTCTTACCTGCATGGAAAAGCTGTAAGAGGTTGCGTCATGTTTGATCCCCTTTATCTCAAAAAAGAATCCATATAGAGAAATTATCCTTGAGTAAGTGGTAAAATCCTACATTGGGAAAGAGAAACATCAAGGTGAAGGGAGAAATCTTCAGGATCGAAAGACGAGAGTACACAGCCAAACATACAAGCATATTCTAGCAATAACAAAGAGGAGGAACAACTCAGGTGACAACTGATTACTATTGTCACTACTCGGTGACTACTGACTGTTGGGATCCATTCCTTTGCCTGTTCCTTAGTGAGGAAGGAAGTGACTTGTGGGTGATGATTTGTGGTGTGTAGATCTCTGAAACCAAGCATTTGGTTCCAATCTCAGGGGCCCCAGAGACTCTCCCTACTCATGGTACTTGCAAGAAGTTCTAGAACTGGAAGTATGGTTCTAGTGGTGAAGCGGAGGCTGTGAATGAAGAAGCTCTGAGCTCAAGGCCCAGTGCCAGCACACAAAATAAAAAGGTCTTGGTCGTCTACCGTTTGCCCACTTTGGAGGGACTGACTGAGAGCATCTCTCAAATGGCACACTCAGAGCCTGGAGTCCCAGAAACATGAATTCTTTTGTGGGCCCTGCTGAGAGCCTTTTCAGGAGAGCAGCCATTCCATGGAGAACAGTGTCTCTCCCAGCAAACCCAAGACACAGCCCAGGCACCAGCTCCTGCCACTGCCCTGTGGCTGAGTGCCAAGGTACAGCAACCCACTGCTGCCTGATTCCAGGATCCAGAAGAATAGCTTCCCGACCAGGCACCAGTGGCTCATGCCTGTAATCCTAGCTATTCAGGAAGCTGAGATCTGAGGATCACAGTTCAAAGCCAGCCCAGGCAGGAAAAGTCTGTGAGACTCTTATCTCTAATAAACCACTCAGAAAACCGGAAGTGGCGCTGTGGCTCAAGTGGTAGAACACTCACCTTGAGCTAAAGAGCTGAGGGACAGTGCCCAGGCCCAGAGTTCGAGCCCCCCTACAGTCAAAAAAAAAAAAAAAAAAGGATGGCTTCCCAAGAATGAATTCACCCTTCAACATGGACTTGGAGTGGAGAACAGGGAAGATAAGACATCAGACTTTCCCCAGGCCTTTCCTGGTAGCCTCAAACCCCACGAATACCCTCTTCCATCCTGGGAAAATCAGAACAGTTGATCCCCCTAATTTGGGGCACATAGCTCAGATTGCTAAATGATGTGTCCCAGGCCCTTGTCTTGTGAACTTCATGACCTATGGGCACCCTGACCTCCCTCATAGAGGTCAGCCTGGTCACAGGCCATCCTACAAGTTTTAGAGGGAGAGCTCTTTCCCAGTGAGGGCCCAGATTTCAGTACCTTGTTAAAGATCATCCCGAATCTCATAGCCTGCGAGGAGAGTTCTCTCAAGTGGGCCATATCGCCCCCGTTCTCCAGCTGGAAGGGAAATGCACACAGCTGACCAGCACCCTCAGGCACCGAGAGGCATGCCTGTCACCATCTTCAAGCCAGGGCCTGGATCCCAGTCCCCGGCATCCTGGGAAGAGAGTTCTGTCTCCAGACTCCACATTCAGTGACTCATCTGATCTACAAGTATGTACTGAAAGCCTACTATGTGCTAGGTTTTGTTCTCAGTGCTTTCAGAGGATACACCAAAGATAGAAAGAAAACATGTCCAGATCTTCTCATGGGGAAATACAATGTGTACATCTGCATCTCGATCATGAGGCAAAGACAGAATTCGACCATTTCACCAAGAACAAGTTCCCACACGGCAGGCTCCACCCTGAGGGCCAGGGAAGGGAGAGCGGAGACTGGAGGGAATGACTCTGGGAGGGAGCAGACAAAAGGAAAGGCATGGGGAAGGTCAGAGGGCAGGAAGAGGGGGGCGGGACTTCCTGAGGTGTCAACCCAGTGAATGTTCTTCAGCTGTTCTATTGGAGTGCGGTTCTGAGCTGTGTCATGGAGTAGCATGAGTTGGTGGAGTTGTCATTGAACACGGAGAGAGCTGGAGCTTGGAGCTTTGGCTCACACATCACAATAAGGATTTGTGTAGCTGGCTGCATTTTAACTAGTGACTCACACATCATCAGAACTCGAACACTGCCCTGCTTTAGTTCTAAAAATGCACAATTGGAAATGCACAAAAAGTATGCCAGTGTGCATAAACAATTCACAAAGGGGACATGTGGGAATGCATGACCATATTTACTGGTAATAAAGGAAATACAGATTTTCAAATGAGATGCAATTGTTCCCTTCTTAATAAACAAAATGTGTTTTGAAATTAAAATGTCTAATGTTGCTGAGTATGTACAAAGGGACGAACGCTCATTTATATCTGGGGGAAGAGTAATTTGGCCCTGACATTTATTAATATGTATAAAAGAATAAAAGGAGCACAGTCCTTCTTTGAGCATTTCTATCTTGGGGAATCACCCATAAGAAAATTAAGTCAAATTATAGTAAAAATAAACCAAACCATTATGTGAAAATACATTCTTCACATGGCCAATTATAATAATAAATAGGAACACCACACATTTTCTGCAATAAAAGAATGACTAAGTATCATTGGCTGGATCACATACTCTTGGTGGGAAGGCTGTAACCATTAAAGGTGCATTTGATTGAGTACATTTTATATCTATATAGATATATCTATATAGATAGATAGATAGATAGATATTTAAAAAACTGAGCAGTAATAAATAGGAGTCCTTGGTTGGTTGATCTGAGAGTACTCATTTTCTTTCTTTTTATGTCTATGTATGTGGGACATTTTCAAGAAGTATGTTATGTTTGTGTCCTGTAAGGCCTTGGTTTGCAGGGTGGTGTGGTAGCGTGATCAAGTTCTTCCACCCCATGAAACTCTCTGGAGCAGAGGGGGCAAAGGCTCCGAACAGCAGGATCCTGGGGCTGGGCCTTCTCTACATCCTCACAGCTAGGTCCTGACCTCAGGGGCCCAGAGGTTCCAGTATGGAACACATCCCCAGCAAAAGCAAAGTCAGAGAGGAAGCAGAGTCAGAGAAGTGCTCCTGGTAGGGATGACTCACTGTGAAGTAGTGGTTGGCTGTCACCCGGACCAGCCAGGACTCCGGGAAGAAGTTAATGTGCCTTATTTCCTCCAGATCCCTGCCTGGGAGAAGCACAGAGGGAGAGAGCGTGTTTACGGCTTTATTCATCCCAGAGCTGCCAAGTAAGACTTGCCAAGTGTGGCTGAGGCGTTGAGGGAAAGGAGAGGGTTAGTTGATAAAATGGAAATGGATGCCTCAGCATCGCTGGGGTTGTACACAGGCTGTTTCTTTTATACTCCCAGTGCATTCATTTAAAAAAAAAAAACAACTCTCAGGGCTGGGAAGGTGGCTCAGTGGCAGAGCGCTTGCCTTGCATGCCTGAGGCCCTGGGTTCGATTCCTCAGCACCACATAAGCAAAAAGAAAAAAGCCGGATGTGGTGCTGTGGCTCAAGTGGTAGAGCGCTAGCCTTGAGCTGAAGAGCTGAGGGACAGTGCCCAGAGTTCAGGCCCCACGACTGGACCCAAAAAACAAATAAATAAAATAAAATAAAATAAAATACTCTCACTGCAAACAAACTGCCAAAGGAGAGGATGGATTCACTCCAAACTGGAGGGCATTTTCAACTTTAGTAGGAATTTTTTTGTGTCACCCATTAATGCATTGAAGTTTAACGTATTTTAGAAGAAATATATTCCTAATGAGCCCAAAGGAAAATGCTGTTGCCAAGTGAATAGTGGAGATGTACATTAAAGGAAAGACCAAATTCTAGCAGACTGAGATCTGAGGATCACGGTTTGAAGCCAGTCCAGGCAGAAATGTCCATGAGAGTTATCTCCAGTTAACCAGCAAAATGTTGGAAGTAGAGCAGTGGCTCAAGAGGTAGAATGCTAGCCTTGAGGGAAAAAACTTAAAGGACAGTGCCCAGGCCTTGAGTTCAAGTCCAGTATTCACACACACACACACACACACACACACACACACACACACACACACACAGCCCAAAACCCCCTTCAATGACCTCCAAGGTCAACTTCAACCAACTGACTACACTCTTCTAAGATACTTCTGTTCTCACAATATTATTTTTAAAAATACTGCAAGGAAAAAGGAAATGAGATGTTTGAACTGTCCATTGGTCCAGTTTAAATGCTCTTCTATTGTAACTTTTTCCCCAATACACTTCCTTACATCTCCATTCCCAAGACCCTAGGAATCCAAAAGATGTTTCTAAGTCACGGCCCATTTCCCTTTCCAACACACATACAAATGTCCACCTGGCTGGTAAGGGGATTCGAATGAGGTGATCAGTGCTGGTGGAGTCTAAAAGCCACTTGGACAAAACTGGTTCCATCAGCCATGCCTGGATTTATTATGTCTCATTAACATTGAAAGGTTCTCCCAGTTCCTTTTGGATACAGTCATCTCCCCGGGAGAGGTGCTCTGGATTGTCCAGAACACACTCTCCAATTTCTCGCCCTCTTCTAGCTGCAGGTGCCATTTCCCTGTGCCCAGCAAGGCTGAAATACAAGCCTATTGCTGGACACAGACCTAGAGCTTTGGGGTCAATTGAACAACTTGTCTCTTATCCCTATTCAGTTAGAGAATTTATCCCTGGTTTGTGCAGAATATGTTATGAAGCATCGTACTCTCTCATAGGAAATTATTCTGACATATTGGTAGGGGAGATGTTATAACATTATGTCCAAGTCAACTAGCATGCCACAAAGATTCAGCCAATAAACTATGGAGAGCTCCTCTCCTGGTCTTCTACTTTGCTTTACATTTGGTCCATTTTGGGTACACATGTCATGAGGAAGTGCAAAATGGAAGTTGAGACAGCCTGGGCAGACTGGAAATCAAAGAGAGCCTGGGTGTTACTATCCACAGCCCAGAAATTGGTGCAAAGGGTAGAACCAGCCTGAATTAGGCCTTGTAAAACAGGTGGTAAAGTTGGAGCAGAAATACTAAGGATTTCCAGAAACCAATACATGTTTGATGAACAGTATCTATAGTACTGAAGCTAATATTTTCCTTGATAGATGTCTTGAAAAAAAAATTGACCTTCAGGGACAAATAGTTCAACTGGTCCAGTGTGTCAACACTGCTAGGCAAATGATCCAGATGTGAATCCCATGCTCAGACCAGCCACCCAATCACAGAGCAAGAAAACAGCCTTCAGCAGCTCGGTAACCTATCCATCATCTTATTTCATGGCATCCCTGATTGTCCGCATTTTGCAGATGAGGAAACTGAGACCCAATGGTTATGTGCCTTTCCCAAAGTCACACAGCTCAGAAGTGACACAACTAGATTTCAGCTGATTTTTTTTGACAACTCCCAGTCAGGTTTCTGAGGAGCGGCTGAGGGCAGGGCAGGTCCCCAAGCGCTCCCACACACATGCCACCACGTCACTTACCGCTGGTGATGTTGTGCAGACGCAAGCAAAGGAAGAGCGGCATCCAGCCCTGTCCTATGTCGCGTTCCAGAAAGCAACACTTCCTGGGGAAGCTTTTCGGAGGCAAAAAGAAGAATAGAAACCTTCAGTAAACTGCTTTTGGGAACAAATGGAGTCTACTGCAGGCCATGTCAAAGAGGCTGGTCATTTCTCCATTAGAACCATGTGTACCTTGGTTCCCCTGGGCAGCACACAATCTGTGTGCCCAGGAGGTGCCCAACAAGTATGTATGGAATGACAGGCAGCATGGCAACAGGACCATGTTATCTATAGAGGATTTCAATCTATATTCTCTCCCCTGAGTTTCACAAACTTCCTGTGGGACAGACAGGGCAAAGACCGGCAGCTACCTTTTACAGAAGAAAACTGGAGGCTTGGTCAGTACTTCAGCCTGGGGCAGGTGACGCCTTCTTGTAGTGAGTGATGAAATTAGCCCCTTTAAGAGGACTTACTGGTAGAATTAGGAGGAAAAGAAGAGCGGCTGTGCAGAGTAACTCATTTCCGTGGCTGACTTCAGCTTCCATTCTATTACAGCCAGGGTCTATGGGAAATGCCCATTCATTACCACACAGGCAGCAGCTCAGGGCTAGCTGGCACTCCAAGTCCCCTAGAGGACATTCATATGCAGACACACATCCATCACTCTTGTTTTGAAATAATTGGCTTAAGAAAATGGTCATTTTTCCCAAATGGGACAATGGGGGATACTTTTTTCAAGTCTCTTTGGAAATACATGGTCACTCCCTCGGGGAAGATCTTGCATAAGACCAGCCAAGGGAACTTTTAGATTGCTTTTCCATGAACCAAAAGTCCAAATAACACCCTGTCCCAGCTGGACCCGACACACCCTTGGCTCTGAGCCCTGCCTGTGCTGGGGATCCTGCTGACCTGCACAGATTTGGGGGTTCCTGGGAATCTCCAGGAACTCTGATTCTCAGTGGTCCCAGGAACTAGATCTAGGGGTGCTGAGGAGGATGGGACACAAGACAAATGCATTCTGATTCAATTCAATGAGTATTTATTCATACATATACTTCCGTGTCTGTCAGATAGATAAATGCTTCCAGAATTGCAGGACTGTTATTCTTGGAACCAGCTCTCCATTACCTAAGATGTGTGGAGCTGGGGCTGCTGGTGTCCTAAGCACACAGGTGTTTTTGAGTGACAGTTAACATGGGTGTGCACCTGTTCTATTTACTGACTTGGAGGCTAGTTCCTTCTCTGCCTCTGTCACCATTTAATGGAAAAACAGCTGACGCCTCCATCATGGGCACTGTGGGTGTCGGGAAGGGGCCAGCCACTGCTCCCTCCTGGCCTTGCTAAGTGCCTATGGCTGGGGCTTCCCCGGCTGGGCTGTCCCCAAGCACTGAGTACCAGCTGGAGGTGGAGCTTCAAAACAGTCAGATGCACAGCAGTGTCAGGGCAGGGCTCAGGGATGTGTTTTCCCTCTGACTAGGCAGACACCAGGCCCCGGTTCCAATGCTCTGTGCTGCTGTAAGAACAGGAGGTCCCACGGCCTCCATCTTCCCATTGCGTGCCACTCAGACCTGAGGGACCACAAGCCAAGGCCTCTGTGGAGAAGCCGCTTGTCTGGGTGGATTTGGGAAGAGCTTTGATGAGAGACCTGGGGCACCACCGAAGGAAGTAGTGAGGATGTTCATCTCATGACTGACCTGGAAGAATCACAGGTAGCTCATTGACCAATGGAGCTGGAAGACACCAAGGTCCAGTTAGGGTCCAGCCACCCATCAAACACGACTGGGCCTCCCTGAGCTTCGATCTCCTTCGCTCTCAAATGGGAACAACAGCCACACGTGCCTCTTTTGGTAGATGGATGAAGTCAAGATGACAGTGTCTGGAAAGTGCTTGGCACCATTGCCTTCCTGTTCCGAAGTGAGCTGGGCCTCAGGCTGGTTGTGCAGTGATTCCATGGCATTTCTCATCACTACCACCTTCAAAGTCACCCAGGCCATGAGCTAACGCCAAGGAAGATGATGGTATTCTCAGCCTCTGTGTTTCTAAACTCTCAAAAGAGCCAAGAACAGGGCTCATCTCCTGGAGCCAGTCAGTATCACCCAGATCTGATCCTTTGCCCAGAGGAGGCCAGGCCCTCACGGGTCCAACCCCAGGCCTTTTCTATCACACCCGGTGTGTTCTGACTGTCTGGGTTCATTCAGAAGCCTCTGTGCCCTCCTGGCTGGAGGGTGAATGAGTGTGCCTGGTGTGACATAGAATAGGAAGAGGAGGGCTGCTGAGTCTGGAGGCTTCTGTGAATGGCTGTGTTGATGGAAACAAGGCCAGGCATAGTTTTCCTGGCACCAAGTTCTGCCTGGGAAAAGACCTCACGTGTTTTAGATTTATTTTTCTGCAACACACTTCCGGCTTCCTAAAGTTTCTGAGAAGCCCCAGGACATGGTTTCTCTAGGGAAGACAGATTAGTTCCTTGGTATTGCAAGACATTGCCAGATTGGTGCTGGGGCTGGCTCTCCATGCAAACTGCCTCCAAACCTCCAGAAAGACAGTGCCAGCCAGGAGCAAGTCTCTCTCTGAGGATGCACATGGCAGTTTTAAAGTGCCTTCAGGCCTTCCATCATCTTCCTTCCCATCGGTTACTCTCCCTGCTGAGTGTAAGATTCATGGCTCTGCTAGCCCAGCAGAAAATACCCCAGAATACCCTGGGGTATTCTGAAATGCACAAGAGCATAGGTGAACCTTTATGAAATAGGCCAAATACTGTATGATTCTACTCTATGAGGTGCTAGAATAATGATGTCAACAGAGACAGAAAGTGGCAGAGGCTACAGAGGAGGAAAAAAGGGACTTCCGTGAGTACAGTTTCAGCTTTAAAGGTAAAACGGGTGCATAACAAAGCGAATGCACTAATGACACTGATGTGTTTATAAAAATGGTTAAAATGCTAGATTCTGTGTACTGTATCTTTTACCATAAGAAAAAGAATGAAGGTCAAAAGTGTCTTTAGCTTACTTGAAACCTATCTGAAATAAATAATAAATAAATAAATAAATAATAAATGAAGTTGGAAAAACATATACACTTGGGGGCAATAGCTCACAGTAAGAGGAAAACATGGCTTTTTGTCAAAACATAACAGTGACAAAGACCTGGAGAGATGGACCTCTGGCTCTAAACCCCAAAGTGCCCTGAATGAAACAATCCCTCTGCGGCCAGCCCAGCTTCACCTCCCAATGTCTCCACTGCTCAGGCCATCCTACTCCTAGATACTACGCTGGTTCCTCTCCTTAGGTCAGAACATACCCACCCATCAGGTAAGACGTATGTATGGCAGCCTCCCCACAAAATGGTCAGGCTGCTGGCCAAAGTCTTAGCGGAGTAAGCGGCAGAGCTGGGATTCAGATCAGAACTGACCGCCTCCAACATGCGCCTCTTCTATGGTTTGTCTCTGCTGCCTGGATTCAGACTCTAGGAAGACAGAGATTTGTGTCTTGTGTCTGCTTTGTTGAGTCGTGCTTTTACTCAACGCCTCTGACTGTGCCTGGTCGTTCTCTTGCAGGCCGTTGGCTGTGTTGATTGAAAATCTGTACCCTCCCAACTTCCCAGCTTCAACCCCACCCTTCTGTCCCTCCATTCATCCACAGTTTATCTGCAAGGAATGCCAGCAATGCCAGCATTAGGTGGCCAGGCTACCCCAGGCCATATTTCCATGCCTATATGCCTCTGCTGTCACCACACTCATTTGTCAAACCAAGTCCTGTTGGTACCTTGTCAAGACCCAGTCCCATGTCCCCTCTGATGGTCAGGATGGCTCTGGTTCTTGAGTCTGGTCAGAAACTCACTAGCATCTTGCCTAATGACAGCTACAATCAGCATTAGGTACTCTTTGATGATTACCTACATCCAGATTCCTCCTGTGTTTCTGCACACTATTGTGGAAAATGTACTTTGCTGTCTCTCTGTATTCTGGAAAGCCAAGAAGCAATGCAGCAATGTGTGGGCGGGGGGAGGGTGAGGGGGGAGTAGAGAGCTATAAAGAACTAGAAATCAATCATATTTGCCATCTTGAGAACAAGGGAGATTCAAACTCCAGAGAGCCAAGCTGAAGGGAAACAGAGCCAGTGGCCAGAGCAAGGGAAGACAAAGTTCAGACAAGTCACGAAAGCTGCGTTCTGAGAAATCCTCTTGTCCTCAAATACACCAGCCTCTGAGCACAGGGCCGGGTGGAACAATTCTAAGAACAACTTGATGGCACCCATGTCCATGTGACTCAGGGGATTTTTAAATGAATCTTGCAGTAGAAAGATCAGCATTGCCACCCCCACCCCAGGGGAGCCTGGGCTCACGCATACTCTGTGGCTTCCTCTGCAAATGCCTTTCATGAATCACAAGGAGGTGTAGCTTCTGCCCACACCGGCATGGAGCATCTGGGGCTATTTCCCTGGAGAAATTAATGAACTGGGGGCCTGTGGGGCACAGGGCACGACCAGGCAGGTCTCTTAGGTGGTTCCATGAGCACAGTATGTGTGGGAAGGGTGGAGAAAGTGCTTGTTGGGTTATCAGGCTAGTATACACCCATGCAGCTGGCACAAGCTCTTGTTCTTTCTGCAGAAAAGAAGCACAGAGGAGGAATGTATCCAGAGTCTAGATGGGGATCCAGGAAAGCCCCCTGGAGCTATATTCGGTCATTTCTGTAAAGGCTGGATCCGATTTGGACAGGGCACAGGAAAGGTGAGATTTAGCTGAAGAGGCCAATGAAATCTAGAAAGGGGAGATCATTTCACTGCGTCTATCCATGACCTCTTTTCAGTGATCATCTGAGCAAGACACATTTGATAATAATCAATCTAAGAGCCAGAGATATAGATCTATTATGATTTGACCCAGCCCTAAAACCTCATAGTAAAATGATGTGTCAGGAGACCTGTGAGATTCATGTCGGTCTTGGCTCCACCACCGATTTTTCACAAAGGAGCCCTTATCAACCCAGGGCTTCTGCTAGAGTGCACAATGAAGAGGCAGGACCAGTTGATAATTGCTAAAGGACACTCAGCAGCAATCTCCTTTGATTTAGTGCAGTGACCAGTTTAAGAACTGAACATATCTTGTTATTATATAGCTTCTAAACCACTCTTCACTGTAATTCATGTTATCATAAGAAAAGTTTTACCCAGTTCCCTTGGAAATGGGAAGATCTTTCGCTGATCCCAATTACAATGTCGAGTTACACTTGACTATGAGTTGGCTTCTTCACCCTTCCAGAGGGGTTCACTCAGATCTAGCCCAGTCCCAGACACCAAAAAGAGGAGACATGGGGGTAAGAAGAATACAAGGCTGTTTTCCAATCTCCTGCAGATCCTGGGCATACACAAAGCTCCTGTAGAAGTGAAGGGCCAATCCTGGCCCTGGAAAGAGAGCGCCAGAAGAGGTGTAACATACACAGTGGTGCCCAAGCCTGGAGGGAGAAAGATGTCATCCAGCGTCAAATCCATGCACATAAGGACTGAAATCATCGCTGGCCCTGTGCATTTCCTGCAGAGCTCCACAGGCCTTGCAAACACAGCACCTGTGTCTATTTACTATCAATGGGCAAGACTAGAGTAGTTACCAAGCATTCCATGCAGAGTAGCTCCCAGCATTGAAGTGAAATATTTTAGAGGTTAAAATTCCTTCTACAGAACACTCAAAGCATCATGCATTCTCAGCTGTGAGGGAACAGCCGTTACCTGATGGAATTGGAGTGTAAAGTCTTTAAGACACAGTCCTGGCTTAGGGACAGATAAATCAATCACAGTGTATGTTTTAAATGAAGTACAAATCTTAAAGAGATGTGAATGGGATGGCAGAAGACCAGAGAATAAACACCCATGTTAGACCCTGGGGAAGGGTGGTAGTTGGAGGGTTTCCTTTGGGAGACCTTGCCACACATAGAAACATGAGAGATGATACCAGCAAGAGGCATTTAACACACCCCGTATGTCACTGATCAAGATGCATTATATTCATAATCTGCTTTGTTAAATGGCAACTCCTTTGTACAGCTACTTAATGATAATAAAGGTATTTTTTGGGGGGGGGGTCCGGTAGTGGGGCCTGAACTCTGGGCCTGGGCGCTGTCCCTCAGCTCTTCAGCTCAAGGCTAGCGCTCTACCACTTGAGCCACAGCACCACTTCCGGCTTTTTTCTTTTTCCTTATGTGGTGCTGAGGAATCGAACCCAGGGCCTCGAGCATGCAAGGCAAGCCCTCTACCACTGAGCCACCTTCCCAGCCCAATAAAGGTATTTTTTAAAGAACCCCATATCTCTGTTCAATAAGCAGATTGATCTATGCAAATTCACTATAAACCAAAATAAAATAAATTGTCATAGAACCCACTATTTTTTGAATAAATGATGATGGATTCCTACCTGAAGAGGTAGGAATCCCACTCCTCCTCCCATCCACCACATCAGGTAGAATGGATGGGTGAATGAATGATCCTTGTGGCCGTCTTTGCTTCTGCAACCATTCTTTCCAGGTCATCTCCCTGATCCTACCATACAGACAGGGGCAGCAGGTTCCTTGGCTGCCTTCCTTTCTCTACCTAGGTGCGTCCCTACTCCAGAAACAGCTGAAGAAATCCACCCCCACTGCCAACCTCCCACACCGTACACAGACACCACATGTGGAAGGTGTGAGAAAATGAAATGCATACCCCCAAAGCAGAAAGAAGCCTCAGAACCAATTACCTAAGTGCCCACACCTCAAGAAATTAGGAAAAAAATAGTAAATGATCCTCAAAGAAAGTAGATATAAGGAAATAGTGCAAAGGTTAGTAAAACAGGATATTTATGCATATACTTATATCCATAGGGATATATATATAAAATCAACAAAATGAAAAGGCTTTCTATCAAAATACAACTTATTTCAAAAAAAGGAATCAAAAGCTTTTTCATCAAAAGCCTTTCGGTTTTGTTAGAATAAACCAGTGCTAGGCATCATTAGCTCACACCTGTAATCCTAGCTACTTTGGAGGCTGAAATCTGAGGACTGTAGTTCGAAGCTAGCCTGGGTAGGATAATCGGAACATGGAGGCATGTCTCAAGGGGTAGAGTGCTAACCTTGAGCAAAAAAAGCTCAGGGACATGGCCTAGTAGAGTTCAAGCAATAAACTAACAATGTTGGTCAATGAATAAAAGAAAAGAAACATACAAGTTGCAAATATCACATAGGAAAAAGAGGCTACAAATTCCAAAGATATTAAAATACATTAAATATTTATGAAAGACTATTTTGGGCCATAATTCTCCGTAATTTAAAAGAATTAGAATTATAGAATGTCTCTGATAACAATGGAATTAAATTAGTGATAAATTACAAACATCCTTAACGGTTCAGAAAACAAACAACATAGTTCTGACTCATGACTCAAAGAAGAAATTTAAAGAGGAAAAATAGTATTTTGAACTGAATGATATTTAAAACAAAACACACCATAATTTGCGAGAATGCGGCTAAAGCAATACATAGAGGGAAATTCGTAGCATTGAACAAAGAATACAGGTTTTAAACCAGTGATTTACATTTCAAGTTTATGAAAGTAGAAAGAGAACAGTGAACCAGACATTTAAAAAAAGAGGGACATTGCTCCTAGTTAAAAAAAAAAAAAACTCATCAAACTAGAAACGAAAGGAACTTTTTCAGTCAAATAAAGGTATCTGTATTAAATCTGTGGTAAACATCCTACTAAGTGGTGATTAGGCTGGGCTGGTAAGATGCCTTGAATATCTGTAAGTGGGTCTCACAAGAAACACTGTAGGACTGGGGTTTACGAAATGGTCATGCACCATGCAGATTCAGGAAACAGGACAATCTCTGATGGCACTGCTGACATGCATGATAAGCTGAAGAGAAGCCAAGAGTTAATTTGGGACCCCTGGAAGGCTAGAGGCCCATGGCCTTCCATCTTCTGTGCAGTGAGCCACATACCTCAACATCTCTTCCTGCACTTCCCCTCCTGCTACTCCCCAAACCACTGCTCCAATGCATGGATCTGCGCTAGGTCATTTCCCATCTCCAGTGCCAAGATGAGCTGTCCCCAAGCAGCACTCCCTCCTGCAGCATGACTCATTGGAAGGAGTGTCTCTGGGCTATTAAAAGAGCAAGGCGGATGGGCTCACACATTTGGGTTCAGAGCAAATTATAGAGAAACTAAGCACAGCACACACAATTCTGGCCCTGAATACTGTTTTCTCCAAATAACAAGACAGAACCTAAGAGGGTTTTTATTAGTCAAGATGGTGCCAAGATGTTCCAGGAATGGATTGACTACTTCAGAACAATACAAATGAAACTTGGCTTTTTACCTAGTCACGCTGCTGAATAATGTGAAATATGTTTACCTGCTAAACTCATGTGTGCAAAAGAAGGGGAGTGGTTTTATTTCCGGAACGTTGAACATGTCCTGTCACTCCTGGAACCCCCATTCCTACTCTTGAGGAGAAGAGAAACAGGAATGCAGTGCGGAAGTTTACCCCACTAGCCCCTTTCCTCTCGAGAAGACACTCTGAGGGCCATCTACAGTCACTGGCTACAGCACCACCAAACTCCACAGCACCTTGGAGGTGTGGGTGTGATTTCACAAAGATTTAATGAAAGTGCAATGGGTCTTGTTTCAAAATACGTCCCCAAAGCCCATGTATGAAAAGCTCAGTCCTCAGCTTCTGATGCTACTGGGTGGTGGTGGAACCTTTAAGAGGCGGAGATTGAAACCCAGCCTCTCCTCCTTGTTTGCTTCCTGTCCACCTTGAAGTGACATTTTGCTACACCATCTGGTGGAGCCAGGCAACCACAGATTAAAACCTATTTGAGCCCAAATATATTTTCCTTTCTTAAAAGTTGACGGCCTCCATATTATGTCTCATCAGTGCAAAGTGACTAATAAAGGAAACTAAGGTGACACAAACTGAACACCAGCAGCCAGCGGGCTCACTCTTACCCGATGCTGCTCCCCCCACCACGGGACTGGACAAACTAACACACTCATAGACAGAAGGGGAAACGGGAAAGGGCAAGAGGGTGCCTCACAAAGCAGTTTGTACATATTTGGCTAATATAAACAGCAGCCTCGGGAGTTTTCCAAACCTTGTCGGGGGCCTTCTGCCAACCAACAAGGTAGGAACCACACTAGCTGCTGTAGTGTGGACAGCAAAGCATCTTGGGCTTTAACAGGTCTGAGATCAAGTCAAACTCCACCCCTTATCATGTGCATACTGTCTGCCAAGGTGTATCATCTCAATCTCACGTTCCTCCTCCCAAAATGGGAATGCTAAACCAGCTTCTTAGTAATGTGCAGCTAAACTGAAGTGGGGAACAGGATGTGCTAATTAGAGAGAAAGTACTTGGTGTTGCAGAGTTAAAGGGTGCCCAGTGGGAACAGGAGGGGGAATTGGGAGAGAGTAAGGGAAGGGGGGCATTGTCCAGAAAGAAATTGCTAGTATGTACTCACTCCCTGACTTATGTGACTGTAACTCCTTTGTACATCACCTTTATAATAACCATTTTTTCAAAAAGTGCCCAGTATTGTCACAGTAACTGTGATTTTTTTCCACTTGGTGAGACATATGGATTTTCAATCTTTTAAATTTAGGCAGAATAGGGAACCAGCTCAATATTACAAAACATCTACAAATTCAAATGCTTTTTTTATCTGCCCCAAGGCCCCGCATTTCTATACGCCATCTAGAGTAATAGAAACAAGAATACCTGGTCTCACTTAGGAACTTTTAAGGCCTCTGTAGAATGGTAATATTCTTCAACAAGAGCATATCTTGCACGTCCAGCCTATTGCTAGACATAGGAGTTCCAAGAATCTCAACCTGTAACACCTGCCTGTTATTTACACTTCTAAAAGTAGTCTGGTGGTCTGAAGACATCCCATAATGTTAGGCCTCCTAAGGAAGCTGCACTTTACATCTTGTGGAAGGTGTTATGAACATTATATCACATTATATCAGTGATAGAATGATATTATAAGACAAAAAACATCCTACAGGACAGACATTTTATCAATTAACACGAAGTCATATTACCTGTTGAAAAATGTCAGCATAGTTTCATAAACTGGAATTGTCTGAATCTTGGTGTGTAGTTGCAAGTAGACCCACATAAGTAAAGTTTTCAGAAGATCAAATTCGCTAAAGGTAAACAACCTGGTCAAAATGAAAGATGGAGAAGGAACATTAGGAATAACCACCGCCGCAGCAAAGCCATTTGTAGGGAAATGAAGCTACAAGTGAGTCTGGTGACGGAGGTAATGCCAGCTCTGAGTTTGCAGGTAGTGTCACACACAGAGAAACCAGAAAGTTAGTTCATGGTCACTTGACTGGCAAGAGCTGGGACTTGAACTTCAGCACTGTGGCTCTGGACCCTGAGCTTTCAGACACCCTCTGTGTGACGACAGAAAACAATGTCTGCATTTTGCAAGCTCTTATTGTCAGTGTTCCCCAAACATTTTATACAGATTTTCAACTCCACACTACTACTCAGTGAAGTTGAGATACCAACTTGCTTCTGTAGACGTGGAAACTGAATGACCCTGTGGTTTATTTAAATATTTAATACTGTGTTCATTCTAAAAAAATTTTTTTGCCAGTCCTGTGGCATGAACTCAGGGCTTGGGCGCTGTCCCTGAGCCTCTTTGTGCTCAAGGCTAGCGCTCTACCATGTGAGCCTCAGCACCACTTCCGGTCTGAGTAGTTTATTGGAGATATGAATCTTATGGGGACTTTCCTGCCCAGGCTGGCTTCAAACTGCGATCCTCAGATCTCAACCTCTGGAGTAGCTAGGATTATAGGCGTGAGCCACTGGCACCCGGCTCATCCTAGATTTTTTTTATATCAATTTTGATTTTTAAATATGCCTCAAAATATACTTTATGTTGATGACTGAGATTTTTCGCCCAAAGTGAGCACCTGGCTGAGAGTATGAATTATTAATCCCAGGTCACATGATGCCGGGCTCAGACTCGGGCCTGCTGGAACCTCTGGAGTGTTGCTCACCTGCCCTATAGCTGTGATTTTCTCAGCTGTGAAAGAGCAGTGATGGCAGTGCTCAGGAGACACTGATGAAGAGCAGAGGAGGTGACTCATTCTATGCGTTCCCAACTGCTGCCTCAACCAACTGTCACAAAGGGGCTTCAGACACCATCAGTTTTTTCTGTCACAGGTCTGGAGGTCGGAAGTGTGAAGCGGCTCTCACTTGGCTCCTCTGGAGCAGGACTGGCAGGGCTGATTCCTTCTGTAGACTCTAGGGAGAACGGCAGCTCCACTTTCCCCTACATCTCGAAGGCACCTTCATTCCTTGGCTTGTGGCCCCTTCCTGGATTGTACAGCTAGCCGTACAGCATCTTCCAGGCTAGTCTTCCTCTTCTGAATCTCTCAGAACATGTAAAGGACCCTGCCATTATACCGGGCTCACCCAGATAATCTAGGGTAACATCCTGTTTTGAAGTCAGCTGCTTCCTCACCTCCATTCCATCTGCAACTCCAGTTCCCTTTTGCCAAAGAACTGAACCTATTCATAAAGAACCGAACCTCTGGAGATCTGGATGTGCATACCTTTGAGGTCACTATTCTGCAGACATTTCCCCGCCCTCCCCCCCCCCCCCCCCACACACACAGTGCTTAGCCCAGCGCCTGGACATTCTATCATTCAGCTAATGGCAGCTCTTACCCAAAGTGGGTGTTGGCTCCAGAGTGCACACTGTGACCCCAGCAGCAAGAGGCCTCTCCCCAAGCACACACAATGCCAGTCACTGCAAAGCTAGGACAAGCAGCCCCTCCCAGAGCTTCTCCAGACTCGGTTATCTAAGAAAGCGATTACAGCGTTTCCCAAACCCAGGGATATTTTTAGTCCCTGACCGTGACGTGGCACCCTGGTTTACAAAATTTGTCACAGCCACTTCCTAGGAGGTGGGTAAGGTCATGGCAGTGGACCCCCAAGCCGAGTCATAACACTAAAGGGCAATGGAAATGTCACCGTGCACCTCTCTCGTTATTTCTGGATGCAGTACAACTGTCTTGTTTGTTTCTCTTATTTGGTTTTCAGGCTACCTGCAGAAGCCTGGGATTTGAATCCGGCTAGATGGGACCAAGTCGGTCACTGTCTGAGCCAAAACAAGGAGGCAGGATAAGGAGAAGATCCACAGAGCTGCTTCGCAGAGCTGCTGGGTGCCATGTCCCCGCAAAGAACTTTGTCAACTGGGTCGGGAAAGCTGAGTGAGTTTCCAGAGCGTATTCTACATGAGGTCCAGCAGCTCAGAAGGCTTCTACCTGACCGAGCAGAGGCTGGCAGCTACAGGGGGAACATTGGGGCTCCACGGTGGTTTTATTTATGGACAATTACTAAAAGAAAGTGCTGTGCCTTCAAGCCAATATCAGTGCTCCAAGGTACTAGTTCCTGCAGAAGGACAGGCACACACGTTTCCATGAGCCTCCAACTCTGATAGCCTCCATCAAGACAGAACTCACAACCAGTGACATCCCTGCAGCAATAACCCTGCCAGAACGTCACACACATTGTCATGAATTCAGAGCTCTGAAGATCTCCATCAGTGCATAGCCAGCCACTGCCAACCCCGCCCCACCCCACCCCAGCACAGGAGGGAGGTCAGGCTGCACCAGGCATGCTCCCCAGTGCCCCCTGGTGGCACCGCAGTGTAACTGCTGCTTGCTTTTTCCAAGAAAAGAAATGTTCTTTCTATTGCATTACTAGAGAAAATGGTACACCCACAATAAACCTCCTTTCTGAAGGCAGAGAGCCACACCCAACAGAATGGGCTGTGAACAAGGTCCCATTGCCGCTGTATGTGTCATAGGAGAAACCAAATAAAACCAAAGGCCTTCTTGAAAGAGATAGGAAAATGATGCTGTGTACTTCCTCCACAGAACCCTATGCAACCACTACAAGAAAAAATTGCAAATCAGGTACATCAGCATCAACCTGCTGAGAACACAAAGCGCGGCCTTGGTGAATGGGCTGCAAAAGATGGCCTTGGCGATGTTGGGCTGGACTTTAAGCCTCTGCAAAACGGCAGAATCACTGTTTACAGATGCACATGGATGCACAGTAATAAGCATTCAGTTGGGTTGATTCACACCAAGTCCCAAAGAGGTTTGCCGGTCTTTTCTTCAAAGAGTGAGTAGGATGGGTATGGGAACACTGCTTTACTGATAATATTTGAGTATTTGCTTTCTTTGTTTGGTTTTTTAATTTAAATTTATTGTCAAGGTGATGTACAGAGGGGTTACGGTTGCATATGTAAGGTAATGAGTACACTTCTTGTCAACCATTGTTACCCCCTCCCTCACGTTCTCCCATGTTTTCTTCCCTCCAACTCCCTCCCACTGCAAGTTGTAAAGTCCATTGCCAACATATTGTCTTGTGAGTATTGCTGTGGCATTGGCTCTCCTTTGGTCCCATGTCTCACCAGATTTCTTAATGTGTGACAAGTTGTTATTTGGGGAGATGAATACATTTGTGTTTTACATAATCCTTTCTACAATTATTTTACATCTTTTTTTTTTTTTTTTGGTCGGTCGTGGGGCTTGAACTCTGGGCCTGAGCACTGTCCCTGTGCTCTTCAGTTCAAGGCAAGTGCTCTACTGCTTGAGCCACAGTGCCACTTCCGGTTTTCGAGTAGTTTATTGGAGATAAGAGTCTCACGGACTTTCCTACCCAGGCTGGCTTTGAACCTCAATCCTCAGATCTCAGCCTCCTGAGTAGCTAGGATTACAGGCATGAGCCACCAGTGCCCGGCTTCTACTTTTATTAAAAAAAAATTTTTTTGTGCCAGTCTTGGGGCTTGAACTCTGGGCCCAGGTACTGTCTCTTGAGTTATTTTACTCAAGGATAACACTCCACCACTTGAGTCACAGCTCCACTTCTGGGTATTTTAGCAGTTTAATGGAGATAAGAATCTCATCTGCCTGGGCTGGCTTTGAACTGTGACCCTCAGATCACAGCCTCCTGAGTAGCTAAGAGCCACCAGCACCCAGCTATAAATTGTTCTTCTGAGGCAAAACAGTAACATCCATATCTTTATGCTTCTTGACCCTCATTAAGGAAAAAGGAGGCCATGTGCCCTGTACCCCAGCAGGCTGAGGCCATTCTGACCTGGCCTCAAATCCCAAGACTTCTGCTTGCAGGGGGGTGCCCTTGGCTAAGCCCTCTATTTCCTATAGTCTCCCTTTCATAGGAAAGGGAAAAGTGCAGGCAACAGAGCCGACCCCTCTGGGTTGCCATGGGGACGAGGGGTCCAGGAGAGGCCACTTCAGGGCTCCATACAAGTGCTCAGCAATTGGTAGGTGTGGTTCTTGTCCGTGGAGAGTCTCTGCTTCAGGAATTACATCATTGAGATAGGTGTCCCCTGAGGGTTGGAGGGCGGGGCTTGCTGTCACACACTGCAGGGACAGCTGGGAGAGGCGTGATAAGGACCCTAGGGATTCCTGAGCTGCCAAGACTCCTTGGATCACAAAGGACGTTGAGGTGCAGGGTGCAGAGACAAGGGTCCCTGGTTTCATGGCTGACTTTTGTGCACATGGGAACCAGAGAGTTCTCTCGAGGTCTCTCTTCCTCCTCTAAGTCCAAAAGCAGCCTGGCTTCCAGGAAAACAGAACTCGGAGTGAACTTGTCACCCATTAGTTACGAGAACAGGGTAACCTGGTGGTGACCTCGATGGACAAAAATTAACTGCAAACCAAATGCCTAAGTAAATAAAGCCGAAGACCCAGGAGGTCAGAAACACTGTCTACTCGTGTAGGTGTGTTGTCTCTGGTTGTTTACAAAATGGAAAGTCAATTCCAGACACAGATGAGGTCAAAGGGCCTAGAGATGGGAGAGGTTGCCCCGGGCAGACAGGGAAGCATCTGCTAAGAAGACAGTGTTCCCAATACCCACAGCCCCCAGCTGGGAGTCAGGTGACAGCAAAGTGGGGTCATTGCCATGCTTCCCACTCCCGGGGCCACCTCAGTCTCCACCATGAACAACGAGGGCTTAGGGTCTCAGGTAGAGGAGGGCCTCTGTGGCCAGGGAGAGCCCTGTGGCACACTTCCTTAGCCTCTGATCTCAGGGTAACAACTTGTGCTTACAGTGTAGAGTTGTGTGGACTGAAAGGGACATTCACCAAAAAGTGCTCAGTGACCATTTGCTGGAGGAATGGCTCCTTCGCTCTTTTTTTTCTTTTCTTTTCTTTTCTTTTTGTGTGCCAGTACTGGGGCTTGAACTCAGGGACTCATGCTTTTGTTTTTGGTATTGGTTGTTCCCACCCCACCCCCGCCCCCCCAAACAAGGCTGGTACTCTAACACTTGATCAATGTCTCCACTTTGGGCTCTTGGAAATAAGTCTCACGGATTTGTCTGGCCAGGAAACCTTTGAACTTTGACCATCAGAACTGAGTAGCTGGGAACACAGGTGTGAGCTGCCAGCGCTGGGTGAGAAGTTCATTTTTTTGTTCCCATGTGAACAGTGGTGCCAGCTGCATCAGCCAGAAGCCTGGGCCTCTCCGCAGGTGCTGGTTACATTTCCAGCAGGTGCCCTCTGCCTACATCCCCTGCCTCCCCCCTCCTGCAGACTGGGAAGTGGGTGGCCATGGGCTCCCATCAGCCTCCCGCCCCCATGCCAGGGCACTGGGCCCATGGCACAGCCATGGGAAGAGGCCATGTGGGGCAGTTCCATCCTGGAGGATGACAGCCAGAGTGCGCGTGCAGATGCGTCCTGAGGGACAGGACTCTGCTCCTGCCTGGGTCATGACTGCCAGGCTGGGGAGTCTAGACACCGGACACGTAATTCCTTGACGCAGGCTGCTGCCCAGTGAATGTTTTTGTCAAGGCCTGTGCCATCACCCATGCCCTGATTGTGGCCAGATGTTTTTATTTTCTCTCTCTCCCTTTTTGGTTACATGCTACCAGGGTAGGACAGCTCAGCCTTTCCAGGGAAGGAATGGTGTTAGGAAAAGGCTAAGAGAAGCCATGTTTATCTGTTCTTCACCATCGTGACCTTTGAGCTGTAGGGGGGGGGGCAGAAGGTGGGGGCCCGTGACCCAGTGGCTGGGAACCCTGGGCTGCCCTGAGCTGAGCTGGGTTCCTGGGATGACCTTAGATCTCGCATAGATGGTACAAAGGTAACGCTGGGGCTGCACCTGCCCAGCACTGGGCCTGGGGCAGGCCAAGCTCACCTCTGTCACTGCATGCTCCCTGGTCACCAAAGCTCACCACTCAGGGCAGTGATGTGGCCCAGAGTAAACCTCTCTAGATTGACTTGTAAAATCAGGATGCTTTCCACCATAAACACATAAGGAAACACTTATTTTCTAACAAATTACCAAGACCTTGAGTAGAATTTGGTTTCCACTTTTGAAATTCACCCTCTTCCTGAGATCCTATCCAAGGGGAATATAAGCTTGGTATCAAGAGCCACTGAAGAAAAGTCCCAAGGATACTTCACCCACCAGGTACACTGTATAATGCTAAACACATAGAGGACAGTACTGGATGAATGGTATCAAAATAATGAGACAGTCACAGCCAATTTCAACTTCAATGATAGTCAAGTGATACCCAGAGGGCTTCCCAGAGTCTAGCCTGAGCAGCCCGCCAAGGGTTCAGGAACTCCAGGGCTGAGGGAGGTTAAGGGGAGAGGTGCTGGGAACTGGGCTTAGCCGTAATTGTCAGAGGCCAAGCAGGAATAGGATCTCTGGTACAAAACTATTCCCCAGCAGAGTAGGGCTGGAGCTAGAAATTAGTGAGAGGTTTTCTCTTTTTCTACCTTCCTGTTGTCCAAATTTTCCACAATGAATATGCATTATTGTCAAAACGCGCGTGTGCGTGTGCATAGGTACTAGGGCTTGAACTCAGGGCCTGGGTGCTGTCCCTGAGCTTTTTTGGTCAAATCTAGCACTCTACCACTTTGAGCCGCAGCACCACTTCTGGTTTTCTAGTGGCAATTAGAGACAGGAATCTCAAGGACTTTCCTGCCTAGACTGGCTTTGAATTGCCATCCTCAGATCTCAGACTCCTGAGTAGCTAGGAATGCAGATGTGAGCCACCAGTGCCCAGCTGTTGTCAAGATTCTTTTCTAAATTACTTAGACAATAGTCTCCATTCCCTTACCAGGCAGGCAAGGAGACCTCTGGCCCAGGGGCCACACAAAGGGGTCTCCCTGCTCCCTGTCCCATACTCAGCACCCTAAGCGTGGCTGACACCGAGGCCTGACTATCCAGGAGGACAGGATGTTTGGCATCAAGGATAAAGTGGGCATTTCCCATCTCCTCCCCTCTTCTCCTGCCACTCCCTCCCTTCCTTTCCCCCCTCCCCCTCCCGCCCACACACACTGCTTCCTCCTACGCCCACCACCCCAGTGCAGTGTCCCAGGAACCAGCTCTGACCTGGGGGACTTCAACACCTTGAGGAGCAGATCCTGAGGGACCTGTCGAAGGTAAATCTGTGTCCCCATCAGAGGGACCAAGTTCATTTCCAGCCACTTCTCGCAGGCAATGGTGAGCTGCTCTTCCTTGTACTGAGAAGGCAAAAAACAAGGCTGGATGAAGGGTGCCCAGCGCCCTCTTCTGGCTAGCAGTGACATTACATACACTCTCAGTAACATGACACACTCACAGGCCCAAACCTTTCCAACAAAATAGGCAGTTTATATAGGAGGCAAGAGGGAGGAAGGGTTGCCTGGATTCTCTCTGTGAGGTGGGCTGCCTATTGCCACTATTACACCAAGGGTACAAGGTTCCTGTTTTTCCTGAGGTTACACACTAGTGTGTGGCTGAGCTGAATGCAAACTCAGGTGGCCTGAAATCCTTGGGCTGATGAGAGGAGGCTGGAGAACTCATGCAGGATTCAGAGGCTGCTCTGTGCATCATTAGAAGCAAAAATTAAAAGGCAGAGCCTGGTGCCAGGGGCTCACACCTGCAATCCTAGCTTCTCAAGAGGCTGAGGCCTCTTAAGGATCTGCAATCAGAGGATTGTGGTTTGAAGCCAGCCCAGGCAATAAAGCTCTTGCAATTCTTTTTTTTTGGGGGGGGGGTCTGGTCATGGGGCCTGAACTCTGGGCCTGGGCACTGTCCCTCAGCTCTTCAGCTCAAGGCTAGCGCTCTACCACTTGAGCCACATTGCCACTTCCGGCTCTTTTCTTTTTGCTTATGTGGTGCTGAGGAATCGAACCCAGGGCCTCAGGCATGCAAGGCAAGCGCTCTACCACTGAGCCACCTTCCCAGCCCCAGCTCTTGCAATTCTTAATTCCAATTGATCAGCAAAAAGCCAGAAGCGGGGCTGTGGTTCAGGTGGTTGAGCACCATCCTTGAGTAAAAAAGCTAAGAGACAGTGCCCTGGCCACAGTACAGGTATGAAAGAAAGGAAAAAAGAAAAACAGAGAAAGGAGAAAGTGGGGAGGGAGAGAGAGACAGAGACAGAGAGACAGAAACAGAGAGAGGTTCCCAGGTGCCAGAGTGTTAGACTATCCACTTTGCATGAACTCAGGACCCTGGGTCCCGCAGCTGGACTGGAATGCAGAGATGGTACCCAGTGCTCTCTAACGCCATGGAGTCAAGGTGAGGACCACAAGCGATGTGTGAGTAGATATTTAGAACATTCTTCCATGTGGCTCTAAGGGGGCTATGATGTGCTGGCTATGCCACAGTGGAGACTCTGGGTCTGTGTCCATGGACGGTGGCCACAGGGAAAGTGGAAGGAGACGTGGGACTCAGGACTGCCCCCTTGTGGCTGGTCAGCTGGGGCAGTTCAATTCCCCATTTTCTCTTCTGATAACAACAGCTGCATTGTGTCATTTGTTCCCAACACAGATACTCGGACTAGACCCAGTGGGACAACGTGTCCTAGCTCTAGAAAGAATATACTGCAAGGCTTTTTGCTATTTCAGTGAGAAGATCAGGCTCTCCATCCCCCTCTCCATCCCAAGATGAAGCCTTCCTATTTTTTTTTTTTTTTTGCTACTCACCATTCCTTTAAAAATAGATTATAAAGCCAGGTGCTTATGGCACATGCTTGTAATCTTAGCCGCTCACAAGACTGAGATCTAGGGGTTGGGAAGGTGGCTCAGGGGTAGAGTGCTTGCCTTGCATGCATGAGTCCCTGGGTTTGATTCCTCAGCACCACATAAGCAGAAAAAAGTCGGAAGTGGCGCTGTGACTCAAGTGGTAGAGTGCTAGCCTTGAGCCGAAGAGCTGAGGGACAGTGCCCAGAGTTCAGGTCCATGACCAACCAGAAAAAAAAAAAAAAGACTGAGATCTAAGGATCATCCTGGGCAGGAAAGTCCATGAGACTCATCTCCAATTAACCGCCAATAAGGCCGGATGGGGCTGTGGCTCCAATGGTAGAGTACTAGCTTTGAGCACAAAAGCTCAGAGACAGTGCCAGGCATTAAGGTCAAGCCGTAGGACTGGCATAAAACATAAATAAATGGATATAAATTTAAAAAATGTTTAAATGAAAGTTTAAAAAGAAAACAAATGTGTTCACATATTTCTAACCTTGGTTATTACCTTTGAATAGATTTTTTTGGAGCTAAGCCTAAGTGAAACCCTGGAGTTCAGGCTGCCTTTGAAGTCCCATCACCCCAAGAGCCCAGGTCCTGTGAGGGACTCTTACCTTACAGCCAGCCAGGTAGAAGGCCTTTAGAGTACTTGGCGAGAGTTCGTTCATCATCATGGTCACACACCTGCAGGAAGAAGATTGCTGATCCTGCGGAAGCCCAGGTTGCTGTCAGAGAAGTGGGGTGGGGGGGCAGGGGGAGACCCAGGGACTTCCTTTAACTCCAGGATGGCACCAGAGAGCTCACAAAAAGGGAATCTTGTTTTAGGGCAAAGGAAAAAACCAGAATGCCTTTACAAAGAGCTACCAGCTCTTCAGAGGACAGCCAAGTAGCCCCTGTCTATTATTGCTCTGTGTCAAAGGGCATAAAGCTGCCCTACTGAGGCTTATTCATAGCCAACATGGCCATAGGTACCTTCCTGCCAAAGGAGTGTCAATGGATCTCAAAAGCAACTTTTTTGATGAAAATCTTAGTTCTTTCCAATGACTATGCCTTATCGGTCTGGCTTACTTAGTCATGGAGGATCTGTTTACTGAGCATGCACCATGTTCCAAGCACCAGGGAGGACTTCACTGTGCAAACAACAAAGCTGACAGCCCAGTGGGTAGACACACAGGGAGACAGTTATTAGGGTAAAGCTTCAGACAGATTGCTATATTATTACAACTGTATTAAGGACATGAAGATATTGATTATTATAGGTCTTGGGGTAATTTGAAGATGGTGGCCCTTTTAATACCAATATTTGCTATCTCCCAATTATCCATTTTCCTTTGATCAATTGAAAGCTCAAAGCTGAATGTCTGGCTGAGTGTAGGTTGCTACAGTATACATGTTTTAGTTTCTCTATTCTTGTTTTTCTTTCTCCTTGGTTAAAAAAAAAGAAATGATACCGTTTTATGTATTGGTTTAGCCACTTAAAACCTGTACTAGCTGGACACTGATGCCTCACACCTACAATTCTAGAGGTCAAGATCCATAGGATCATGCTTTGAAACCAGATTGGGCAGCAAAGTCTATAAGACTCCATCTTCCATTAACCAGCAAAAAGCCAAGCTGGAGGCATGGCTCAAATGGTAAAGCACCAGCTGAGCTAGCAAGTTAAGCAAGCTTGAAGTCCTGAGTTCAAACTCTATAAGTGCAAGGCAGGAATAAGAAACAAAAAATGAGGAAGTAACTGGTTACCTGGTCATGACAAAGCACTCTGTACCCCTGGATTCCGAGTGGGTGCATGATGCCGATGAGGAGGTGTGGTCCTGAGGTCAGGGGGGGCTCGTGCACTGAGTCTGCGCTAGGCCCTGCTGTCATCTTGTGAGCTCCTTGGCTTACAATGGGCGAGCCCATCCATTCTCATCTTCCTGTCTCCTTGACCCACCTCTCCCCTCCTACTTCCTAATTCAAGCCCTGTGCGTCCCCAGTTGTCTTGGCTGAAGACTCCCAACAGGGGGCCTCCCTGCCTCCACGGCTTCCTTCACACTGTGAAGGGGGTCCTGACTAGGGTCAACAGGGGTTCGGACCCTTCCCCTCCAAGCTTCATGCTTGCCCTTGACTGAACCAACTGGAAGCTATCCAAGGTCCTCCTCGCGGGCCCCTCCCTCTTCCACTCTGGCTGCAAAGGCTGAGATCCAGCTGTGACTCCAGCCCACTGGGCATTTTTTTTTTTTTTTGGTGGGGGAAATAGTACCATGGTTTGAAGTCAGGACTTCATGCATGCTAGGCAGGCACTTTACCTATTGAACCATGCCCCCAGACCTTTTTGCTGCAGTTATTTCTCAAATAGGATCTTCTGTTGTTGTTTGGGGTGACCTGAACCATGATCTTGCTTCTTACACTTCCTGAAAAGTAGGGATGTCAGGCACATGCTACCACATCCCGGTTACTGGTTGAGATGGCATCTTGGTTAGTTTTTGCTAGTGCTGGTCACAAACCTTGATCCTCTTGATCTCTGTCTCCCAAGTAACTGGGATTAAAGGCAAGCGCCTCTAAGCCTCACCTTCTGGGTGAGGAAAACTCACCCAGAGGAAAGTTCTGCCAAGCTGGCCTTCGAGCGGTCATTTATCACCTAATGTCACAAAACCATCTGGGCACTGCTGCTCCACTCCACACCTGGGTGTACACACAACACACACACACACACACACACACACACGTACATGCACACACACACGTACATGCACACACACAACTGTACCTTCAATATCTCCAGAGCAGGCAAGCCCCAGCCCAGCTGTGTGAAGGCCTGCCCTGACCTCTGACCTAGAACAATCAGTCCTATAGCAATGATCTGCAGAATCTAGGGCAGGTCCTGCGGCTGTCAGGCAGGTTTGGTCCTGCCCAGTGGGAGGGCAGGTTTGGCTCTCTACCATGAGAGCCTTTCCCGCTCTGGCTCACAGCACAGGGCAGGGCAGCAGGGAAGAGAATGAGTCACCTGCCATTCTTGGGGCATTGTAGATAAGTCACAGATCGATGGGGCTTCTCATCTGGGGCTGAGGCAGGGCAGCAGAGGCTGAGAGATCGAAAGATCTCTCGAAAGGCCAAAGCCAAGCCCCAGGATGTGGTCAGAGATGCCGCACTCGGTGGCACCAGGAAACAGCTGTCCAGAAAGGACCTGAGTAAGGAGGCTGTGATTTGGTCATTGCTTTGTGTCCTAGGCTATGCTGAGCTGCATATGCATGCTGTACATAAACAAAGGGGTGGGAAGTCTTTAATAGCCCAGATCCCACCCCCCACCCCCATCACCAATAGGGTCAAGCCAGATTCCTTAGATGGTGCCAAGGCCATAGTCAAGCTGGCTTATCGCCCCTCTATGCCCAGCCCCACAGGTCTGACCATAAAGACTTGGTACAGAGCCACTCTGAAATGCTGGGCCTCTCTCGCTGTGTCCTCTGCAGAGAGAGTGGGCCTCTGAGTACCTGTAGGCCTTGGCTCCTAGGATCTCTGCATCACCAGTGCAGTTACATGAAGTGTCTTGTCCTGGCCCAGGGTATCTCCTGTGACCCAGGACTGAGGCACTGCTTGTGGACATTTGCAGACAGTGTGGAGGCCACAAAACGTGGTCCCCAGGGGAGGGCCTGCCTCTGTCCTCAAGGGAGCCGCTGATGTCCTGTCTCGGCTAAGATGAACTACTCATTCGTTTTATTCATTCACTCATTAGTCACTCAGATGAAGGAACTGAGGCCTGAGGTGGCCGCCAGACAGACAGATCATCGCTGCTGTAAATCTCCTCTCCACAGTCATTCACATGGGGGTCTGGGGAGGGCAGAGCTACGAGACGCCACCTCTGCGCTCAGGGCCACCTTGGTGAGGCTGGGCACACATTCCTGAAAGAGCCCAGGAGGAGCCGCCGAACAAGCTAGCAAGACGAATCCCACAGAAGATCTTCTACTTTCCTCGCTTACCCTTCCATTCACACTAGTGGCATGGAGTAATATTACAGGAAATCAAACAGGGGAGTTCTAAAGGGTGCTTTTTCTCATCATTGGCACCAGTTTTACTTGGCATTAATCACACACAGGACAAAATGTTCCATTTGGGAGTTCCTGCCCCTCCACTGCGCCTGACAGCTCATTTCCTGTGTCTTGGGAATGGTGGGGTAAGAGGCCTGCCTCTAAGGGCAGCCAGTTGCCCATTGGGGCCTTTCTGTCTCCTCGGCATCCTACGGAAGCAGTAAAAATCCAGCTTGAAGGAGCGAATAGGGGTCTGGTTGAATAAGCAAACTGCACCAGGCCCAGGGTCATAGAGAGAAAGGCTAGAGAGGCTCAGGAGCCTGAATGAGCAAATGACCAATCACATCGCTGCATAGAAGATGGAGTGGTGCTAATAGCGTAGGTTTGGGGACTCCTCAATGTCCTTCAAGATCTGGCTGGTCTACTTGGAAGCTGTGTGGTCTTGGGTAAGGAGCCTCAGTCTCCCCCTCAATGAAATGTGTGTAGCCATGGTACTCCCTCCTTTCGGGGAAAGATGTCAGGGGTCCAGCCTGGCAAAGAGCTCCACTGGTGTCTGACTGTGACAGTGCTCCACCTCCAAGCTTTCTGCCACTTAGTCCTGAGGAATAGCTAAGATAAACACGACGACCACACTTGCAGTGGAGACCAGAGAGGTCCGTGATGGTGATGGGGAAGCTTTTAGAAGGGTGGAGCCCACGAATCTCACATGTGCTTTGGGATTTGCAGAAATGTCCGATGACAGACAACTTGCAGCCTCTGACTGAGCCTAGATTATATCACCATGGCTTCTGCAATGCAGGCAGAAGTTCTGAGACCTGCCTGCTGCTCCCCCTGTCTACCAAGGTCTACGAGCTCTAGGCATTCCAAAATGCAGAAGCCTTAAAATGGTGCACCAATCCCTTTGAATATCTCCTGGTGCCCCTGTCCCGTGGCTTCCTACTGGACACCAAGATGAGACCAGGGGCTGTGACTACCCAAGCAGTAAAGCTATGCCCCCTAGTGGCCAGTGGAATCAATAGGTGATGGTGATTTTTCCAGGCCCCAGTGGCTCCACACTTAGAATCCTAGCTACTCAGAAAACTGAGATCTGAGGATGGAGGTTCAATCCAGTCCGGGCAGACAAACTAGAGAGACTCTTATTTCCAACTAAAACCAGAAAAAAAGCCAAAGTGGAGGTGTGGCTCAACTGGTAGAGCACCAGCCTTGACTGAAAAAGCTGAGCAAGAGAATGTGAGGTCCTAAGTTCAAGCCCTAGTACTGGCACAAAAAGAAAACAACAACAACAACCACTTCCCATTTTTCTCTCCCCCCAAATATTTACAATCACTATGTATGGCATTCATAACAAAGATATTATTAGCAAGAGAAAACAGACATATCTGAAACAAGCAAGACATGAACATGACAGAAAGCCAGCTCGCCCTCAGATTGTGTATGTACACACAACAGAGACTTTATTCTATACAGAAGTGAACCCTGGTGGAAATGGGCAAGCAAGCTTCATTGTTAGGATCTTAGAAAGTCACTTGGCATATCTGCAAAATCTCTCCCAGCAGGAGAAGCACCCCTTCCCTTGTTATTTTATTCCTATGAGCTACCTGCCCCTTCCAGAGACAAGTGCCTATTATGAACCTGCAGCCCACAACCTGTGCATCTGTTCTATTCATTTCCACATTCAAAGTCACATTGGGCACCAATGAGCCCACTGTGTCTCCATCCAGGGAAGAGATCCAGTCCATGAAATGGGCCAGGAAAGGCCCGTCTACATGTTCCCAGACGGGCCCTAGTCCCCCTGTCTTCTTACCTTTGAAACAGGTGACCGGACTGGAGGATGTGAGCGGAAGCCAGCACCCCCAGCAGGTCGTCCACGTTTATGTCCACGTTGGTCATGTAGAGGTTCTTCAGCGCCAGGGCGAAGGCTGGGGGCAGTAGCCAAGGGAAAGCCATCAGCGCAGGCCTCTGCCTGTGGCCCTGGCCCACGGCCTCACAATTCCTGAGGCTGGACAGGTGGATGCTCTTGAAGAAGATATACATGCGCAGACTCCACCTGAGAAAGTGGCCACTGGACTCCCACTGCTCCAGACGAGCTGAAGATAAAGCTAAAGGGAACTGAGCTCTGCCAAAAGGCCTCTCCTTGGAGCCACTCTGAGCATCTATCTGTGTCTTGGGACCGAGACATCTCAGGGATCTCTATGAACCTAGAGACCCCTCTCCTTACTTGGGGTCCCTGACCTGAGTAGGAATGTGACTATCTAAATACACCATGCATAGATTGGTCACATTTTCTCTCGAGATGACAAATAGTTTAATAATGATTTTCCTTGTTAGCTTGAGGACTCCAGTATGATCGAGGACATCTGGAAAGAGCCAGGATTTGATCACCCATGAACTAGACCATCCGGCTAGGGGCCATGATGAACTTGTCCTGCTCCAAGCCCTGCGTGATCCTAGAGAGTGCCGCCGTGTGGTGGCAGCGTTCTCTGAGGACAGCTGGCTGCTCAGGGTGTTCGTGCTGACCTAGCAATGCATGCAGCGGTATTGTGTACCTGATGGTGTGACACATGCCACACGGCCATCCTTCTCTAGGGCAGAGCCAAGGGAGCACCCTGGGAGAGTGTTCTGGAAGGCAGACCTTGGGGATCTTTGGGAAGAGGAGGTCACGTGCTATTTGGGGAGTTGTGCGTTTGGGCAGGAACATTCCATTTCCCCCAGGTCTGTCTGAGAAGGCTGCTCCTCCCTTCCCTTCCTGCATCCACCCTTCTGGCCCTGTCCCAACAGTCACAGCTCTATAGCAGCAATTTCCACCTTCTCCCACTTCTCCACGTGTCCCTGGTCCCTTCTTTTCGTGAAGGAATGTGCATCACCAGTGGACTGCAGCGCTCTTGTTTTTCTCTACTTTAAAATCGATTTACAGAAGGCAGGTGTACTTTACCAGATCTGCTGACGGCTGGATCATTGATCTTTAAGGAAATGATCATCTTCTTCACAGGGGGTACTTCTTTGGTCTTCCCAGATGCTGGATCTGTTGAAGAAAAGCAGATGGCGGCCTCAGTATGCCTGATCCTCCCCTCCCCTGCTCCGGATCTTGACTTGCACCACACCATACTTGGCGTGTTGCTTAGTGGATGCATGCTGAAGGTAACTGCGCAGAAACAGGGAGTCACAGAACTTGCAAAAATACTATGGCCAGTGCTGGTGTTTCCCTTTACCCAGCGTCCCTCACTGTCAACTGAAATGAATTCATTCCTCCCTCCCTTCCTCTCCCTTTCCCTCCCTCCCTGCCTGCCACACCTTTCTCATCATGGGAGGCCGGGAGCAGTGGGCGGGCAGAGTGGGCCTCCACTGTTGGTTTCTGAGCTGAGTGAGCAGCAAAGCTAGGGTTGGATCAAGTGGGTGATGGGGACCATCTGATGAGAGACGGGGGTGTCCAGCCAGTACCTCTTGACATGTCCTCTCCAAACTGGGGAACCCTGTCCCTGAGGAAGGGCAGGGCAGCCTCTCCCCCCCCCCCGCCCCCCTGGCTGGCCCCATTCACTGCAGTGCTCTCTGATGTGGCTTCCCAGAACGCCCTTGGCACCATCACTCCAGCCGCTCCAACCTCTTCCCACTGCTCCGCTCATCATCTCCCAGACCTGCCTCCTCTGGGCAGATTCCCGGGATTCTGCAGGACTTCCTGCTGCCCCTCTCCCTCAGGGGGGCTTCCTCACATGCCCCTTTCCTGACCCCACATGAAGAGCAGCACCTCCACCCCTGCTACCTAAGACCAGCCTCGCCATAGCCTGCTAGGCCAGTTCCACCACAGGTGTGCCTAGGAGTGCTTTGTATTGGCCAGGCACACTGATGGTGTACTCTACCCTCCAGGGTCCACCACAGTCTTACACACGAATAGGTTCTATTACCAGTGAGCTCAAGGTTCGAAGTAATGGAAAAGAATATAAATTGGGAACCAAGAGCATTCAAGAAAATGATCCAACAAAGAGGCCCTCTTCCTCAGGGCCCCTTCACTGTCCTCCAGTGCTACATTCTGTTTATTGTCTCATTCGGCCAGTATTTTTTGACAACCTACTAAGTCTCTGGCTCTGGATCATGTTCCTTTGGGGCCTCTACCTGCAAGACCCTGGCAGTCACTCATCTCCTTAGGAAGGAAGTACCGGAGATCATGCCCCCAGGTGCCAGGTGCACAGTAGGCACACAGGAGGTAGTGGCTAATGCTCTTATTGGTCAAGTTTTATCAGATGGATGATCACGCTCATCTTGGCGCCCAGTGTGGGGCAGAACACAGAAGGCAACGATCATCATCACGTAGGGCTTGCTGGTCTGCCCAGCCCAGATGACAAATTCTGAGCACAAGGTCCGGCACAAGCTAAACACTTGAAAGAAGGGAGAAATGGTATCAGCAAGGCCACAGTGAGTGCAAGGCAGAAGTTCAGCCTTTCCTCCGGGTTAAGTGAGGCCCAGCATAAGAAAGGAAGCATTTGATCGTATACATAGGAGGTCCTCCAAGACCAAGCTTGTGAGTTTGTGTGTAGTATGACTGATTCCCTTTGGATTTCAGTCCTGAGAATAAGTGTGTCTGCTCAGACACAAGCAGCGTTGGGTAAGGAGCAGCTGAGCCTCGTTGAGAGTCTGTGGTCTCCACTGAGCTTTTCTGGAATGTTCCTCAGTGCTGCCTGCAGGACGGCACACAGTTGTGCAATGGTTTTGAAATCGGTGCACAAACATCCTGGAGAGATACACGCTGAGCAGGAGGGACGGCGACTTCTTGTGGGAAGCCTTGGAGCCCCATTATCTCACAAGTGGTGCATGTGGAGAGAATGATGACAGTCGGGAACCCAGGAGTCTCACTACCGAATCTGCAGTGACATCTCTGGTCAGGACTTGCCACTAGCAGAGTCTTGGATCACAGTGGCCGTCCCAAGGTCTTGCAGTGACACCCTCATAGACCCTGTTAAAGACGGATGCTGCCCGTCCCTCCCTTTCTGCTCCCAGACTCTCCTGTTTTCCAGTGTTCTCTCTGTCTAGGGCATCAGAGCCTCCCACTGATGGCCTGCTGAGTGCTCCACCCTGGGCTCAGGGGAGATGCTAGAGCCCATCCCACTGGGTTAGGAAAGGCAGAAACGCCACAGGCAGCTTCCTACCGGTTTATAGGAAAGCCACAGTCTCCCACTGCCACCTCCAAGGACAGAGAGCTGAAGCAGAGGCCAGGGCCCCCAACAGATCCCAGCAGGCACCGGGGCACCACTCCCCAGGCTCAGGAAGGGGTTGGTAAGCCTGCAGAGAATTGCAGCCTCTGAACCTACACACGGGCAGCAGTTAAACCAGTAAACCCAAACCTATCTACCTGACAACAGAATGACGTAAAAAGACCTGTGGGGCATAGACAATAGAATGGAAAAGGGCTCAGGACAGGTGTTCAGGGAATGTATGGCCATGTAAAAGTTGAGCAAACCTTCCCAGGAACTACAAAGTAGAGGCACGGGGTGCTACAAAAAAAGAAATGAGAATAAAATGCAGGTAGCAAGACACCCCACGATCAATCAGAATCCCACTCATCAGAAAGCCATTCAGTTCTCACTATTTAACCAGGGTGGAGGACAGAAGATGGCAGGAGACAGAAGATAACCAGAGTCAGTGGGAGAGGGCTAAGAGGGCAGGCAGGAGCTGGTGGTCAGTCCTGTGATGAGCTCACACCACAGAACCTGGCTCAGCTCTGTCCATGCCAACCACCATTGGTCTCAAAACAGCCGGAGGCAGGCTGGGCCCTTTCAAACCTTGAGGGTGTGAGGGGTCCCAGGACCAGGGGGTCATTATTCTACACGAAATTGTACTGTGACTCTCTATAGATATACTTACATGGCACCGTGGAATCCGCGTAGTTCTTAGTCCTGTGCATCAGGGTCGTCAAGTAAAGCTTGGCCAAGGTCTCGGACTGGAAGAGCTGGGCCTGGTGCAGCTCCCACGTGTAGCCCAGGCATTCCAGAACCACATCTGAGGGGACGAAAGGACGCTGGGCAGTGGTTTGCTGGCTTCCCCACACAAGCACTTCCTCTTCGCCTCAATTCTCCTCCATTCACCGCAGCCAGGAAGCAGACGAAAGGCCAACCGACTTCCCCAGCCCCAGCGAAGTGTGGGCCTTTCAGAGCCTTGCAGGGAAGGGGATCTGCGCCTCCCGGGAGCCTAAGGACAGAGCTGGAGGGCTGCAGAGCCACATGGCTTCCTTCCAACTTGGAGACCTGAAAAAAGGCTCTACAGAGACTTTCCAGGGCCGCTCCTGGGAGACCTCTTTAGGGAGTGGGCCACACCTTGCCTTCCTCTAGTACAGGGGGTCCCAGCCTCGGCACTATTGATCCTTCTTTGTGGTGGGAACTGTCCTTGGTCACTGTCATTCCTTCGCCATATCCTGGGCCTCTACTTACTAGACTCTCAAGTTTGGATGAGTAAAGCAGCGGACTTTCATCCGGGAGTATAATGAGTACCGGAGCCTGCGCGGGGCCCTGGGTCCAGTCCTGAGCACCACAAGTATAAAAATTTAAAAACGAGAGGACCTTGCCAGGCTCCTCCGTGAGGCTCAACGTACTTACTTCTAGCTGGAGGGTCCCATTCTGACTCCCGCTCCTATCTCAGAAAAGGCTTCTGAGCTATGCAGATGTCCGATTCGTGACTGGCCCAGGTCCAGAGGGAGAAGAACAGCTGCCCCCGGGTGTGCTCTGTGCAGTCATCTCACCCAAAAGCTATCTATTGACCTCCGTGCCTTTGTCTTTATAGTAGCCATTGTCCTATGAAATGTGTGTGTGAGGCTTGGTTTCCTGTGCAATCATTTGACAGATAAGTATGGCTATTTAAATTACATGTTAGACACTGGGCAGTGGACAAGAATCACAATACACAGATTAGTGTTTGAGCTATGGACTGGCTTTGCTCCACAAGGTCTCCAGGGGCCCCAGAAGTCAGAACTATTGAAATGCTCTGATTTAAACACTGATGACAACACTCACCTGTCTCCTCCCCACTTTTGGCTGCCTTGTGGTTCTTCACTTCCTCAGAGAAGAGTTTCTGGATTTTTGAAATGCATAATCTCAAGGAAAGATACAAACGAAAAAAAAATGTGGGAGTTACTGCTGACATTTTTCTCCCACCGCATCATGCAGCCTTCTGGTATGTATGCACCTAAACATCCCTCGGCCACCATGTCACACCTCTGCTTTGGGGTTATACTGCCTGGATAAACCACAAGCAATGCCTTCAGTAGTAGCTAAAACCACAACATACAGTAAGTACCCAATAAATGCCTGCTGGAGGGGCTGGGAAGATAGATTGCTTGCTTTGCATGCATGAGGTCCTGGGTTCAATTCCTCAGCACCACATAAGCAGAAAAAGCCAGAAGTGGCTCTGTGGCTCAAGTGGTAGAACACTAGCCTTGAGCTGAAGAGCTGAGGGATAGCGCCCAAGTCCAGAGTTTAGGCACCTCAACCAACAATAACAACAACAAAATGTCTGCTGGAGAAAAGAATAGAGTGCAGTGTCTGTTTCTAGGACATTTCACCTCACCAATGATTTTGTTAGAAATCCTCAGTGTCTGTGTGTCCAAAAATGAACTTCACAATCGACCCTGAATCCTAGCCTGCGACTACACCAGATCTTGTCTCAGGACCGGCTCACTCGGTGTTTCCATAACCAATCACGTGCCTCAATCGGACAAAATACTCTTTTGGACTCGTCCATGTGCCTTTGCCTTTGCCACTATGACCTTTGACCAAGCCACCATTCCCCCTCCCAATTCATCAGCAGCCTACCAATCTCCAGCCCTCCTCTGCCTGGGTATCCACTCCTCTTAACAGGGCAGAGGTAGTCTTTCCTGTCTCCCCAGTACCTCTGGGGGACAGCTCAAACCCCTCAATACCGTGAACAGGCTTGTGCTTCTTTGTAGCCTCTGCCATCCCCATCCAGCTCCAGTGCTTTCTGACAACCTAGATGCTGCTCCTGCCTCTGCCCACCCCCCACTCCCTCTGTCCCGTGCCTCCTGCTGGCCTTTTGCCTTGGGGACCCAGAGCCAGCAGTGCCCTACCCCCCCCCCCCCCCGTGGTTACCCTGCCAGCCCCCTCTGCATCTGTGTCTCCTCCCCTGGGGCTCCGGGACCATCCTGCAGGTGATTAGTAAATGTGCATTGAATAAATGTGTGGTGATGGAGAGATAACACAGGTTTTGCACAATTGCCTGGAAAACGATACTAAATTCGAGTCACATAGTCAGTTTGGAGACCATCAGCTCAAGAAAGCCACCAGCCAGGGACGCTTGAGGACAACCTCTGAGCTGTGTATCGCTTGGGATCCCCGCCACCCCAGGAGCCCGCGCGGGCCCCAGTGCGAGGAGGGGGTTTGGACGGTAGCCTGTGCCCACAATCACACTGAGTATGTGCTGTCCTTCCCAGGGTCAGAGAGGGCTGCAAGTGACTCAGCCTCAGGAAGAAGTGGGGAGACCAGACTTGACCCAGCCAGCCTCAACCTCCCAGCGGATTGGGTAATATGTCTGACACAGCCAGGCAGGGTCACGGATGTGACCGGAGAGCACAGAGGGGGAGAGGGGGCCGGTGGCTCGTGAGTGCAGCCATCTCACAAACATCCTCCGCACCAGCGGAGCTGGAAGATGCTAGGTGACAATCTGGGTGGCCACGCTGCCTGTTTCTAGGTGTCATGGCTGCTTGTGAAGGGACCCCCCCCCCCGTCCCAAGCTCTGCAGACCTTAGGGCTGGGGTCCTTTTAGGACCTGTGGACAAGGGAATGAGATAAATGGCATCTTTTTCCTCTGGGGGACAAATGATACAGGCGCCGTGGCACGTGGTGACATTCACCCTGTGCTCTTGGATGGAGAGCTTCCTCCCCACCAAGTCCTGGCCCATGGTGGAGGAGGGAAGAAGGGTTCAAAAGAGGTCCGTCCACTGGCTGAAGGTCACACACAGAACCAGTAAGGGAGGCGCAGGGATTGCAGCCCTGTCCCTTGGGCTACTTTTAACCATCCGAATGGCCTGCACCGACAGCCGCTCCCAGGTCTGTGCCTCCCTCCTCTCCTGTGCCAGTCTCAGTGAGCTAGGCTATTCCACACATCAACTGCTTCGGATCTCAGCTCCTGCGGCCCAGCTTCTCCCCTCCGTACTCTGGACCATTTTTACCTTTGCTTTTGGGCCCAGGTGCAGTGCCTGCTTCCCTAGCCTGGCTCCGGTACTCAGGAGTGGGGCTGGCCAGTGCACTCAGGGGAAAGGAGAGATGATTGCTCGCCCAGCAAACATGGAGCAAGCCACTCTTCTGTGTACCTGCCGCCCCAGGGGCGCGGCCTGTGCTCCAGTACACTTGAGCCAGGCGGGGGAAGAGCACTGGCCAGGCCCAATGCACCAGGGGCCCAGTGCCAAGTCCCCAGACAACTGGTAATGGGGAGAAGTCAAGAGTCTAGCCTACTCCTAAGAATCCAAGCAGATTGGCAGGGAGTGAGGACCATTGATTGAGAGACATGGACATTGATGTGAGATGTCTGAATAGTTAGCTGGTAAGTTGTTGCTGTTTTCATTTGTCTCTGGAGGATAAACTGAGACTCTTGTAAGGGCCCAAGTTCCCAATGCAAAGGAAAGTCCGGGGGGGGGGGGGGGAGGGGGCGAGGATTGACAACCTCTCTGCACTTCTGTCACCATGCACAGCTAGCGTCAGGGGATTTGGTCCCTTTGTACCTTGGCCCTGCCTGAGGGACAGTCCCAGAGAGAGGGAGGGAAGGGGGGAAGGAGGGAGGGAAGGAGGTACCCTCCTGGAGGTGCCCCAGATGGCACCTCTATCCAGGAGGCATGACCTAACTCTCAGCCACCTTCCCTCCCAGAGGTGCACGCCCTGCCCCTATGGCCACTCCCCACCATGACCTTTGACTACCTGTCTGGGTACTTGTGAGCATCCTTGTCCTCCAGATCGATGTTGAGGGCCTTACACATCTGAGAGAGTGCCAGCAGGTCCCCGGAGAAAGGCTGCTTGGGGAAACGCCACCGGTTGCAGGAGCCAACAAGCCGGCGCTCCAAGCGCGGTTTGCACTGCTGGATAGTCAAAGAAAGACCGAGAAATTTCCTCACCTTACCAAGTTGTCAAATGTGTTCCTGATCTCCACAGCAGAGAGAAACGCAAGGCCCTTTTTAAGTTTCTGATTACTATCTTCCCCGGGCATCTCTCTCAAGGGAAGGATGCTGTATTCTGTGGACCAAGGATCTCAAGCTGCCGAGCACGTTGGAATTGGCCTTCTAGCCAGGAGGTGCCAGAGGCAAACATTTGGTCAGGGAGATAAAGTTGGTTCAGTTATTTTGCTTCGTTTTGGCAGTATTGGGATTTACCCATAGGGCCTTGTGCTTGCCAGGCAGGTGCTCTACCATTTCAGCCATGCCTCTGGCCCTGATTTTTGTTTTGCTGGTTATTTTGGAGTCTAGGACATTTTTTTCGTCTCAGGTATCCTCAAACATCCTCCGGATCGCAGTCTCTTGAGAAGCTAGGATTATAGGCAGGAGCCATCAGCACCCAGATCAAGGATTTTTCCTTAAGTACTTATCTGGATATCTAAAGAGATATTACAGAGCAGGGATTTGGGGCAGAAACTAATTTTTTTAGTAAAGCTAAAACTCACTATTTTGTTTATTACACAGTGTAGAATTCAGTGGCACTTAGTATGCTTACAGTGTTTGGTGTGTGCTCACCGCTCCCTGCATCCACTAAGGGCAGGTTCCCCCTCCCCTACTCACCAGCCCAGGAAACGCCACAGAGCTGCCTATTCTGGATATTGAAAATAAGTGGAAATAAGTGGAATCGCATAACATGCAGCCTTTCCTGTCCAGTGTCTTCCAGTTAGCGTACTGTTTCACAGTTCACATGTGTGTTGGCACTGCTTTGCTTTTGCGTGTGGAATCATATTGGCCTTACTGTATTTGGCTTGCCCATCCAAGGTAGAAAGGTATCCTTTCTACTTTCTAGCTATAGTAGAGACGGTGGTAGTGATGTGATGATGACAGGGGCGATGGTGGAGGCAATGGGGATGCTGGTGGAGGGGATGGTAATGATGGTGATGGTGATGAGGGTGGAGGTAACGGTGGTGATGGTGATGGTGAAGACGGAGATGATGACAGCGATGTGGTGATTCCATCTTACTTTCCGAGTTGCTAAGAGGCTAATGTTAGTTAAATACGCCTCAGGACCGTTCCTAATGGAGAGTGGCTGGTGGGAAAGCGGGGTGTGGGATTAGGTGTGGGAGCGCTGACAGGTGGGGTGCTGTCCTCTGGATTCTGCTCGGCAGTGAGTGCACGGCGCTCCTCCCAGCACTGAGTGCACGGTGCTCCTCCCAGCACAGCGGGAGAGTGGAGGACCAGAGCCGCAGTGGCTCGGCCTAGCCCCTGGGGGAAACGACAGCAACTGGTGCTGCTCCTACCCCCTGCCGCCTCGTGGCGCGCAGATGTACTCACGGGATTCAGCATCGTCACAAATGAGAGTGGAGATGACACAGTGAGGGGAAGAAAAAAGATGAGCAACTAGAAGACAAAAGAACAAACACTGAGACACCGAGTTCCCAAAGCGTCTCTTCAAGACTATAAAGGAGACTCGCCTAAAAAAATTCTGTAATGACGAGTAATAACGAGTAAGCCTCAAGTATGGATTATTTATCACATCAAGAGGATATCTGGTTTTTTAAAGGCAAATGAGTGAACAGACAATTTTCTGTATTGTACTGGTGACGTGGCTAAGTTAAAGCAACCGGGAGGGGCGTATAGCTTCATGCCCGCTCACAAAATGAAGACCAAAGGAGAGCTGCAAAGACACAGGCTGTATCATTGTACCGGGGACGAGAAAATGATGTTTTCTGTTACTGGGGTTGGGTAGGTACTGGAGTTTGATTATTAGGCTCGTACTCCACCATTCGAGCCACATCTCTTAGCTTTTCTTGCTGGTTATTTTGGAGAAAGAGTCTTGCAGACTTTTTTACCCAGACTAGTGTTGACCCATGATCCTCCAGATCTCAGCCTCCTTAGGTGTCAGAATTACAAGCATGAACCAATGGCTCCCAGGAAGAGGTGATATTTTTGAGTAGGCCCAACAACAGGGATAGCCAGAAATATATAACTCATACACACATTATTAAGGTAGTATATATATATATATATATGTGTGTGTGTGTGTGCATGTGTACATATATAATAAATACATATATACATATATGTTAACTGTAATTGTATCTGTATCTAAATATACATAAACCTATATTTGTATATCACTGTTGTAATTTCTATAAAATAGATTCTTCAAAGTGGGATTGTTATGTCAAAGATACATATGTTGAATTCAACTAGATATTGCCTCCCCAAAAGTTGCAGTAATTTATATTCCCAGCACCAATTTTTAATGCTTTTTCCTACATCAATTCAAGTAGAAAGCTTTATCATACCTTGGGGGAGAGTTGGATTTGTTTGCTTTGTTAATCTAATGAGTAACACATAGTTTCAGATCCTTATTTTTAAATTGGAACCTCTGTGGCCATCAATAAAACTGAGCCTTCTTGTACATGGTTTTTGGCTTTTTGCTTTCCAGCAAACCACTTAAGCATGGACTTTTCCCACAAAATTTGCAAAAGCGTTTCTGAGGAGTTTTCCATACATGGTCTTGGGGCAAGTGAGCTTTTATCTGTTACTGTGTGCCTCAAAAGTTCTTCCAGGTATAAATGTTTTTAACTTTGCTTTTACCCTACAGATTATTTCATTGGGTATGGAAAATATGTCAATTGTATATTTCTGTTGATTTCTAATTTTAACAAAAGTTGTGCATCAAATCAACATGGGCTGGGGCAGGCACACAGGCTCTGGGCTTGATCCCAACCAATGTGTACAGATGTGCACCTGTGTGCGCACAGGGAGATTTTCCCACCAGGGAACACACAGCTGCTTCTCTGACCCCTCCCTCATACCACCCAAGAACAAGTATGGCCTTCAATTCTCCAGCTTTAAAGCTCAGGCCAGGCATCCTGCTGGTATGAGCCTCAACATGGCCTAGAGGAAACCGAGGCAGTAAGACAGCACTCAGTGCTACACAGCACACAAAGGACACACCCTGCTGAACCCTCTGTGCCTGGAGAACTCCCTTCGGTTTAAAGAAGGCTCTGAGCTATCCCAGCTCCCGTGTTCTTTGACTCCATACCTAAAAGTCCTCCCAGCTGACCATTAGGCATCTCAATGTCCCGGAAGTGTATCTGTTCCTTTGACCTCCCATCAGCCAACATCCCCTCTGCGGGGTTTTTATTTTTCATTTGCTTTGATTGGTTTTTTTTTTGGCCCTGCGGAGCTTTGCACTGATAGCCAATCACTTACTTGGCTTGCTTGTTCAGCTAGTGCACTACTATTTGAGCTATACCTCTGATCCAGCTTTTTGCTGGCTATTTTAGAGGAGTCTCATGGGCCAAGACAAATATGTAGATATATGTCTATTTAGATAGAGGTTGAGTTAACATACACATATAAAAGCTGCCTTAAAATTGTTTGTGTGAGGTACATTTTTCTGTCATTTATGAGCAGAAAATACAGGCAACAACTTAAATTCACTAGCTGCAGAAGATTCTTGGCTATCTCTGGGCTCTGGCTTTGAACTGTCATCCTCCGTTTCTTAGTGTCCTCCTCTCTGGGTTAGAAGAGCCAGTTCCTAAGTTCTCCTGAGTGGACAGAAGCTTCTTGCAATGTCCCTTCACTCCGGGACCCCTTCCTGTCCAGCCAGTACCCAGAAAATCCCAGAAGATCCTTAAGCAGGAACATACTCTAACGTGGATGAAATACACCAGGGCACTTACAGTTCTGAAGCCCCTTTGCCCTCCACGTGGAGTTCACAGCGGACGTGTGTGGAAGAAAGGCGTGCTCATTACACTGCTCTCCATACTGTCTCCTGTAATCTGGAGGCTAGTCACCTTTGAGCCTGAATTCTGGGAGCTCTCTTGACATTTGGGGCTCACCCTATTCTTTTTATGGGCCAGTGAGCTTTGATGGGGGGCTTGCCTTCAGTTTCTGGGGTCATTGTGGGCACCATGGCAATAACAGGGAATGTTCCCAGCACTTCTGGTTCCAGATTCTGGTGTCAACACAGCCTGGGGCTTGAGCAGAGACTCCAGCTCTTCCTGAGGGGGGTCCAGGCTCTTACCTGGGGCCTTCACTCAGGGGCCCTGCTGGGTCTCTGCCACATCCTCAGTGACTTGGTCTGCAAAGCTTCTGCCTCAATTGAGTAGAGGAGGAGATGGAGCCGCCTCAGTCATGTCCCTCCTCCCCATGGTCCATCAGAGCCCAGGGCTAAAAATAAACTTCCTCAACTTACTTTTATCACCTGAATGATAACAGCATTTTGTAAGTGTTCTGCCCACATTCTTGCCCAAGACAAAGCCAAAGACAACAAATACACATAAATGGAAGGCGTTCCAGCATATGCCCGGAGTATGCAGTGACCAGGTCCTCAGCCTACCCGAGGACTGCTCTCCGTCTCACCTGGCTTAGGAGTAGTGATGATGAGCTGGCATCTCTTGGATCCCTGGGCCTCACTGGAAACAAAAGAGCGGCCTTCCCCTCGCACCTGCCACGCCTCCAGCTAGACATAAAGGGGCTAGAGGTTGAAAGCTTTTTTCTTTTTTTGGTCAGTCGTGGGGCTTGAACTCTGGGCCTGGGCGCTGTCCCTCAGCTCTTTAGCTCAAGGCTAGCACTCTACCAGTTGAGCCACAGCACCACTTCTGACTTTTTTCTGCTTATGTGGTGCTGAGGAATTGAACCCAGGGCCTCATGCATGCAAGGCAAGCACTCTACCACTGAGCCACCTTCCCAGCCCCGATTGAAAGCTTTTAAAGGGAAATCAGGAATCTTTCCAAGTGGGAAATTAAGTGCACAAGCCCAGAGAAGCCCCTCTCTCCCACCCCCATCCCCCACCCTGCTCCAACATATACCCAGCTAGAAAGGTTGGTGAAGTCCACAGGATCACTAGCCTTGGATGACTGGTGAAGGGTCTTTCCCTGTGACAAGCCAGTCCCCAAAGACCGGAGGAGGTGGTCGTTTATTCAAATGAACAAATACAAGAGACTAAGTAAGCCCATGGAGAAACAGGGGAACACAGCTCAGCCAAAAGAACAAATGAACCTCCAAAAGGAATTTAAAATAATTTTCAATGTGCACACACATAGACAAAATTAGAAAGAGGCTGAGCACAACCAAAAGTATCAGTGAAGATAGAAACTATGAGAAAACAGCCAAGAAGAAATTCTGGTTCTTCTGAAGACTACAATCACGGAATGGGAATTCTCACTAGAGGGGTTCATTAGCATATGTGATCAAGTAAAAGCAAGCCAATTGGAGGACAGGTCGTGGGGAATTAACGAGTCCAAGTTAAAAAGAATGAAAAGTGAAGGAACCCACGGACGCAGGGGTCCCTTCAAGCAGATCAACACACACATTGTGGGAGCTTCAGAAGGAGAAGAGAAATGTGTGGCGGAAATAATACCTGGGGGGGAAAAAACCTAAGTGCAAGGAAGGAATGATATCCAAATTCAGAAAGCAGAGTGGCGGCTGTAAGGCTCCTAGAACAGGAGCAAAGGGAGGTTGTGGGTCAGTAGGCACAGGGTTTCAGTTTCGTTACATGAGAAAGTTCTAGAAAGCAGTGGCAGAATGATTTGCATGTAGTTAATTTTCTACTGTGCACTTGAGCATGGTTAAGATGGTAATTTTTATCATGTGTTTTTATTGTAACAACAGAATGACTGTAAGAAGAAACAGAAATTCTAATGACAAACGTTTTCATTTTGATTTCAGAGAGAAGAGGCAGAAGGGAGGAAGAAAAAGAGGGAGAGAGGGAAGGAAGGGAGGGGGAAAGGAAGGAAGGAAAGGAGGGAGAGAGAAGGAAAAGGGGGAGGAGGAAGGAAAGAAGGAACAAGAAGCAAAGGAAGGGAAGGGAAGGCAAGGGAAGAGAGGTGAAAGGAAGGGAAGGGAAGGCAAGGGAAGAGAGGAGAAAGGAAGGGAAGGGATCTTAGCGTCTTATCAGAGCCCAGAGTAGTGAAGGAACAATTCTCACCGACTGTCACCCCTTCATGTCACACGGAACACCGGCCGTCTCTCTCCTGGAGTCAGCAATCTGGGTTAAGAATTGTCATCTGTGTGGGTGCAGGGTTGCCCCTTGGTTTAATCTCTGGTCTCTCAGATCTCACACCCAAGGGGCTGAGCCTTAAGCTTAAGTGAAAACTTCCCCCATAACCAACAGCATCCAGCTTCCTCTTTCTTCCATCATCTGTCTTCAAAGGGCCACTTTAGGACTGCAGTAAGCTCACCTTGAGTGGGGAGTCCCAGGTGCAGAGCTGAAAAGGAAAACGAGCAAAATCTCAACGGAATTGGCAAAATGGGGGCTCCTAAGGTGCTGATCTCACCACCGCTGGGGGCTCTGGCGGGTTCCCGGTGCTTCTTGTTCTTGCTTTCCTCACCGATTCAGCAGAAGGATATAAACAGTTGCTGGCCACCATCCTGTGGACAAGCACCTGGATGATGAAGAGGGTGGAGGCCATGTGGGTCCTGAAGGCCAGCAGCCCCATGCTAAGCAGAAACATGGGCATGACCCAGAGAGGGTAAGCAACCTACTCCAGTCACACAGACGGAAGGTGGCAGAGCTGAGATCGGAGCCTGGGGCTCCCATGGGGGGTGGACTTTCCTTGATTATTATTCCCTCCACGTCACCCTCTGAAGAGTGAGGAAGGAAGAGAGCCGCTGTCCTCTTCGCTCCTAACTCCACTTGTGGGGAATTTTTCTGGCTCATCCCCCCACGATTTCAAGGGAGAAGCCCGAGAATAGCCTAACACAACTCTTCGCAGCTGCAGTAAGGCGGGCCAGCAGAAGATGGAACCACCTAGAAACAGAGCCTCTTCCTGCCACGTTACAGTAGGGACAGGCTGAGACACCGGGGACCAGATGACGTGGCTCACAGGGACCGAGCACTGAGGGCAAGGAGAGGCTGGGCACCTCAGAGTGGGCTCTGCTGGGGAGAGGGACACCGAGGCCCTTCCAGGACATAGCGCTGAAGGAGAGGACAGGGCATGGAGCTACATAGGGGTACAACCTTTGTGGAAAGTTAGTTGGCTTTGGGTTCCCAAACTTAAAAGAAAAAGAAGTACATATCCTCAAAGATGTCACCTGAGCTTCTGGGAGAAAAAAATGTATCCTATCCTTGGAGAAGAGAAACAAGGCAGCTCCTGAAACCCAAGAACTTGCCTGGTGCTCACGCCTGAGCCTTGGCCATAGAAAATGTCACAGGACACCAGCATCAGACCAGCCACCAGGGCCAGTGGATCAAGACCAAACACAGACCACCTTGCAATCATGTGGAACAGACAGAACATCAACATGATCCAAGCTACACCCCTCAGCCCTGGCTGCTTCACCATGGCAGCTTCTCCTCGCTCTAGCCTCTACTTCTGCAGATTCGCTGGGAGACCTGATGTAAAATGTCCTTGGTGCCCCATGCCTCACAACAGCCAATGTGGGAGTAAGTTCTGCTTCCTAATCCTTTCCCCAGAATCACCCTTTCCAAGTCCAAATCCTACAGAGCAACTTCCTAAGATGTCTTGTGGCTCCCCCTGGCGGGTACCTCGCCTCACTACAACAAGCAACTGCCCCAACCTGATCAATAAATGTTCCTTGTGCTAGAGCTGTCACCTTAGCCCAGGTAAGCCACTTAAGGACTAAATTAATAAGTTTACAAGGACACTTATGTAGCTGAAGAACAAAAACACTGAACATAATAAATCGTAGGGGGTCAGTTAATGGCACCAAGGCCATTCAAAGTGAGGAATGGTGGCATTCATTGACAGAACACTTACTGCAGATTGCAGAAGCTTGAGGTTCACAGAGAGAACCCCAGGACAAGTGAGAGCTGATGGGCACAGACTGATGGTGTGTCACTGAGCAAAAAGAACTAGACATGGACAGAGGAGATTCTTAGACGCTGAGGGGTCAAATGTTCTCACACGCACTCTGCTTGAAAAAATATATAACACAAGGAGTGCCCAGAGGCTTCCATAGGCTTCTCGGAGAGGGGGATGATCATGTTTGCTAAGAAGGAACACTTAAAGAAGTCGTGAAGGTGGATGGCGCCACTCATGGAAAAAATGAATACCTCGATATCTCCTAAAAGGGAACAAGAGCTTCAGGATGCCAATGTTCTTGAGGCTCCCATACCACTCTACTCTGCCTCCCAGAGCTGGGGCTGCCCACAGCCTTCCTGCTTAGGAGTAGGGGTGGCTCTACACAGGGGAGCAGCCCACGGCCACTGTGGCCAGGCCAGGCAGGGAGAGGGGCAGCTATGAGGAGGATCATCACGGCCTCAGGACTGCTTTCCCTATGTAAGCCTTACACCACACATTCCATTGACACACACTTGTCTCCCCCACAGATATGCCCACATCCTCACCCCTGCTACCTGTGTGCGTGGCCTGATTTGGAAGCAGGGTCTTTGCAGAGGCTCTTGGGGATGCAGAGATGAGACTATCTTGGATTTAGGATGAGCAAGAAGTCCAATGTTGGGTGTTCTTAGAAGAGAGAAGAGGGAGCTGGGCGCCGGTGGCTCACGCCTGTAATCCTAGCTACTCAGGAGACTGAGATCTAAGGATTGTGGTTCAAAGTCAGCCTGGGCAGGAAAGTCCATGAGACTCTTATCTCCAATAAAGCACCAGAAAACCAGAAGTGGCACTGTAGCTCAAGTGGTAGAGCTGAAGAGATGAGGGACAGTGCCCAGGCCCAGAGTTCAAGGCCCATGACCGCCAAAAGAGAGAGAGAGGGAGAGAGGGAGAAAGGGAGAGATCTGAGACACAGAAATACAAAGACCACTTGAAGGCAGAGGCAGAGGTTGCGTGGTGTTGGGGCTACAAACCAAGGGATATGAAGGATTGTAGTGGCCCCGGAAGCCGGGAGGGGCGTGAAGCAGTGCTCTGCGGAGCCACCAGGGGGCCAGCCCCACGGGACTGACTGTGAACTGCTCTCCTGAACCATGAGAACAAACTTCTGCTGTTTTGTGCTACTAAATTTGTGATGTTTCGTCACAACATGCCTAAACCACAAAGATACCTTTGTACCTCCACATTCCCCTCACCCCCTACCCTTTTCCCTGGGGTTCCTGAGCAAGTTGGAAGCCCAGAAGAGGTCTGACAACAGACTCATTGCCAAGTGACTAAGTTCCAGATTCCTATGGGGACCTGTTCATCCTTTTCTAGTCATTTGGAGGGGAACAGACAATATTTCAGGATTGGTCCTTACACATGAAGAGGTGGGACAGGAAGAATGACAGTCCATTACATCTGGAAATAGATTTTGTCTTCTAAAGAAAGAGGTTTTGTTTTGCCAGTTGTGGGGCTTCAACTCTGGACCTTGGCGCTGTCCCTGAACTCTCCAGCGCAAGGTGAGTGCTCTACCACTTGAGCCACAGCACCACTTCCGGCGATTAATTGGAGGTAAGAGTTTCACGGACTTTCCTGCCCAGGCTGGTTTTGAACCGTGATCCTCAGATCTCAGTCTCCTGCGTAGCTAGGATTACAGGTGTGAGCCACCGGCACCCTGTAAGAAAAGAGGATTTATAAAAACAAAATCTAAGCTGATCCAATGTATCCGCTTCTTTATGTAGCGAGTCAGTACCTCTCATTAGCTTTGACTTACAAATCCAGCCTCATAAAAAGGAAATAATAAGAAAGGTAAAGAAAAAGCCAAATCTGATATTGTTGAACCAAGGTGAGAAAAGACTCGACCATTCCCAGAAAATAATTCACAGCCACACTCTTTGCCAAGATCCAAAGGAAAAAAATTTATTTACAATAGAGGATTTTATTCCAAACATGCGTTTGTTTTTTTTTAAACAAATCAGCAAATGCAGGCCAAGTTTACACTCTTTAAGGCAAGAGTCCCTATGCACGCTGTACATGTTCGTAGTAAATCCAAAGCTGCTCACCCTGGGAAGTCGTGTACAAATGGCAAGACCAAGGTCAGCAATTTGTCTTTTATTATAGAGAATCAGACAATCTCCCTGATACAGGAACTCTGAGGTCAACTTGCTATGAATTAGACTAGGAAAATGCAAACCAATAGCAAGAAATCTTGATAGTCTCCTCAGTACTGCATACAATCGAATCGACTCTACGTAGGAAGGAAGTACAGTAGTGCATACAAAAGGTGAGAAGAGAACCTGTCCTCATCCTGGAGGGGCAGCAGTGTGCCGACGGTCATATTGCACGCAACGCTCAAGTCCAAGCATTTGGTTCAAAGTTAGCTTTTCCCCATTTTGGCAATCAGTTCATCACAAATCTTGGTGAGTTCTTCTATCTCTTTATTCTGAAAATGAAGACAAGGAAGATGTTCCTGCTGCTTGAAATCAGACCAATCAGAAGGGTCCTGAAGGGCTTTATAGGGATGGGCTCTGGTCAGTTTCTGGGTCCTCTCCCTCCCAACCCCAAACGTCATCTAAAGCAAACAACAGAAATGACTGGGAGCCAAATCTTGGCCAGGTTACAGAATCTCTTTGAGCCTCAGTTTCCTCATCTTTACTTAAAATGTAGGTGGTCACAGCTAAGAAATAAGTTGCTATTGCTGCCGCTGCCATTCCTGCTGGGCTGTCACTGGTGATTTCTCATCTTACTGGAATATTTTAAACATCAGCCACTGAAGATATAGCAGCACCCAGCGCCTGGGTGCTGTCCTGCAGCTCTTTTGCTCAAGACTCGAGCACCGTTGCTTCAGGCAAAACTACACTGTGGGCTTTTTGCAGATTACTTGGAGATAAGACTCCCAAACTTTCCTGCCTACTCTGGCTTTGAATCTTGATCCTCAGATCTCAGCCTCCTAGTACAACAGGTGTGAGCCACCAGTGCCTGACTAAAAGAAGTTACCATTAGCCAGGTGCCAGTGGCTCCCACATGCAATCCCAACTACTCAGGAGGCTGAGATCTAGAGGATATCTAGATCTAGAGGATCTAGAGGATGGAAAAGTGGCTCAAGGGTTAGAGCATCAACCAAGCAAGCACACTGAGTAAGGCAAGGCCTGAGTTCAAACCCCAGTACTCAGGCTGGGAAGGTAACTCAGTGGTAGAGCGCTTGCCTTGCAAACTCCAGTACTGAAAAAGAAAAGAGAAAGAAAGGCAGTGAATACTGTCCTCATTACTTTTAGTGAGGAAACTGAGACTCAGAGACATTAGGTGTTTCGCTTAAGTTCATACAGCCGGTCAAATGTGGCCCGTCTGGAATAGAAATTCAAGTTGGCCAGGCTCTATGCACCTTTGCTATCATGCATATTAAAAGTGAGGTGCAGCAACTCCTGGATGAGAGGTATCTGAAATAGACGCCTGGAGATTCTCCAAGCTCTAACCAACACCCACAGCCTTGTACTCTACGGAGTCACTCTTCGGAGTCACAGGCAGACACCGTGAAATGCTTTATAAAGCCCAATGGGGTGAAGTGTCTCATGCATGCACACAGAATAGCTCTGGGGAATTTTATCCCTGGCAAGGTCCCTTCTATGTCATTAGGGTCCTCTAGAGAAGAAGCCATGTGATTAACTCATTCCTCTGAAGATCGAGTTTAAAATAAAATGGTATTTGTAGGCATATTTTTATCTTTCCTGTTGTCAAACTGTGCAGGCCAGGCTCCTTTCTTCTTTGTGTTTCAGTCTGGCCAGAAAACATAGCATTATCTTCCCTTAACAAAGGTAATGTCTGAGCAGGCCAGGGAGTCATCTGACTATCCTGATTCCTGCTTTACCCAACACCAGGGTGCAATCTAAGCACCACTAAATCCTGAGAAACATAGATAAAAATAGACAATCTCCAAGGTGCTGCTACATTACACGCCCAGAAACATTCAGTGAACAACTGCTTAGCTACCCAAAACGATGGTCTTTATTTTTTATTTTTATTTATTTATTTATTTTGCCGGTCGTGGGGCCTGAACTCTGGGCCTGGGCACTGTCCCTCAGCTCTTCAGCTCAAGGCTAGCGCTTTACCACTTGAGCCACAGTGCCACTTCCGGCTTTTTTTCTTTTTGCTTATGTGGTGCTGAGGAATAGAACCCAGAGCCTCATGCATGCAAGGCAAGCGCTCTACCACTGAGCCACCTTCCCAGCCCCACGATGGTCTTTATCTTAAGGGGACTTTCCATTTTTTAGGAGTCACTGATTATCAACACGTAATGAATTATGTGCAATAACTAAACATTAACACTGCAATGGCACTCTCAGTAATTATCAATGAGTGAAGTACTGCTTGTATTCCCTGCTCTGACTGCATTGCTTGTCTCTGTGGTTAGAGCTGAGAAAACATATACGGATAAACATAACTGGCATATTCGACATAATCTACATTCCCTTCCTTCCCCCTTCCTTCCTTCATTTGTTTGTTCCTTCCTTTATTCCCTCCTTCCCTTTTCCTTCTCTTTTCTCCTTCCTTCCCTCCTTTCTCCTTTCCATTTCTCTACCCTGCTTCCTCTCTATGTAGTCCAGACTAGTTTTTACCTTTTGACTGTCCTGTCTTAGCCTCCAGAGTTCTGCAGTTACAGGTGTGCACCACCACACTCAGCAGGCTTGTTCTTTTGTATTTTTATTTATTTGTAGCCAGTCCTGGAGCTTGAACTCAGGGCGTGGGCACTGACCTTGAGCCTCTCTGTGCTCAAGGCTAGTGCTCTAGCCACAGCACCACTTCGGGCTTTTTCTGTGGATGTGGTACTGAGGAACTGAACCCAGGGCTTCCTGCATGCGAGGCAAGCACTCTACCGCTAAGCCATATTCCCAGCCTCTCAACTTGTTCTTTTTCAGATGCAGTCTGAATACTAAACTCCTTGGCGGCTGCCAATTTGTCATTTGCATCCTAAGAGGAAAAGGAAAAGGCAGGACAGTAACTGTGCATTGTGCCCAGCTGCCCGGATTCTGAAGAATCAGGAAGAGCTTGGAGAACAGCACCAGTGAGTGGGCCTGGGTTAGAGTCACACCTACACCTTGGGGAAATTCACTCATCTAAAGGAAACTGAGGTGAAGGACCAAGAACCCCACTTCTTAACTCCCTGGGCTTTTTGTCAGATGCCACCTCAGTTAGTCACAGTTAGTGCTCACCTTATTGCTGGTTGGCCCAGATGCTCCTCTGGACCATACTAAAATTCCTGTTAGTCTGGGACGGCAGAGGCCATAGGCTGGACTCCTAAATGCCCATCTGCCCACAAGGGACGCCCTCCCCCATACAACTGCAGGAAGGGCACAAGAAATGCCAGTGCCTCCGGCTACCAGGGCCTCTGATGTTTCCAGGGGAATCCATGGCTGGAAACCTCTCGCCTTCAAGAAACCCGCCCAAGGAAGGACCTGCCTCCGCTCACACAGCCTCAGATTTACGAGAGCAAGGCTCGAAGGGACCTGCTGGGGTGACAGATCTCCTCATGGGACACAGGGAGATGGCGTCCACGGTGGGCCGGCTCTAGAGTGGATATCAGAAAAACCTAGGGACAAGCTGAGTGACCTGAGGCTCTGTCCATGGGACCAGAGGCCGTCCGGACCCTTCTGGCTCTGACACTGCCCACTGACTGTGTTACCGGGCACCTCTGCTCTGCCAGGGTTGGATGCAAGGGTTCATGTACAATGCCCGGCACATCACAAACGCTCAACAAATAGTTGACAAATGAATGAATGAATGAATGTTGAAAAGGAACAAGAAGCAGGAAGAAATACTCACATAGGTTACAGTTGCAAGAAAGTCAGAAAGGAAGCCCGTAACAGGGCTGGCATTAAACTGGATCTTCCAGGAACCACAAGTGTGTGATGCATGAACTTGACTGAAATGCTGCCATGGTTGTGGCTCTGCCCGCGAGTCCTGCCTTCGTTTTCTGATGGACAGGCCTCAGGGCAGGGGGCCAGCCCCCACCACCTGCAGACCCCACTCATCCTGTTACCTTCTGCTCCAGTGTTCTTTCCAGAGCATCGACTCGCAGCTGCTCCTTCCGCAGGCTGGCCTGGTAGGCAGCTTGCTCCTGCTGGGCCTTGCCTCGTACCTGGGCAATCTCAGCGTTGGCCCTGAGAGAAAGGAGTTCTGTCACTGTGGGCGGCCATCCCATGTCTCCCTCCTCCCAACACTAGGCAGAGAAAGGGGCCTGGACCCAGCCTTACCCACTCAAGCCTGAGTGGAGAAGGGTACCCAGAGTCTCCAACCCCAAACCACCACTCTGTGGAAATCCTGGTCATTACTACACATGTCCTTCACTACCACAACAGATGCTCAGACTGTGTCCCCGGCACAAGTCATGCTGAAAGACGTGTGTGGATCAGCCACCCTTCCCCAAAACCAAAGTCGGATGCAGACTCCCAGCTGGGCAGGGCCTGAGTTACCTGTCCAGCTTCTCCTCTGCATGCACCTTCAGGGCCTGGTACCTCTGCTCCTCTTTCTTCACGCGGGACAGGTACTCTTGTGCACATTTCTTCAGCACTTCTTCATTCTGACATGGCAAGGGGCAAGGGTCATGGTCATGAGAAGAAACCTACAGACTGATGCTGTAAACCCCAGACAGCTAAGTCTGACTGACTGACTCCCCAGCCTTGGAAAAGCCTCCTCCTTAGTCGACTCCAAGTGGACCTGCGGGGCCTCCTGCCCTCAGGTGCCCACCGACCCTCCCAGCCCCTTCCTGCCTGTGCACTGCGCATGCCCAGCCTCCTCCTCTGCCTGGGAACGAGGGCACACCTTGCGGAAGCCTTCCAGGACCTCCTTCATCTTCTCGTATCTCCTGAAGAGGTCAGCCAGAGACTTCTCCACGGAGTTGAGGTCAGCGAGGGCTTGCTCCTTCTCCAGGACCAGCTGCTGCACTGTTTGGTGGGACACAGACTTCTCTCTCTGTTCATCCTCTGGCAGGAGAGACAAGAAGCCAGACAATGGAGCCTGTGGAGTCCAAGCTGGGTCTCTAGGGGCCAGCAGAGACCTCAGCTATGATTCAGCCTATGTAATAGGTACATTACAAATTCTTGGAACAAATCTACTTTCCAGGGCCTTACCAGATGGCCTCTAAAGGTAAGGAACCCACAATCTCTGCATCCTAGACCAGAGCCTGCACAGTATCACACAGCACAGGAATTAACCTGATTAATGCAGGCCCTTGCAATTCTACACTGGAGACCCCAGATAATTCTATTTCCCCTACACCAAAGAAATCCTGGGGTGGGGAGTGGCCGGGGATGGGGGGGGGGGGATGGAATGCCTCCACTCCCTTTTGGGGAAGGCAAGATATAAGCATGTTATAGCACGGGTTCCAGAGGTGGGTCTTGCTAAGTATTGTCAAAACAGACAGAAAAGTTCACAGGGGGAGAAAAAGGTTTCTTTATCTCTCAAACATCCCAGAAACGCACGGCCACAAAACCCATTCTGCCCTGAAGTTCTGTCTCATGACAACCCTGACATCTTCTTGGCTGCAGAAAGCGTGTGAGTCCAGGCAAAACAAAGATAATTCTGCAAATGTGTCTCTCCATGATGCCCGGAATTGAACTGGCCCAGTTTAGAATGCTGCTCTCTGGCCCACCTCTGGTCCTCTTCTATCCCAAGTCAGTCTCCTATCCCACATGTCTAGGAAACCATGTCTGTGTTGCAGAACAGGCTCTGGAGGGCTGGAAGGGGTGGGGAATAAGTTGTCTGTGGCTCAGGACTGGATCTGAGAGCTGGCTTCTACGGAATCACAACTGGCATTGCTAACACTGGCTGCAAGGGCAGCACCAGCCTTCCTGGGCCCTTCTCTATGTTGAGCACTGAGCTGACTCTCTCGCTCAATGCCCAGCACTAGCACTCAAGAGCAGACCAAGTGTTCTAAAGTGTGAACTAGGCCACCGGTTCTGCACAGAGCTCCTCCTACAGCCTCCTCTGCACTGGGAATGAAGTCCAGACTCCTTCACCCTCTGTCCTCTTTTCAAGCCCTGATGGCCTCAGTTTCCTGGATGGCTCCTGCCCTGGGTCTCCAGAGGTCCCATAGCTTCCCAGGGCTCAGGCCAGTCCCGCCAAACTCTGATCCCATCAGCTCCTGGGAGCTATGGGAAAGGCTTCCTCTCCGCTCCTGAGACTGTTATTCTCTTGTAATAATCATAGAGAGATTTTACTTTGGGCTAAGAAGTTTTCTGAGTTAGATGTATGCTGTATGAGGTCACACAGCTTCATTTCCCACTTGAGGTGGTTCTCACTAGTGAGGATCCATTCGAATTGGTCAGTGGGCACTGAGATTGAGTTCCCCCTCTTCTGACTCGGGGGGGGGGGACGACTGGGTGAGCGGGGAACCAGCCCTGTGCTGCAGGATGGGGGCCCTGCCCGGGGAACCAGAGGTCTCCCCAAACATCCCCCATCCCTCTTTCTCTGCTTCTGTGATTCTGGAGGCCTTAGCACTCTTGTTCCTAGCAGCCCAGAGCCACCAGGACAGTGATCAAACTCCTGTGTCTGACAGCCGGGGTTCAAATCCTGATTCTGACACTTCCCAACTGTGTGATCTTGAGCAAGGTTTTTGAGCTCTGTGGGTCTCAGCCTCTTCCCGCTCCCCAAAATAGGAGATGACATTGATCTATCTCAGGGTATTTGGGGAAGAGTAAAGGAGAGGCTGAATATAGAGCCCTCGACATCCAGGAAACGTTGGGTGTTGGTGAGACACTGTCTACAAAGAGCCCTGAAACGATCACCCCCATTTCACCCCCAAATCTGAGTGGCAGAGACTTGAATGGCAAAATCTGCGGAACAATGGCTTGTCAAATGGTGAGCATTTTAACACAGGGAACAGAATAGAATCACCAATGACCTATATGCTACATATCCTCCCCTCACCAGGGCATTTTCATGTCCCACTAGCAACCAAATGCGTGTCTGTATTCTCTGACATTTTAGCTACTTCCTCAGTTCCCATCATGCTGTTCAATGTACGTTCTGGGCGGATTCAGGGCCACATACGCATTTCACTGGGCAGGCTAAAAGAGTCATTTATCAAACCAAGCCCATCTGATTTCCTGGATCTAAGAAATCTCCTGCCTCAGGTTTCCTTTCCGGACTTTTAAAAATAGAATTGTTCAGGAGACTGAGGTAATGAGACGCTGCATAAATCTTTTGTTACATGACCAATGCAGTTAGAGTCTTAAAATCAGGAAATCAGACTTAATCCAAAGACACAGAAGACTCAACAACAGAACAATGCCGCCGACCGCACCACTGCTTTTCAGGCAACACACTGTGAAATCAGGTAGGGAATGAAGCAAAAGCACAAAAGAAAAAGAAAAAAAAATAACAACTAAGAAATAGCAAAAGAAAACACAAGCAGAGGTGGCAATGGACAGGGGCCAAATGAGGGGGAGAGCGTCTACTTACCAGGCTTGCCTGCTTGTTTTGCAAGCGTAGGGCAAAAGCAAAAAAAACGACAACCACAACAACAACAACAAAAATGGAAGCAAAACAGATCATCAGGGCAATTGTTAGAAAAGCAGAAAAGAAAAATCAATTGCAACAACCTGGAAGGCAGAAAGCATTGAGCTCTCTTGGTGGATTACATTCTGAACAGCCACTATTTGAGCGTTAGTAGAGACGGGACAGTGACCCTGGGGCTGAAACATCTGTAAAAGACGTGTGGGAGCCACGGAGACGGAAGAGCTAGCGTGGGTGGAGTGAGCTGGTGTCCACTTTAAAATGCTTTTACATTCACTCTGCTCCTGGGCTGCCGAGCTCAGGCGGGAGTTCCCTGCAACCCAAGTGATGCTGAGTAAGGGAGTGACAAGATTAGATAAATGTGGAATCCAGATGAGGTTCACAGGCGTGTTTCCATATATGGAGAGCCTCACACCTTCCCCCAAAAGAAGGCACTTACGCCCACAGCAGACAGCTCCAGTCATATCAAGGACATCAAGGACACGGGGGACCTTGACATGTCTAGTGGACTGCGGCAGGGGCAGGGACAAGTGCAGACATACCACTTTCCTGATAAGGAAAGTTCTGGAAAAGGGGATGGCAAATGAGGAGCAGGTATTGACGGGGGAGAGGATTATGTGGCCAGGATCCCCAGCACCAGGCAAGAGGGAGACTGATAGCAATCTGTGGAGGGCCAAGTGGGTAACACATTATACATACACTCTCTCAAAATGGCCTTGGGTTGAAAATGTTCTGGCTAGGGCTGGCAAGGTGGCTCAGTGGTAGAGCGCTTGCCTTGTATGCATGAGGCCCTGGGTTCGATTCCTCAGCACCACACAAACAGAAAAAGCTGGAAGTGGCACTGTGGCTCAAGTGGTAGAGCGCTAGCCTGGAGCTGAAGAGCTGAGGGACAGCACCCAGGCCCAGAGTTCAGGCACCACGACTGGCGAAAGAAAGGAAGGAAGGAAGGAAGGAAGGAAGGAAGGAAGGAAGGAAGGAAGGAAGGAAGGAAGGAAGGAAGGAAGGAAGGAAGGAAGGAAGGAAGGAAGGAAGGAAGGAAGGAAGGAAGGAAGGAAGGAAGGAAGGAAGGAAGGAAATGTTCTGGCTGCTCTCACCTGCCAATCAACAGGGCCGGCTAGCCCTACGTTCCCATAAGGCCATGCCACTCCTGCCAAGGTTTTCACTGTGAGTTCCCAAGAGGGAGCATTTGCTCCTATCAATGTCCCCAAAAGCTCGGGGTCTCCCACCTCCACTCCGCCCCTCCCCAAGGGCCAGCTCCAAGGTCAAAACCAGAACCGTATGATGAGATGTGGCAGCCTTCCAGATGAGCTACACTAGCTTTACATGATGACCTCACATCCCCAAATTCTTAGGAGGCCAAAAGTTGTGCTGGGCGTGCCAGATACTACGTATTGGAAGACATAAATCCTTCATCCTGACTGCTTTTACCGGTATTTTTAATTCCAAGAGTTTTAACCTTTATCTCATCCATATGTGTTCATAAATCCTCCCCCAGCCATATATCAAGAAATGTCATCCTGATGGAAGGCATGTGCCGGGAGACTCATGCAGCTTCCGGAACTGGGGGTGAAATGGCCTCCGCGGCCATGCACCGCCACGGACGCTCCTGAGAGCAGAAGGTTCTCAACTGACGGCACCAGCACCCTCGCAGCCCCTGGTCTGTGTTCCCAGGGACACACTGGAAGGGAGGGGGTCCCACGTGGGAGCAAAGCGCTGGTCTGCTAGCACAGGGTCAGGCCCGAATGCATCCACCTGGTTCACAGCCTGTGGAGAGCTAACCCCAGGAATCCTCAGAGGCAACGGACTTTAAAAAGACTGATTACCGTGACCCTAAGCAAACACATAGATAGCTAGACAGCTAAACAAATATGACCTCCAAATTATAACCTCATTTCTGAACTGTGGTCCTAAGTGTAAAATCTCAGGCTTGGAGCTTCTGTAAATTTCAGAAGAAGGAGAAGAAGAAGAAGGAGAAGGAACAGAAGGAAGGAGAGGAAGAAAAACAGGAGAAGGGAGGGGGGAGAGGGGGAGAGAGGGAGAGGGAAGGAGAGAGGAAGAGGGAAGAAGAGAGAGAGGAAGAGACAGAAAAAAATGAAAAGAAAAAAGCTCCAATTGTATATAACTTGAGGCTTCCTTGCTTGCTTGCTTCCCTTCCTTCCTTCTCTTTCTTTCCTTCCTTCCTTCTTTCTTCCTTTCTGTTTTTGCTTTGTTTTTGGTGCTGATCCTGGGGCTTGAATTCCGGAACTAGGTGCTATCCCAAGCTTTTGCATTCAAGGCTTACACTGTCCCATTTGAGCCACAGCACCATTTCTGACTTGACTTTTATCTATCTATCTATCTATCTATCTACTTATCTATCATCTATTTGGTGATTAATTGAAGCTAAGAGTCTCACTTTCCTGCCTGGGCTAGCTTTGAACTTTGATCCTCAGATCTCAGCCTCCTGAACAGTTAGGATTAGAGGTGTGAGCCACCAGCACCCAGCTAAGAGGCTTTCTTTTATTATGGACCAAAGCAATCTGCCAGCACCGGCTGTCAGGGCACTGTGTTAAGGAGGACTCTAGGCAGTGGCTCCAAACCTATATATAAAAGCTGAGCAGAGGATTCTGTTCATTAAGACTACACTAAATTAGGGTTTAGGAACTTGCTTCCTCTATTCCTGTACACTAGGACCCAACCCTAGTGTATTTCCTCAAGAGGAGACAGGCCCTGGCTGAATCAAACAGTGTGTACAGAGGTTGGAGTTCATGAGCAGGGACAATGGAAAGCTCTTCTGGCAGGCGTTGCTCTTTTGGGCTGATTCCCAGGAGCTGGCTCTGAGCCCCCGACCCTCAGCGCTCCCCTCCCCCATTCAGAAACCACAGGCAGGTCTGCGCCTGGGCAGGCACCTACCTATCATCTGTGCAATCGTCTTCTCGTACTCGGCCACGATTTTCCTGCAGGAGAAGCAGATGCAGATCAGACTCCAAGAACAGAGCAGTGTTTAAGCTCACATCGTGCTGGGACTCAGCATTCCACAATGTGACCCCAACACACAACAGGGCCAGGCTGGCTTCACATAGCAGGGCTACCCTAAGTCTTCTCCTTGCACACCAAGTGGGTTCCTTTTCCTAGAGCCTGATCCAAACGCACAACTCCCTGCCATGGAGACCCTGACACCACCCAGCTGGAAAGGGCTTCAATGAGGTGGAAAGGGGCTTCACAGCTACAGGGCAGCTCTCCCCAGCTTCCCGAGGGCAGAACCAAACCCCACCCCAAGCACAGGTAACCTCACAGCCAGGAAAAGGAACCATGACAGGGGTTCACTGGGTTCCTCCCAAGTTCCCCACGATTAACTGATCCCCCCCTCGCATCCCAGAATCACAAAGCTGTGATGGAATTTCCCATCTTCACGGAAGATGGGGAGACCATAGGCCTCAGAGTGTCTCTGTGACCTTTCTCTTCATCTTGTCCTCACAGGGACCTTACAGACTGTCTCTCAGTGGTCCCAGCATTACTGAGGATGATGCTGGGACACAGACAGTCACAGAGCAGCAGAGCTAGGAACCCTAGTTTATTATTCTGATAATAAACCAGCCCTTGCCACTGCACTTAAGTGCGGTGTATGTTACATGCTGGAGACCCTACTTCTACCATGCCACACAAACAAATGAAAACAAATCACTTACGATTTTCAAACCTCAAAAGTTTTGGGTTGAGAAGTAGAAGCTGGTGGGGGAGATTTTCCACTGTTCATATACTTATGAGATTGCATTTATGAACTCCATTTTAATCATAGTAATAAAATGAAATTACTTTTATAAAAATATGCTTTGTATAAATAAAGAAAAGAGGACGCCACCTATAGAAGACACTATCTGAGAGTCACACCCCAGTCGAAGCCATTATCAAACCACAGCTCAGCATCTCTGGGCACCAGGCAGACCAAACTCCACAACTCACCTCATTTCCATCACTTCCCGCCTGCTTTCTTCATATTTATCTTTCCACTCTGAGACCTCTCTCTCCTTGGTGATGACCTAGGATGAAGGAGAAGAAGAGAAGGTTAATTTCAGGCCTGACCAGATCCAGTCAACATCAAATAAGTATGGAATCACAACTTCCTGCACCAAACCCTAATTGTATTCAGAGAACTTCCCTAAGCAGGAAGAAAGAAGCCAGAAACGAGACTTCTCAAGGTCCACTGGGAAGCAGTGCTTCCTGTTGCAATACATGGACAAAGACATTTGTGCTCATGAACAAACCCCACCATTTGCCACACAGCAGCATTCAGTTTTTTTTTGTACCAATACTGGGGACTGAACTCAGGGCCTAGGCATTGTCTCCTCGATGTCTGCTGAAGGTTGGTGCTTTATCATTTTAGCTCCAATTCTGGCTTTTTGGTGGTTAACTAGAGATGATAAGAGTCTCATAAACTTTCCTGCTTGGTCCAGCTTTGAACTGTGATCCTTAGTTCTCAGCCTTCTGAATAGCTGGAATTATAGGCGTGAGCCACTGGCACCTGGCGCCTGTGGCATCCAGAAGACAAAATCTGTCTCTAAAGACACCAGCTCTGTGGGTAAACATGTTATTGATGAGTAGCACAGCCACCAGAGCCACCTCCCCCCACGCCACAAGCCACGGTACCTCTGCTCTGGCAACCTGCAGTGCAGAGTCCAAGTCAGGCTGTGGGAACAGAAGGCCTGCCGGTTTCTCTACCTCAGTGGTCCCGATGCGGGAGTACAAGGCGGTTTTAGAGATGGAGACATCAGCTGGGTGCGCAGACTCTCTCTGTGGAATGGTTTTACATTAAAACAAAACAAACCAGCAGTTAGCTTTAATGGGACGACAAAGGCAAGGGCATTCATCATGTCATGGATCGCATTCATCCTCTCAGCTGCATGGCTTCCAAACAAAGAACACCAGAAGTATGAGAAAATGCAAGGACTAATGAATGGAGCAGTGCCAGGTGCAGTGGAGGGAGATCCATCATTCTGTACCTGACAAAGGGGCTAATGCAGAAGCCCTGGGAGCTGAGTGCGTCTGGTGCCTGCTTATCACTGCCATTTATCAGTCAGAGAGCCACTCGGCACAATGTGTAAGGACTGGAGTTATTATCTAATGGGCTCCACGTCCACGTGAGTCTTGCTGAGGACCAATACTGAATCTAAGTCTAGGTTTACTTAGTTTTGAATAACCCCAGATCTGATTATTTTCCTGAGACTAGATACATTTCAATTTGGGGAGGGGGAGAGGTGACATCTGGGTGGCTCCCTGTGGACAGATGTGATGCACACAGAACTTACATTGCTGTCAACCCTATTGACTCCAACAACCTGAGTTTCTGCATGTCAGAGTTATGCTGGAGTTGGAAGTGATGTTGGCCCTGCCTGTAGGTCTGTTATGCAATGAGGAGCTTGAAAACTGGGTCAATGTCTACACTGAAAATTGTGGGATCAGACCCACAAGTCATTTGGTCCCCTCCCTCCCCTGATGGACATTGGTTTGAGGCCTCTTAGGCCTCAAAGAGGTGAGCAAGGGCCAGCCATCCTTCCTTTCACACAAAATGCTTAAAAACTTGCAGCCCAGTTACAATAGCTATTAGAAGCTTCATCAGCTAGCACAGCCAGGCTTGTCAGCCTAACTCTACCTTGTCAGCCTAACTCTACAGCAAAAGAAACACCAAACCAACCAACCACTCTCAGTCCTATTCATTAACCTCACGGTGCCAACCTCGTGGCTGCCAACGTGACATCCATCTTAGTTGACAGTCCAATTCAGGCTGAGGTGACAGTGGCCAAATGGGCAGAGTGGAACTGCTCGTTTCTTGAGAGATTAGGAAAGCAACTTGAGCAGTGAACAGAACACCACAGTGCAGTAGAGAGGTCAGGAGGCTGAGGGCTGATAAAAGGCAACAGATGAGACTGGAAGGCCAGCAGTCTGGAGAAGGGGTGGACCTGAAGGCCTGTGAGTGGGATGACTATAAAGACAGGAACAGCACGTGTACACACCACAGACTGGGGCAAAGGCCGGGGCAGCGACACGGGCTGGAAAACATAGGCAGAGGTGTAATGAATAGGACTGGTGGTTACTGAGTTAGGGCCTGTTAGTTGTCCACATGCAAAGTGCGCTCAGTAGATTAGCTTGTCCTGGAGCAGAGCCTGTCACCTGGACCTTGCTGTCCCTGCCTGGCCTTGCATCTCTGGATACACTCTGATACGGCTTCCCGCTGAGCGCTCGCTCAGAGCCAGGAGCACGCAATGCAGGCCAACCACACCCCAGCTACTAGCTCAAGTGTCACGTGTCCCTCAATCTTCTTGGCCTCCTGTCCTCCACAGGCCTCTGTTCCTAGGACTCCTGACAGGCACCAGCAAGCAGCTTCCAAATTCAGGAGAAGAAGCGCCACAAGCCACAAGGGACACTTACAGAAGCTCATCTCTGCTGTTTGAGACCGTGTGCATCATTCTACCGATACTAGAAACTTCAAAGAAGTAGCTGGAGAAGTATACCTAGAGATTCAGTCTCAATGCTTAGATGGATTCAGTAGCAGGTTCATCCTCCCAAAAGGACTTACAAAGAAAACAAAATGTTCCTGTCACGATCACATGTGTTCTTTCAAAAATCAGAACAGAAAATTTCAAAATGAAAAACAAAAACACTGGAGCTGCCAGAGTCAGCCTGGTCCTTCTAAAGATGAAAACCCAGAGGATGGGAAAACTTTGGCCTGCAGATCTCAAATGAGATCCAACTCCAACCCCAAACAAGCCATCTCTGATGCACATGAGAAGATTAACTTGTGTCACCTTGAACAGGAGCTACATAGGACCAATGAAGAAAATACTAATCTTCAAGCTGCCTAAAGTCCTTTGTCAAGCAAGGAAAGAAATGAAAAGTAAATAAATAAAACGGAGTGAATTCAAAGCCATAGAACCCTCCAGAACAGTTCACTGTGACTTTTCACCACAGTTATCTGGTATCTTCGACAAGGAGACAAATGGTTTTAGGACTCACATGAATGACTCCTTTTTTTTTTTTTTTTGCCAGTCCTGGGGCTTGAACTCTGCCTGGGCACTGTCCCTGAGCTCCATTTGCTCAAGGCTAGCACTCTACCACCTGAGCCACAGCACCACTTGTTTTTTTCTGTGTATGTGGTACTGAGGAATCGAACCCAGGGCTTCATGAATGCTAGGCAAGCACATTACCACTAAGCCACATTCCCAGCCCACGAACGACTACCTTTATCCACAATCTGCTTGTTCATGAAATTCATGGTGCACAGCCTGGTTTTTCCTTACAACCAAGAGTTGTTTTCAACCGCAATTAAGAGGTTTGTCTCTCGCTGTTATTTTAAGATCAGATATTTTTAGAGTAACCTTTCTTTCTCTCACACAATCCCCCACTTGTTACTGCAGAGAGGCCAAAGAAAGCCAAAGCAATCACAGACTGAAATGTGAAACAGCCTCAGCTCCCAAAGCCCCGACACCTCATCCACACCTTGAGTCTCACGAGCGCCTCTAGACCACTGACGCTCCCTTCATGCCTGCAGCCTTATGTCTGGAGGCTTGCTGGTTTTTTGGCCAGGGATGGATTCTGTCGCCTGCTGGGTTTCGAGTTCTCCTGTGGCCAGTTCCCGACTGCCAGGCTTCAGGGCTGGCACCAAGCAGAATATGTGGCCCCTGAGCAGTGAGAGGTTGATGGCAGGGAATTCAAAGTACAGCTCAGAGGTCAGGAGAGGCACAAAGGGGCTGCCCTGGGCTGTCACCAGAGGGCCCAGGCCAGCTGAGCTAGGGCCACCGGGCAGGGCCTGAGTGTGTCTGGGCCACATGGTCCAGTCCACATAAGAGAATGGCCTTAAGCCAGTGCCGTCTCATTCAAGTCTGACAGTGGATGGCTCTCAAGGCCAGTAACTGCGCGCATCGGGAAGCGCTTGGCCACACCTTTGCCCACTCTGCACAGGGCACCAGCAGAAACCGGCCAGGCCTGACCACTGCATCAACACACAGATGCCTCACTCTAAAACCTAAGCTCCGGAAATGACTACATGTTCTCAAAGCTGGGAAACAAGCAGAAGCCTACGAACTAGCCTTCAGTCATCATCTCGAGTGGCCTCCACACCAGTCGCTGTCCTTTGGACTCCCTGTCCAATGCTGGTAGGAGATGGTGGCTGGGGTGTCTCACTGTGGGAGGGTGATCCTGACCCAACTCCTGTTCAGAGGTTTGTCAGATACAGGCACCTGCCCAGGTGAGCCAGGATGCCTGGAGGGATGGAGACACAGAATTCATGGCCCTCCCCTCGCCAAGGTGCTTCCTGCTAAGACTTGCTCCCATTTGTGTGACCTTGTTTCTAAGTCACCCGATCACCACACAACGTCTCACACACACACAGACTAAACTTTTATCTTCACGCCTCACACCCACAGGAAAGCCAAAGACAGGCTATTCAGGCTCCATCTAGCCTGGGTTAGGGTTAAGACTCAGGACTGCTACACCAAACTCAGAGATCTGGTCCGATTTACTTCCTAGAGATCACAACTGAATCCAGGTCCATCATAAGTGTGTGGGAGAAAGTCCAACAGCCCAGCTCCGAACTCGTCACTTCTAATAGTTCCTAACCAGTCACCAGAGAACCTCTATGTACAGTTTCTAAAGGCTGGCTCAGCTATCAATCCAAGAAGAAACATCCGTGGAAGGAGGCTCTCAGGAGCAGCCAGATTCCCCTCCCCAATTCCCTGCTGCAGGACATCCCACCTATATGATATTCTTTGTTCCGAGTGATTTCATTTTTGTGTCAGCGTCAGTTTAAGGCCGTGCTACAAAGACCTGCAGCTGAATTAAAGGGGCCATCACACAGCTATAAGAGAAAGAAAACCACAGGGGCCCTACTTGTTTGAGGTTAATGGACCATGGTTGGGTTAGCTGGATAGCAAGAGCAACTGTTTAAGGGCTGCAGCCAACAGATCATATATTTTTCCAAAAGCAATACAATGCTACGGTAGACACAAATATTTCTTATCCTCCAAGACTGTTCTTCCTTAACGGGCTATTCCCTTCTGCATGTGTCTGAAATGTATCAGGATGTGGCTTGGTTTGCTTCTCCAGCCCACACTTAGTGGATCCATGTGGCATTTCTTCCTAAATCAAAATCAAGACACAGGTCTGAAAAAAAAAAACAACAATGACTAAGGGGAAGTCAACGATCTGTCTGTTTTCCAGAGACCATCTCTGACACAGTCTCAAAGGGATGGGGTTTCCATGGTATCCCAGAACACTTCCTTCACAACCTACTATGCTACTTACCAGGATGCATTCATTCTGCCCCCTGATTTTCCTGAACAGGAATATGCTATTTATAGTAGCAGAATCTCAGGCAATTCCCTCTGTCTTTAAGCCATTCCACAAGAATATCAAGAACTACATCTAGCAGAGGGGAAATCCACACTGCTTAAGGCTTTCTGAAAATCTCCCTTTCATGGAAATTCAGCTCATGCCACAGGCATGGCAGCAGTATCAAAGACATCAACAAACTGTATTTGTTTTCCCTGTCCTGTCTGAATCCCACAGTTCTCAGTCTGGAGACTCATGGTGGGACTACCCCCTATGTCTGGGAGGGACTTCTGCTGGGCTAGTCCACAGGTGAAACTGCACCCCTTTGAGTGAAACAGCACCTGCTCCTGAACCAAGAAGTGTCTCTCTAGATGATCTGGTACTTGAGATGACGGGCAATGTCGCATTTGGGTACCCCGGTGGCTCTATGTCCTTAGACCAAATGAGATGTGGCTCTGTGTCCCTATGGGAGATGCTGTGAGCATCTGATCACATAAGAAGCAGACATACAATGCTAGCTAACCATAGCTCCATCCTTTATTGTACACCTACTCTGTGCCAGGCTCCAGGCTACTTTCCACAGGTGTGGTCCTTCCCATGGTAAGCCTCTTCTCACAGCTGAACAATCTAGGCTCATCCAAGGCTCAAGGACACAGAACACAAGAGGATTCCAAGGCTATATTCAAAGACCTTGGCTCACTGGCCTTCTGAGAGAAACACACACAGCATCTGCATGCTCTCAGCAGCAACTCATTCAATCTGTTCAGAAAGGTGACCTCAAACCTAAGCAGAAAGAGTTCTACCTGCCCTGTGAATGTCACACTCCACTCACAAAGCAGGGACTACAATCCATAGACCAAAGAGCCTGCTGCCTTCTTTCATTTTGTTTCATTTAAGGGTTCATGCCTATATTCCTAGCTACATAGGAGACTGAGATCTTAGAACCATGGTTTGAAACCAGTCCCTGCAGACAAATCTGAGACAGTTATTTCCAATTTAATAGCAAGAAGCCAAAAATGGACTGTGGCTCAAGAACACCGGCCATGAGCAAAAACACCATGTGACAGAAAGATACCCTGGGCACGAGCCCCAATATTAGAACAAAAACAAAAACAATTCCGTGCCATCTCTGTGTGTGTGTTGTCTGAGGCTGTGGCAGGTGGGGCAGCTGTGACAGGAGCCATTGACCCTGAAAATATGAGGTGTGTTAACTGTGTATCATTTTACCAAAAGGAGGGCAAGCCTCATCTACAGCATGATGTAGCATCTCCAGGGAGGTCTGGCTACTTACTACTGATTCTCAGTCAGGTTACACATGAATTGTTAGAAGTCAGCAGAGTTCCACAGAGAGGCAAATGACATCGTAGGAAAAAAGGCAACCTCAAAGGTAACTTTGTTCTTTCTGTTGAACTAGTATTCGTTAATTGAATCCCTAACTGCTTTGCCATCTTATTCCAGTCTTCTTAAGCGCCCCATCATCCCACACCCTGAGGCTCTGCACTGGTTTCTCTAATCCTCGTCTATGGGACAGGGCAGCACTGCCCTCTGCTCATTCCTTTGCTCTCCAGTTAAGCAGTGTGTATTTATGCAAGAGTTACACTCAGCCCTTTGGAAGTCACACTTGGTCAGACACCACAATGCCCGCCTGGCTGATGGGTTAGCGATGCAGTCCTGGGATCTCGTGGCACACACAGCATTCCCAGGTAGCAGCACAGGGCACTGCAGCGGCAAACAGGTACCTTGGTGTCCTGGCGGCTGCGAGAAGCCAGGGCAATCTGCCTGGCCAGCTTCAGGGCTTCTATCCGCATGATGGCAAACTCTAACTCCTCCTGCCCAAGGGGTTGGGGTGTGAGCAAATTGCAGGGAAATGCGGCAAGACAGACACAATGTATTCCACATCCAAGAAATGAATGTGCCACACAGATGCGCCATGACAGGTACTTGGCAAAAACACACGCTCAGCTTTCTCTCACAACGAACACCTCAGCAGATCATGAAATAAACATTCAATTTCTGTTCTCTTTGTAGTTGTCATGTTTGTTTGTTTAAATGACCCTTGAATGTCTGTCAGAGAGTATCAGCTGATGACAGAAAAAGAAGATTTTTAAAATAGAATCAAAGTGTCAACTACAATCGTATTCTTTGATTTCCTTCCTGTTGTTTCTTATAGAGTTAGCCATCACCCCCCGGGATGGCTGGATATATGTCTCTCACGTGGCTGTTTAACCATCTCTCAAGGCTAGAGCTGAATGCTCGAGTCCAGGGGATATCAGATTAAGTTGTCAAATTTCAAGTACAGGGTAGATAAATCATTTGGGTTCCAGATGTAGGCTGAGTCCAGATGCTATCTCAGTGGGAATCTGAGACTGCTTTGTATATCTAGACAGCCTGGCTGGACGGCGACCGAATGCCTTTGGTTCAGTGCGTGAATCCTACTGCCTTTCAATGCATCTGAAAAATTGACTGTTAGGACCCAATTTCCAAAGCATAACAGAAATGTTCGTTCAATATGTAACTGCACAATTCATACAGCGCTGGCTGAAGTACACCACAGGTGTCAGTGTTTGACGGGAAGATTTTCCATCTGGAACATTCCCAGAGCTTCCTCATGAAGTCCCTGTCTCAGCTTACTTGGCACTTAGGGGTTCATTCTCTACTGAGGTTTTGACAAACTCCCAAAAGGTCACACATGAACTACAAACCTGAAGTTTCTGAGCAAATACTGGGGGGTTCTTTTCTGCTAAGTCAGGTTCCAGATAGTCAAGTGCACCACAGAGAGAGGCAGGATGGGCCAGCCTGCTGAGGAGAGCGTCAGCAGAGGCAAAGGCTCCCTCCGGAGATGTCTGACCGCCGGCAGAGAGGACACAGGAGAAAAATAGAGGAGAGGAGAGTGGTATTGGTTCCAGGCAAGGCCAATGCATCCATGTGATGGAGACCAATGCCTTAACATTTAAGGGAGTATCATTAGCTGCCCATACTTGACTGCGGGCAGCTGGAGATGCGCAGGCCCACCCTTCCCCCAAAGCTGGGTCTTAGGTGCGCGCCCCACCCACAGGCTCCCTTCGCTCTCTAGACTGAAGATGAGAATCAAGTTCAAATTTACTTCACTATTTCAAAAATCCCAATGGGTAACACAACTCCATTAAGGAAATATCTCCAAGTATAAATGTCAGATGAAGAACAATTTTAGTAAAAGTCATCTAAATAAACGGAAAGATGACATAAAAGGGAAAAGTGTCTCCTGGTAGCTAAGAAAGTTCGAAATCAGAAGCCAGCTTTAGAAGGGAACCACGGATGCATGTTTGTGAGATGGACTGACAGCTAGACCTTCGCCTCACTCACTAGCTGCCAGACACAGAGCAGGCAGGTATTCATTCAGTGCTTGTTGCACGAGATAAATGAAATCTCCCACTACAGAACAAAACTAACACCCTGAACCAATGGCTTCAAAACTGGATTAGAGATTCCTAGGAGGGAGGCAAAAGACCTAAAAATAAGATTCACTTTACCTAGAAGGCACAGGGAGAGGGGTGGGTGAGGTCTATGGCCTAGGGCTCTGGGTCCTGCAATCCCTGGCAGGAGCTGGGAAAGGAATGGTCACTGTCCTGGTCTATAAGCAGGAGAACTTTCCTATCACTGACATTAAGGAAAATAAAACAGCTGGGGCCTAAAAGGAAGGTGTTTCCTGATCTACACTTCTGTGCTTGCCACAGAGGCTGAAAAGGTGGAGACTGACTAATCATGGTTCCATGATGTCCAGTCCAGTTCCGAGAGGAGAGGGGTGGAGAACAAGAGGAAACAAATAATCATGGGTAAACAAAGCACTCAAGCACCACAGTGGGTATGAAGGGCCTTCCCTTCACTGTTACGCTGTGGGGTCTCCTCTAAGTCTTGGGGCCAGGGTGGGGTCCTATGGCAGGTGCTAGGTGAGCGATGATGGTACCCAGTGAGCCCAGTCTCATCCCTGGTCATCTCAAGCCTCTCTGCCTCCACTTACAATTCCAATGGCGTCTGATGGGGTGCCCAAGGCCATGGCCTCCAGCTCCTTCTGGGAGGATTTCTCTGGCACCTGCAAATGAGGCTCTTGGTTAGAGGCGAGCCCACACGTGACAGGATGCTGGATCTTTACTGCAGCGTTCACGAGAGCTTCAGTCTCCTCAAAACTTGACCTGAGGAAGCAAAGGACAGCTTCAGGGTCCTCTCTTGGAAAAGCCACTGAAACCAAGCAGAAGCAGTATCCCAAGGGATCCCCACTTCCCAGTCTGCGTCCCCAGGCTAGGTTACCAGCAGCCACCCAATCTCATGGTCCAGCCCCATCCCAAGGCCAACCCATAAGGGAGGGGTAGGGAGGGCACGGATACCACCGGCTAATAGGTAGTTAAGCAGGTAGCCTATTGTTTGGCTGTGTGCTCTGGGGAAAAGACTGGGCATCATGCCTCAGTTTCCTTTCCTATAAGACAACGTACCTTTGGGAAGATGAAATGAGATGTGGGATGCATGTAAAATATCCCACAGTGCCCATCATAGGGTGCTACCACACTTTTTATACTAATACCACTTCACTACCTGGATTCTATTCTCCAGGGTCCCGAGTAAGTGTGAGAAACCAAGGCAAGAGCATTTGCAGCAGCTCAGTAAGAGGATGGTCCCCACCTTATAGCAATGCCCCACACCTCCCCAACCAAATGGGGCCCTGGTCAGAACACCAACCCTGACAGGTACAAGCATGAGCCCCTCGTAAATCATGCTTGTCTTCGTCAGACCAGGCACGTAGAAGCCAGGTGCTTGTGCCTAACACTTGACTGATGGCCTGCTTTTGTGTTCCCTAAATCCCTTAAGAGGTCAGTTTATGACTCTTACTTTATACTTAGGGAAATTGAAGTATATGAGGGTCAAATAACTACCATTAGGTCACAGCCAATAAGAAGTAGAGGTGAAATTTGAGTGGTTATGTTTTTTTTCTCTCTGTGTGTGTTTTGTTCTGTGTGTGTGTGTGTGTGTGTGTGTGTGTGTGTGTGTGTGTGTGTGTGTGTGTGTGTGTGTGTGTGTGTGTGTGTGTGTGTGTGTGTGTGTGTGTGTTGCGCTTGTACAGGGGCTTGAACCAGGGCCTTATGCTGTTGACCTTTTCCCTGCAAGCTGGTACTCTACCACTTGAGCCATACCTTCACTTTGGGCTTTTTACTGGTTAACTAGAGATAAAGAGTCTCATAAACGATTCTGACCAGGTTGGCTTCAAACAGTGATGCTCAGCTCTCAGACTCCTGAGCAGCTAGGATTATTATAGGTTCTGAGTGCTATTCCACATTGGACAAATGCCAGCAGAACACTGTATGTGAATTGTTCAGGCATCTGTGAAAGGATTTCCCCTTCGTCCACAGGGTCTCCAGCAACAGAACCAGGGCACCTGTGTCTGTGTGGCAGAGGATGGAATGGGTCTGCCTGGGTCAGGGTCTGAGTCAGGGTCAGGGTCTGTCTGACTGTGCATGAGTGGAATGAAGTCAGGACAGCAGGGTGAAGACGCTTGGGAGCTAGGGCTCATGGCTGATCTGTAACTCCCTCATTGTCATACCCTGAACAAGGCGTTGGAGAATCTGACATCCGGACGGGAGGAGACTTGACAGGGCTCTCCTGAGACGTGTCAAACATGAGGTACAAGGCCTGCTTCTTCAGGGTGTCATCCTCCTGCTGAGGGAAGAGAGGCTTGCGTCAGCCTGGGCACAGGCATCACCCGGATGAGAATCAAAGCGAGCGTCATCAGTGGGAGCAAATACGTCTTTAGTATTTAGGGAAAACACTTGGTTGCTCTTGAGTGACTGGAGGAGAGGGAGATGTGAGGGCCGGCTGGCAGGGGACAGGGGAAAGAGGGAAAATGGGACCCACTGGGGAATGGAATGCCAGCAAGGCGAGAAGGTCCAGACCGCACCTCCACGTGCAGTCTTCAGCCATCCCACTCATTGGCCATGCTATCAGGGCCCAACAGCATGCGGGCTCTGAGGACCCACAGGGGTTACGGCGAGATCCAGTGCTCACGAGCAAGGGGGAGGCCAGCCTGCTGACGAGCACACCACTAAGGACCAGAAAGAGAACAAAACCTGAGCTGGGTTTGAGAGGACCGGCTCGAAAGGCCTGGACAAAGGTGAGTGTCCAGGTACATTCAGAGCCTGCAGAGACGCTTGGCTGGGCTGGGACATGGATGGGCTTATGGTATGCAGCTAAGGGGAAGGAAGTTAGGTTCACAGGGGCCGAGGCTAGACCCTTTCCAAGGCTTTGAGTGCTGAACTTAGGAACCCAGAGACCCCTCTGCTGCCCTGGTGGGTCCCCAAGGAAGCTGCTATACTGCTCTGAACCAACAAAGAGAAAATTTCTGGACAGTGAAATCCTTCTCTAAGAAATGTAAGCTAATCATCATCATTGTCATCATCATCATCCTCATCCTCCTCCATCATCATCACAACCATTCCTGATTCCTGACCACCTCAGCTCCACTCGAATAGGAAATGATATCCCCCTCAGTACACAGTGTCACATACTGGGGATGCACTGTGACCTCAGGGGCAAGCCACACTCCAGGAAATGTACTGAGGGACAGTGTCAGTGCTCAGTACATTACTCAGGGGCGGTCATTTTAGTCTAGGTCTACCGGGGCTCATTGTCCTGCCTGGCCTGAAGTCCAGGAGTAGCAACTCCAGCATTTAAGATCAACTTACAGCAAGACAAAGAAGAGTGTGACATGTCCATGGCCATTTAGTGCCCCAAACAAGCCCTGCCATGCACCTCAAAGGCTATGAGGACACTGCTGGACAGTAGCACAGAAAGAGGTCATACCCAGACCAAAATGCCAGGCAGCAGCTATAAAGCTGGCAAAGATGGCTGTTGATCATTAGTGACTTAACATGTGAGGAGGGACGGGCAAGGCTTTCTGCCCAAAGAAATACTCAAGTTATTTAAAACAATTAGTCAGCCCTCACAATCCACAGGGAACATCCATCAACTGGTTCCAGGGGACCTCAGATAGCACAACCTGCTGTAAAATGGCCGCATTTGCATATAAGTGGCATGCACCCTTCCTGGGTACTTTAAATCATCTCTAGATTACTTACATTACCCAGGATGTGAACAATACGTAAAAATTTACTACGCAATATATTCATATAGAAAAATAGTAAGTAAATATGTCTATACATGTTTAGTACAGATACAACTTTTTAAAAAGAAAAAAATGTATTTTTCTTTGATGTCACTATTGGGGCTTGAAATCAGAGCCTAGGCATTGTCTCTGAGCTTTTTCACTCAAGGCTGGTACTCTTCCACTTGAACTTCACTTGCAGCTTTTTTGGCGGTTAATTGGAGAAAAGAGTCTCATGGACTTTCCTGCCCATGCTGGCTCTGAGCTGTGATCCTTAGACCCCAGCTAAAGAAAAAATCCACATGAATGAGAAACCCAGGGATGTGGAGGGAAGATTAGAAAACAACTAACACCAAACCCCCACTGTACAGAAGTTCTGACTAGCTCTGGCAGTCTAGGGAAATAATTCTGCAGGAAGCCGGACACTTCTTCTGAAACTGTCAAGTGCTGTGGATTGTACTCAGCCTTCCACGCCCCCCAGCCTCAGTCCCCCACCCCCATGTCCTGTCCCCAGGATGCCGTGGGCACACAGGATGCTCAATCCAGGGTCTGAGTTCCCGGAAACTCTGCATAGGAGAGAAGACCCTGCCTGCACACTCACACCAAAAAGGAGGGAGGCAGGGTTGGAAGAACTTACAGGTAAGGAAGAGCCAATTTTTTCCATATATTCGATTTCATAGGAGCTTCTGTAATCCAACTCTGCGAAAGAAACAGAAAATGAGATCAGAAAGTGAGATCAGGGGATTGGAGGCATGGCTCAAGTGGTAGGGCGCCTGCCAATGAGTGAAAGCATCAGGTACCAAGTCTGAGTCCTGGTCTGAGACAAAAAAATAAAAGCAAGAGAAAGTGAGATCAGATCGGTGCGGGTGGGGGGGCCCTGTGCTTTTTAGAATACCCACGGACCAGGGATTTCTGATATGCCTGACAAGAAGGTACAGTTCAGCTACTTTTCAGTCAGTAAACTTCCTGCTAGGAGGGGCTTCTGCCCCTAGGGCATTGGAGGGCTCCTAAGGAAATGAAGCGACGTGACCATGTAGAGGGCTTGGCTGTGGATGAACCCAAGCCCTCTGCAATGCATTTTTGGATCAGAGCCCACGTGTCAGTTGTCTGGGTAACTTTCAAGTACAGCACGTGGGATGACGCATCAGGTAACGCCTTGGAGATGAACCAGCTCTTTTCCCTCTCTGTGAATTCAGCTCCAGTGCCACTGAGGAAAGGGAAGGTCAGGTAGAGTTCCTGCCGTGTTACTGGTAAGAGAAGCTTTTGAGAATTAGCTGGACATTTCCCCAAATTCTTCCAGTTGCCTACAAGCTGGTCCAAATCAAGCTCTCAAATGCAAAGACCTGTAAAGTCTGATTAGGCAGAGAAATGATGTTCTTCAGTTGATTACTAACTTCAGGCGTAAGCGAAAAATTCCAGACACTGACCAGGGAGTAGAAATCCCACCTTCTGGTTCAGGTAGTGGGAAGGTTTGACAAAGAAATCAGCTTTATGGTTTCACTGAACTCCCTGTCCAGTACACAAACTGAGCCCCTACTGTATGCCTCCCCCTACCCTGGGCATCATGCATAGGTGGTGGGTGAGCCCGAGAGGGCATCGGTCCTTGAAGAAGCTGAATCTGGAGTTACCAGATTGTGTACTTAAAAAAAGATGGCCCTAGGGTGGTCACACAGGTCCCCTCTCTGCCCACCCCTCCCCCCGGTACACAGCTGTATCAACTCCTCCTTCACATCCACCAGAGGCAGCCATCTCTGTTTTTAATGGTGACCATCATCCCTGTCACATGACATGTATTTTTCTAGAGGTTTTTGAGTTTTGTGCTGCTGGGGATGGAAGTCAAAGCTACTCAGGGTCTCTTGGAGCAGAAGCAGATGAGGCCCTGAGGCTGGGAAGCCCAATGGTTCCTCAGCTCTTCCTTTCTAGGGAGCAACAGAGGTTGGGTTTTCTCCTACAGCATCATGTATGCGTGAGAGAAGGGTGTCCAGCAAATAAACATACTCATTTGTTACTGTCAATCTGAGGGGGTTTTGGTTTTGGTTTTTGTCAGTTGTCGGGCTTGAACTCAAGGCCTGGGTGCTGTCCCTGAGCCTCTTTGTACTCAAGGCTAGTGCTCTACCACTTGAGCTACAGTGCCACTTCTGGTTTTTGAGTGATGAATTGGAGATAAGAATCTCATGGGAACTTTTCTGCCTGGGCTGGATTCCAACTGCAATCCTCAAATCTCAGCTTCTAGAGTAGCTACAATTATAGGTGTGAGGCACCCGGCACCCAACTTTAATTTGAGCTTTTGATCAGAGGGAGATGATCAGAATCACCACAGGGAGTGAATAACATAGAACCCACATGGCATTGCAATCTTGCTCAACTGATTTCACTTTTTGAAATAGACACCTTGACACAATTCACTGCTCATGTACATCCAGAATAGGAGCCATGACCCAACCTTCGTCCTACAGATGTACGCCAGAAGCCCCAGGCCCGACTCACATAGACGGCAGTGAGAGGGAGTCACAGCTGTTATGTCAGGCAGACCCAGTTCTCCGCAGAGAACTCACCCAGAGGCTGAACAGCACCCAGCCTCTCTTCACGGTTAAGTGAGGAGCTGCAGGAATCCACCTCAGAGCTTGGAGGAGGAAATTAAATCATGCATATGAGATGGCAGATTTGGCTTCACCATCCTCGCCCATAGAACTGGTATGCCAATGTTATAATGAACAGGTGTTCAAACAGTAATTATTTTTTTCTAACCCAACATTTCCTCTTCTCTTGGTTAGGTGACTTCTTTGTAAGAAAGTCTCAGATCACAGCTGGAGTCCTCCACTGAGTCAGCCTGAAGATCGCATCACCACTCCTGGGAACATATCTGGTGTCTCTGAACTTAAAGTTACTAAGGGAGTAAGAGGGATGACCCACTAAGAGGACTCTGCATCCAGCTTCATATCCGGGTTTACTACAGAGATGGCCGTCAGTGCTTCCTGAAACTGGAATTGAAGCTCAAAATTGCCTCACAGCTAAACTTAATAGTTGTCACCTCCCAAATTTTGACAATTATTTTCTAAGGAGGAACATTTAACAGAGGTTTGTTTTGTCAGTCATAAGGCTTGAACTCAGGGCATGGACACTGTTCCTACCACTTTGAGCCATGGTATCACTTCTGTGGTATGAGTCTCATGAACTTTTCCTGCCCAGGCTGGCTTCGAAACCATGATCCTCAGATCTCAGCCTCCTTAGTAGCTAGAATTACAAGCATGAGCCACCAGCATCCAGCACACACTTTGGTTTCAAACTTACATATTGACCTATTAGTTAAAAGTCTGCAAAAACAATGAACATTTACATCTCTGAACAAGTGAACTGTTTGTTTTTAGTACACCACAAAGACACAGATGCTGTCACTGAATGAAGCAACTGTTAACTTAAAAAGTACTATTGGGGTTTTGTATTTTCTATGGAAAAAAAGTGCATATATTTAATCCCTATTGTTTAGTCACACACACACGCATATACACACATCAAAATTGTGCATTTTAATTCATTCTTAGCTACAATGTGAAGCTCAGGTGGGTTTCTAATATTCACAAGTTTCTTAGCCAGCTAGAGATGTGAATTAGAAGGAAGCTGCAGGTACTAACAAAATAGCAAGTCCAGTGCTTGTGCCCCATGTCCTTGCTGCTTCTGGGACACAAACCTTCTCTCAGTCTTCGATACTCACGCAGGTGACTGATGCCTGTTACAAAGAGCAAATCCACACTAAGATGGTCACCTCCTTGATGTTGTATTTCCTTTATCTCAAGACTATCTTTAGCTCCCATGATCTCCAGAGCACTTGGGGACAGAAGGAGAAGGAGACAAGAGCTCCTGCCTTCAAGAAACCCAGTTTAGCAGCAAACCAAGAAATGCTTGCACGCATATCTTCAGCATGGCATTATGCCCAAGCTCAGGCCAAGTGCCAAAGGCAAGCAGAACGGGCAGTGGACACTCAGAGAAGGGATGGGAACCAGTAACCTCAACAGAGCAAGGCGTGTCCCGGGGAATAGAGATATGGTGCAGGTGAGGCTCATGACTCAGACAGGTGCAGAGGAAGGCAAGGGTGAAGGGGAGACTGAGGCTTGATCCTAATACTTGTGGTGTCAGCCCAGGGTGAGATAGTCACTTTGAAGGCCCCAAACCCAAGCCAAAGGACCAACTTGATAGCTAAGCAAATGGCTCTGTTTTGTGGGAAGTAAGAGGTCCCAATGTCCTCCAAGCACATCACCTCATTATAAACAGAAAAGATAAGCAGAAGATCCAGAGTTCTGAGAGACCTATTTCCACTATGAACTACAACTTACACAAATGCTAACCGGTACCATTCTGAGGCAGCATTCCAGGTTCCTACCATCACCAGCACCTCCATGACACCACTGCCTCATCCCAAGGGGGAGAGGAGGGTTGTCTAATGATACTCTTGGTCCCTTAGTACCAGCAAGGAAGGGGAGACAGGATGACCTTCCTAACAGGAATTTCCACTTGGGCTTTGCTGGTGTTGTTTGTTTTGTGGTGGGGATCAAACTCAGGACCCTGCACTTGCTAGGCGACCATTCTACCACTTGAGTCAATCTTTCTGCTCTTTTGTTTGCTTGTTTTTCAGAGGGATCTCATATTAACACTGGCTGGCTGGACACTGGACCATGATCTTTCTATCTCTGTCTCCTGAGTAGCGGGGATTATAGGTGTGTATTACCATTCCTGGTCCCTGATTTCTACTTTAAAAAAATTATTAGAGACCAAAATCCTGGAAAAGTCAAAATGATAACAAAGTCAGAGTTGAAATGCTAGCTAGGACTAGGTTCATCAGCCTCACAAGGAAGAGGAGGAGGAAAAGCACTGAGGATTGGGGACATAGGACATCAGCCTGGGAAGAACAGACCCATCCCTCCTGACTCAGGTTCATGTCTCAAGAGCTTGCCCAGGAAGACAGGAAATATGAAAGTCAATACACAGACAGATGTGGGTGTCAGCCCCAGTCTACAAGAATTCATCTCGTTTCCCCCAAAGAGCCAGACAGAAAGTAGAAAGGAGGCACACAGGAAGGAGGTAGCCAGATAAGCTATCTGGCTAAGGAAATCCTTCTAAGGAAATCAAGTCCTCATTAGCAAACCTGGGGTGAACCTTTGGCATGGGGCTTGCTTGAAAGATATGGCCATATTTTCTGACCATCTCATGGGGGGGTAGGGACAATGGTGGCACCAAGAGACCCCCCGGGCAGGTCTCTGCCCTACACGCTGAGCAAGGAGCAGAACACTCAGTCCCAGGACCTGGACTCGAGGCTACCAGGCTGGTACTTAGCAGGCATTGCGGGGTCAAGGGGCAGCCTTAGCTTCCAGTTACCTGCGCAGTGTCTCTCCTGGCCTTGCTCTCTCTAAGGGCAGTATGATCCGAGGTAGGGTAGGGGTCCAGCTGGCCACCCAGTTGCTTACCCTCCGTGGGTGAGTTGAATTTGGTCTCATTTACGAAGGTAGACAGATCTGAGGGCTGCGGGAAGTCCTGCTTGTCGGCCTCCAGGTCCACCGTCATGCACGTCCACTTCTGACTGGTGACCGCCAGCTTCTCCTCATCAGTCGCATGGACCACTGCAGAGATCACTGGGGGGGCTTCTGGGGTGGAGTCCGGAGTGGAGTCCTGTAAGGAACCGGAAAACCGTCTCTCCTCTCCTTCAGAGTGTCAGTCAGAAGCAGTACCCATACAACCCATGTGTCTGAAGCCCAATTAACCAGGCCAGGTCCCTGTCAGAATCCTGCACCCACTATCCTCAGAAGCTTCTGCTGCTAATGGCCCTTCAAGGAAACCCATTCCTTCCTCTATGAATCTTCTTTTCTGGTGTCTGGTTTCAGGGACTAACTTTGAGTTACAAAACAACAAAAAAACCAAAACAACAGAATTTTTGAGTCTGGGTTATCCAAGATATTCCTGCCAGCTTTCTTCTTCTAACTGCTGCATTAAGCTCATTCTGGCCTCAAATATGGAAATGTCAGTATCACGCGGCAATCCCCATGCCAGTCCCTGGGAGGAGAAGGGGGGTCTCACTGTCATTCCAAAGGTCAGCATGGAGCTGCAAAGGGGAACCCAGAGGTTAAGGCAGAACTTGTGACTAGCCCAAAGCCCCCTATTCCTGGTGCAGAGGCCTCCGTCATTCCCACAGTTCCAGCCCTAGCCAGGATCTGTGGCTTTACGGGTTTAGGTCTGGAAAGATGGACCGTTTGCTTCTTTCTGACCCAGGAACAGTGTGGTAAACCTGCCTGAGGCCCACCTTCCTTAGTCTAAAAGGAGGGAAGGAAAAACTGATATGAACTTAGCAGATCAACCACCAATTCATGCAAATAATCTAGTGTCCCCTTCTTCAGAGGACACGGTTTCTTCATCTTTCCACTCTGGTAGAATAATTCGGTGACCTTAACACATATTCAGACTTTTCACCTTCTCATTGTTTTCATTGATCTTTAAAGGTTTTCTCAACTTGACAAAAGTAAGTTCTCCGAAAGTTAAATGGATAAAATGAACCAGAATGGTCTTTCCTATAGAATTCAGCCATTTTGGGCTGGGACAAACGGGAGGAGAATCACAGAAGGGGTAACAATGATCAAGACACACTATAGTCATAAACTGACATGTTGAATCAAACCCCTTTGGACAACTACTTAAAGATAATAATAAAGAATCCAATGATCCTGCTCCTTTCTCATCTTTGGCAAAGTGAAGGGATGAAAGGAATCTTCGTGGGAATTCCTCTAAGCGGAGGCAGCAGGGCCTTGGAGATACACCAGCAAGAGCAGGAAGGCAGACTCTGTGACAGCGATCAAACCTAGAAGCCTGGCTGTGGTAGCTGCCCAGGTAAGCTACAAAACCAGAAACATCAAAAGAACAGGTACCTGTGATGGTGGATCTGAGAGAGGACACCGTTTTGGCGACTTTTTCACCCTAAATGTGTCACTGGAAACAAAATGGAAAGTATAAACACATAGTAATGAGCAATACAGGCTGCAACCACAGCCTGTGCCCAGACCACTCCCACCTGCCCATCCTAACACCAGCAACACTGTTCACGCCAACAATTCATTCTGACGTCTTAACAGATGTTATTTTTGCCCCCAAGGGAAGAATCCATTAAGCTAACAATCATTAAAGAGATGCCATTTTGGAGAGCTGACCCAGAAAATGACAATTTTAATTCGAATTTTAATTCCATGTTCTTATTTTACCAAGCAAAAATTTCTCGGTGAGATTAATGTTTCTCAATTCTTTCAGGAATGTCTGAGCCAACTAAGGTTGGAGGAGAGGCTCCTGACACCAATCAACAGCACCCAATTCTCACATTGGGGCAGCCACCCACTCCCAATGAGCCAAAAGGGCTCATTGGGAGAAAGAGAAAGTGCTGGAAGAATCTTCCAGAACATAGGAGTTCCTGTGCTCTGATGGGTTCTATGATTTTAAGCATGGTAAGATTTTGTATGTCTATTTTCCTAATCATGACCAAAGTCAAGACACATAGACATTTTCTCCTTTTCTTTCTTCTTCCTTTAGATAGTTGGGGAGGGGGGCATTAGATAGTGGGCAAGGAGTGGCATTAGATAGTTGGGGAGGGCACGTCCCAGCAGCCCCCAGAGAAAGGGTTGCCTTCAATAGCAGCGTTAGGTCCATTGTGCGGTCAGGAGTCATGTCCACGGTCAACATGCAGACCCTCTCCACCCCACAGAGGGGCCCTTTGCTCTGGTCTCCATCCCCACCCTGGTAGGGTCTGACTCCCAGCCACGCAAGGGGGAGGTGGCCTTCACCTTAAATCCTGCCACCCTCCCTCCTCTGCTTTCCACATGAACTGAATTGACAAATCTGCCATTCCCCCTCCCCCTCCCCCCCTGAGGTTCCTTCCTTGTGTTCTCTCAAACAAAACACTCCAACAATGGCATTTGATCATGGAAAGAAAATTAGGAATGATTGCTTTATAGCATTTATGGCATTCGCTATACAAATAGTACCATCACAGCTCAAAGCATGTATTTATGCATGCATATAAATATATAACTAACTGTGTGTTCTGCAGTTACTAAATGACTTGGAATTACTAAAGAAATCCCCCAGGGCAGAAAAGCGCTTGAGACTCTGTGGGATCCCGGAGCTGTCTGACACCAGGTTCAGAACAAATTCCCATGGAAGGGCACTTGTTTTCAGAGCCCTGAGGGTCTCAAGAGTTCTCCCACCAGGGGGCAGAGCAGCAGAAGCACACAGGCAGCCGGCTACACTGACACCTAGCATGGATTTAAGTTCAGTGACAAAGGATGTAGGCCAGGGCAGCCTGGAGATGGCTAGTAGCGTGAGCTCCACTCTGAGCTGACCCTGCATTTCAAGGGGTTCCCATGCACCCCAACGCACAATGACCCCAATGGTTTGTTTCACACAGCCTCAGCACTCTGCCCGGGATTTCTGGGTGGTTAAAGTGAAGCCATGGTGCTACTGAAAGCAATCACTCGCCAGCCCGACTTAGAATGACAGAGAGAAATGGAGTAAAAAAAAAAAGTCCAGGTTTTTAAATGAAGAGGTCCAAATGCGAAAGAGGGGAAAGTTTCCAATGCTGACAGGCAGGCAGCCGTTAGATAATCGTGTCCTCACAGACATGCAGCCTCGCTCACACTCACCACAATTAACAGGAAAGTAACCTCTGCTACTGGAGGGCCCTGGGCCCTGACATTCCCAGGCTTAGCACAGAAACACAGAAGCAGCAGCAGCAGCCACAGAAAGGGAACTTTAAAAAAAGAAAGATTGCAAGCAGAAACAAAAGACAGAAAAGAAATGGAGCATAGGAGGCAGATTACATTAAATTTACTTACAACAGAGAACACACAGACATCATATCTTCAACCATCCTAAGACGAAAAGACAAAGAAAAAGAGAGACAGACAGGAGGAACTGACAAAAAGATAAATCTGCAGAGCTAGGTCTAGCCACGTAGGACCTGGCAGCATCCACGGCAGGCTGCTGAGGGGCCACAGCGGACCTTAGGGATGGGCTTCCTCTCTGGGTATTGGTCATCCAGTTGTTGACCTGTTAAAAGTTTTGTCACCCCGGGGTAAGTTCTTCCAAGTCACCATACCCATCTGTTTTATGATGAGTCTACTGAGGTGTGAGGCCAAGCTTCCCTGGTCTGTGTTAGCTGTGGCCATCCAAGAGGAATGGCTTTGGGGGCACAATGTCACCAGGCTCCCTCAAAGGAGGAAGCTACCAGGTATCCATTCTTACACCAAGACACAGTTTTGCAGTGTCAGTATTTCCAATTTCTATTCCGGTCATATTCCAACCAAGGTCCTACAGTATCTCTAGGATCGCTTGGCTGGGAAACAGATCTAAGCCCACCATTTTGGGCCACAATGGCCTCCTGGCCACCACCAGCTGATAGTGGGGTGACCCGAGGCCCAAGCCCTTCTCAGGAAGCCTGGGCCGTTCTCAGATGTTTAATGTGAGGGGGAAACCCAGATTGCAGGCAAATGGGTCTCCCCATCTCATCTGTGCAGGTAAATATGGAAGGGCCAACAATGTGACCCGTTTGTCACTGCTCTAGGAGACAAGTCCTGTCAATCTTGTTAAATTGTAGTTGCTGTCTCCAAGAAGTGACCGCACTACATATGGTCTCCTAAGATGGGACCTACAGTCATCCAAGCCAGAGTAGGATCCAGGGAGGCAGCTGGGAGGCTCTAGCACACGGAACTGAGTAAGGTACTAATCTGAACGCTTATCTGCAAAAGATGGCCAGAGAGAGGGAAGAAGACAAGGAGGCATCTCTTTTTGTTGTTGTTGTTGGCTGTGGGGCCTGAACTCTGGGCCTGGGAGATGCCCTCAGCTTTTCAGCTCAAGACTAGTATTCTACCACTTGAGCCACAGTGCCACTTCCAGCCTTTTCTGCTTATGTGGTGCTGAGGAATTGAACCCAGGGCCTCATGCACACAAGGCAAGTACTCTACCACTGAGCCACCTTCTCAGCCCCCAAAGGGAGCATCTCTTATAGGCTGGTCAGGGCAGCAAAAGTATCTTTCTGTCATGTGCCCCCAGAGCCTACTAAGTTACTGTGTTGGACTCTTGGGCTAAATCTTATTAATGGCAGAATCAAATGCTATTTAACAGGGTATATAATATACAGGATATATATCCTGATTTCTCCAAAAGGCAATGTACACATAGCCAGGGAAAAGGGTCAGTCACCAATGGCCTGGGTCTCTCGTGATCGCTCCCTTCTTGCAGGGCCTCCCACTCTCACCAAGAATAGAAAGTTAGATCTCTGGCTGACCATAAAAACTTTAGACCAGCTCGCACCCATGGCTCACGCCTGTAATCCTAAGCTACTCAGGAGGCTGAGATCTGAGGGTCACAGTTCAAGGCCAGAAAAGTCTTCTCTCTCATTAACCACTCAAAAAATGGAAGTGGCACTGTGGCTCAAAGTGGTAGAGCCTTGAGCAAAAGAACTCAGGGACAGAGCCAAGGCCTTGATTTCAAGCCCAATGACCAATCAAATAAAAACAAAGCAAACAAAACAAAACCTTAGACCACTCACTGAGGCAAAAAGAATAAATCAAATCAAATCCAGGACTCCTGACTCCACAGGGGATTCTTAGCAAACAGTCACCACTATGGCCACAGAGAGGAAACATGGTGGAATTACAGCAATGGGGGGGGGGGGGGGGGCAGCTGAAGGCTAGCCAGGCACAGACCCAGGGTCACAGCCACGTGCACCCCAGCTCTATCCTCCCCACCTCCACCCTTTTGAACTTACGTCTTCAGGGGCGTTTTCTTCTTCTTGGCGGGCTTGTTCAGTCCGTCCCCGTCCATTCCATTGGCTTCCATGGCACTAGCTGGGATCTCAAAGGAGGCCGGGGATTTGGAAGGGGAGCCGGGGGTCTTAAAGGGGTCAAGGGACTCATCACAGGCGTCGGGGTCAAAGGTGTATGATTGTTGGGGCAGTTTGGGAGACTCCTGCATTTTTGAGGTGGATGAGAAAGGGTTGAAATTGGGGTCATCCCACTTGTCGATGTCAAAGGTATAGGTGCCTTTGGCAATGGGGATGTCGTTGGGGTCGGCGGGGGATCGCGTGGGCGAGGCGGGAGTGGTGTCAACTTTCTCGGGGGTCTTCTTCACCTTTGGCCTCCTTAGGGGCATCTTGACAACTGGCTTCTTGCCTAGCTTTTTGGTGGGAGGGGGGTTTTCCTGCTGGCTGTCCTCAGAATAGTCAAACTCCAGCCTCACCGAGAGCCCTTTGGCTGGGGGGTCCTCCTGCTCCCCACTGTCCGATGGGGCTACCTCCCCCTCCTCGGGGGCCGTGGAAAGAGGCACCGTTTTCCTCCCAACAGGGGGTGAGTTCTGCACTCTGCCGCCACCCGAGGCTGGGGGCCCCACGTCCTCCACAGCCTCTGGCTCTGGAGGACAGGTGGCCTGAGGCACGGTGGGGGGTTCTGGGGGCGTCTCCTCCAACACAGTGGATCCAGAAGCTTCTGCAGTGGATGGCTCCGTCTTTGACTCGGAGGCCGGGTGCTCCTCGCTGGGGATGGGCCTCTCCTCGGCCAGCTCTTGCTGGCTCTCCTTCACCGGCGGGGTTTCCGTGGGCTTCTTGGTGGTCTGCTTCTTTTTTAAGGAAGGTGGCCGTGGTTTTTTAGTTCGCTTAAGGGTACTGGAGGCGCTGCTGGACCCCGTGCTGCACCCATCTGGGACGAGGGCCACGGCCTCGGGGCTGCCTGGGCAGGTGGCACCGTCAAAGTCGCCGGCTTGCAGGCTGAGCGAGCGGGACAGCGTGGACTTGGAGGGCGGCGTGGATTCGGTAGACTTCCTCCGCGTGCTCACCTTGCACTCCTGTCCCTTACAATCTGAGGCGCAAGGCTCCGAGCTTTGCAAGTCATCCACCAGCTCGATGCTGTCAAAGTCCAGGTTGTAAGTCCCACTGCTGGCTATGGGCTTGTCTTCATCGAAGACGGCAGAGGAGGAGTGTGGAGGTCGGAAAGGGCTTCCTTCCACCGAGTCACCACGCGGGCCATCGGGGACCGTGACTGGCTCAGAAACGCATCCTGAGGAAAGAGAGACAAAGCCATCACTTGAAGATACTCAACATGTGGGAGCATTTGTCATCTTGTACCAGATCTTCACCCTCCACAGAAGAGGCTGACCAACTCTAGGCCTTCGGCCCCCTAGGCTCAGCCACAGGTACCTGGCTTGGGTACAGACCTTGGTTCTATCTGCTATCACACCCTGGGCAGATGAGGGCAGATCAAGGAGCAACTGCAATGCCTCATTCAAAACACATTTACTAAGCCAGGATGATGCCTGTAATCCTAGCTACTCAGGAGGCTGAGATCTGAGGACTGTGGTTCACAAAGTCTTCAGGATTCTCTCTCTAAAAATAGCCAGCAAAGTAACTGAACTGGAGCCATGGTCTAAGTGGTAGAACAACAGCCTAGCAAGCAAGCTGAAAGAATACAAGGCCTGGACAGCCTGGTACCAGCATTCAATCAATCAATAAGGCATTTAAAAATTGCCAAGTGCCTGATGCAGACTAGTGATCAGGTTGGGGAATCAACTATGAAACAAAGTAGAAACAGTCTCTGCCTTCCCAGAAGGTCACATTCCTCAGAAAGAAATCAAAGAAGAAACAAGCATATGATAACAGAGAGGTCCAGATGATAATACACACTAAGGAGAAAAACAAAATCAGGATAGGTGAGCTGCAATCTTAGATAACACCACCATTTGGGCAAAGACCAGAAACAAGGTAGACATATGCCAGTTTTGCTGGGAAGAAAGCATCCTACACAAAAGGAACGGCTAGTGTGAAGGCCCTAGGGCAGGAGTACACACACACCCTGGCCCCCTGGTATATTACAGAAATTTTTTTTTAAAGCCTGTGTGACTGAAGAAAGGGAGATGATCAAGAAAGGAAAACAGAACTAAGGCAAGTAAAACATGGTACGCCTTTGATAGATATTCGCTATTACCACAGCCACGCCTGCTCTTCCTGAGAACCTGCCAGAGCCTTCACATGGCATCTTCCAGGCAACTAAGCAAGACTGCGCTTGCCTCTCACCACCCCTAGACATCACCTGGAACCTCTCCTGCCAGTCTTGCCCACCTAGTCTTGTCTCTTGTCTAGTCTCACTCCTCTATCAGGCTTCCTCCAGTCTTTCCTGCCTCCTCAGCCACTGCCAACACGAAAGCTGCTTCTCTTTTCCCTACGCTACACAAGCTTCAAATGTTGGCCCAATGATGCCCCCCTCTGCTGTTCCCTAGGGATTGCCAGCCCTGGCCCTGGCGTGGCCACTTTGGGTTGTTTGTACTAGGGTGGCACTTTGTATGCTCTTATGGGTGCCAAGCTGTTCCAAGCAGCCAAAGAACATGGTTTGCCAGAAAGCTGAAAACATGTCAATGGAAAAAAGAGGGCAAAAAGGCCAGGCACTTGTGGCTCACTGGTGTAATCCTAGCTATTCTGGAGGCTGAGATCTGAGTATCACAGTTTGAAGCCAGCCCCAGCAGGAAAATCCATGACTACAAAAAAAAAAAAAAACAAGCTGGAAGTGGAGCTGGTTCAAATGATAGAGCATTAATTAGCCTTGAGGGAAAAAAAAAATCTCAAGGACAGGAAGGCCAGGGATGCTGAGGAGGACCAGGGATGCTGAGGAGGACCAGGGATCCTGAGGAGGACCAGAGATCCTGAGACCAGGGATGCTCTCAGTAGGCCCCTGCAGGTGGGAAGAGCCTCCACCCTTCCATCATTTCCAAAGCAAGGCCCACCACAGCCAACCTTCCCTCTGTCAAGCCTCTGAGGCCTTCAAATGTCAGCAGTTTTCTCTGCATCATCAACCATCAGCAGATATTTGGCTCAACCATCTGCTCATTGCTTTGGCCAGAAGAAATGTCTCCCTGCCCACTTAACATGTCTTTGCTATTTGGAACCGACACTCCCTAATGAAATCAGACAGTATCAAACCCACTTGTCCTGTGGTCTCTTCACCTCAGTCTTCGGGTCATTTTAGGACCGTCTGTTCTTCATCATGCAGAACCGGCCTGTTCAATGCAGCCTGCTTCAAGGCCTACTAGAGGCAGTAGCACCTCCCACTCCAGTGATGACCATCAAAAGCAACTCCAGACATTGCCACATGGGGGTGGGGAGACAGACCGTCCTGGCGAGAGTGGCTACCTCACTGGTGTGGTTGCTGAGCGAGTTGCCCTATAGGGTCGGACCATGGAGGGCTGGGAAGAGCCCTTCACTGTGAGAGCTCACGGCCATGTACCACCCTGAGTGTCTAAAAAGAGCAAATGTGGTCCAGCTGGGTCCTCAAAGCCCACACAAACCTGTATGATCATTCATTCATACATTCCACAAATAATCCTAGTCCTTCTGTGGCCGTTGGATAGGCCATGACCTCAGAGGCAATGCAGAAGAAGAACCGTTCATGTCACCAAGTCCTCCACCGCATGCGCCTGCCAGCGCAGGTCTCAGTGAGGTGGAGCTGGCCTGGAAAACAGCACCATATACCCCAGCTCTCACTTCTGACTCAGTCCGAGACCAAGGCAGCTCCACAGCTCATTTTGTGAAATCCTGGTCCACTCACGAGCCTCAGCCTGGGTGCCATCAACAGCACAACTGCTTTTCCAACTCTGGAGTCGCAGTTCTGCAGGCTCAGGCTCAAGATGGAGGTGTCAGCAGGTTTGGCGTCTCCTGAGGTTTCTCTTTGGCTGCTGATGGGGCCTTTGCTGTCCTCAGATGACCTGGACTCTTCCTGGGCTGTGTCCACCACCAGCTGAGATGATCAAGGCTAGCATGCCCTGCCTGGGGCTTCTCCTTGCATGGGGAACAGGAGGTCCTTGTGCCTGGCTGTAACGTATCAGCCTTACCTGCTCCAGACACCTGGACACAAGCAACACTCACATCATAAGCAGAGCAGAGCTGGGTGCTGGTAATCCCAGCCTGTAATCCCAGCGACTCAAGAGGTTGAGATATGAGGATCATGGTGCAAAACCAGCCTGGGCCGGAAAGTCCATGAGACTCTCATCTCCAATAAACTACTCATAAAAAGGAAAGCTGGAAGAGAAACTGTGGGAGAGCACCAGCCTTAAACAAAAAAGCCCAAGGACAATGCCCAGGCCCTGAGTTCAAGCCCAGGATTGGTGTGTGTGTGCGCGCACACGCACGCACACACGCACGCACGCACGCACACACACACACACACACACACACACACACACGGTGGTGGGAGAGCAGTTAGTCAAGGACTCAAGTACTGTGGTAGCAACACTGGGCCTACAATTCACCGTGTGCTATAATCTGAATCTGTGTCTCCCCTAAAATTCGCATACTGGAATTCTCATTCCCAAGGGGATGGAATGAGGGGTAAGACCTTTGGAGGCTGGGCAGAGCCCAACAGGGCAACAGGATTAGTGACTCTGTTGTAAATGAAGCCAAAGGAGCCTGTCTGTCCCCTCCTCCACATAGGAACACAACAAGGTCCCACGGCCATGAGCCAGGTCCCCACCAGATGCCAAATCTGCAGGTATGGGATGGGTAAACTTCCTGCCTCCAGAACCTGAGCAGTAAGTTTCCCTTGTCCTTAAACTACTCAGTCCACCATGGGCTTTTGTTATAGCAGCTAGAATAGATGAATCCAATGTGGAATCCTGAGCTATTTATCCAACCCTCTGAGGCTCAGCTGTAGATCAGGCAGTTTGTTTTAGTTTTAGTTTTGCCAGTCCTGGGCCTGAGCACTGTCCTGAGCTTCTTTTTGCTCAAGGCTAGCACTCTACCACTTGCACCACAGCACCACTTCCAGCCTTTTCTGTGTATGAGGTACTGGAGAATCGAACCCAGGGCTTCATGCATGCTAGGCAAGCACTCTACCACTAAGCCACGTTCCCAGCCCGATCGGGCAGTCTTATAAGGATAACGTGGGTGCACACACAGGTGCCCAGCCCAGGGCACAGGGAGTGCTGGGAAATAGCAGCATGGTCTCCCAGATCCTGCCCCAGTTTCCAGAGGCCAGAAAGGGCCCTGGCCTGGCAGAGCTCCAGGACAAACTGTCCAACACCAGGCTCCCTGTGCCTTTGACAAGCGCCAACACGTGCCTTCCTCAGAAGCCTCCCAGGAGACGAAGCAATGCCAGCGTGTGCAGAAGCAGGCGTCTGTGGTGGGTCCAGACACACAGGAAGCTAAGGTCCAATGGGACAGGTGGGGCAGGGAACAGGGGGCTCTAGTCACTTCCAAGGCAACAGCAGAGCCTTTCCCAAAGCTCAACAGTCTTCATTCCCAGGGAAGAATGGTATTCCCAGGAGCTGTGCAAATGCTAGAATGAACTCACCTTCCTTCTCCCCACCATGCCAATCCCACCCCCCACTGGCTAGTTCTGGCACCTAATAATCCTTTGCCCTGTCCTCTACCTTAGCTAACAGGCTGGCCAAGCAGCACAAAGCTGCTGCCGTACACAGCTGAGCATACACAAGCACAGTGACAACCCAGCACCTACGCAGAGCCAGCAGTAGACCAGGGGCTCAAACGCCACAGCCCGCATCACCTGACTGGAGGCAGGGAGACTGGAGCTTGCTGCCAGACTCCAGGAAAGGCCTGTAACCTCACAAGAAGGGGATCATGTGTATGAGGATGACTGATTCACTCTCGCGTGCTTAGGAGGCAGAGTGTGCAAAGGTCCTAGTTCAGATCTGACACAGGCAGGGGGGAGCAATGGGAGCTATTATTCAATCAGGTGACCATTAAGTCCCTCCAGGGCCAGATTTGAGTTCTAACAGCATAGTTATTGTACAATAGCTAGTATTTTATTCAAAGACTCTGGGGGGTCTGAGACCAGTCTCAAACCTAGTACCTAAGAGTTTGGCTCATTAGCTAGCACTCTACCAATTAAGTCATGTCTCCAACCTCACAGGCTGGAGGGGACTCTCAAGATTTCCTCTGCAGTTAAGGAAAGTGAGCCCCAATAACCTGAATGCTGGCCCACCCTCAGAAAAGGGGCAGGGCAAAGGGCACACGCTGTGTCTTGTCCTTCTGTCCTATGCAGCACAAAGGTGCTGGTAGGACTCAGAGCACTGTGAGTTACTATTTTCATTTTTGTTTATTTAGGGTTTGCGTGTGCGTGCATGTGTGTATGTGTGTGTGTGCGCACGTGTGCGTGTGCATGCGTGCCGATACTAGGGCTTGAACTCAAGGCCTGGGTCCTATCTCTTAGCTTTTTTGCTCAAGGCTGGAGCTCTACCACTTGAATCACAGCTCTACTTCCAATTTTTTGCTGCTTAAATCAGAAATAAGAGTCTTACATGGACTTTCCTGCCTGAGCTGGCTTTGAATGAACCCAATCCTTTGGAGTCAGCCTCCGGTGTAGCTGGGATTATAGGCATGAGCCACAGGGGCCTGATGAGTTGCTATTTTGTTAAAAGAGGTTTCCTGAGTATGCCCGGCCTGCGATCTCACATAATTCCTTCAGCACCATTAGTAACATTCCAGGCCCTTTCCAGAGGAAAGACCAAACAAAAGAACTTCCTCTCTTGCCCTTTCTTCCCAGGGTTCTCAGAACAGTCCTCTTCTATGCAAGCAGCCCGGCCACACCTCAGGCTATTCTAGTACTTCATGGGTCTGTAGAATGGACCAGAAGGCTGAAGGCAGTTTTCAACAAGACAGCAGACAGACCTTGTGAAGCCCAAGGCAGTGGGGCTTGGAGTAGACCCAATCTCAGATTCACAAGTACTCTTCACAAGTTCAGGTGCAATCCTCACAACCTTGTGGTAGTTTTCACTAAGTCCTGGTTCAAAGACTCCATGGGTGAAATCAAAGGTCCTGAGGGACTGTGACTCAGAATCAATTAACAACTCAATCCTCTGCCCTGTGGACTTATCCCTGAAGCCAATATAAAGCTCATGCTTTGATTAACTACCATCCAAGAAAGAGGTGGTGGGTGGTGTATTTGTGTGCTCTTTAAGAATGAAGACTGTGGGGCTGGGAAGGTGGTTCAGCGGTAGAGTGCTTGCCTCGCATGCATGAGGCCCTGGGTAGAATTCCTCAGTACCAAATAAACAGGAAACACTGGAAGTGGCACTGTGGCTTAAGTGGTAGTGGACTAGGCTTGAGCTGAAGAGCTCAGGGACAGTTCCCAGGCCTAGAGTTCAAGCCCCATGTCCAACAACAACAACAATAAAAAGGAATGAAGACTGCTCTCTGCTTTGTTGAAGTTGAGCCTATGCAAAGACAGCAACAGAGAGGATAGCAAACCATTCCCAGAATGACCTGACATTTGATGGTGAACCCTAGAAAAGACCTTGGGGGGGGGGTGCAGAAATGGTCTTCCCCTATATATTCCACAATCACCAAGATTACAAATGTTTATCAGTCACCAACTTTCCATTCAAAACTGTAAAAACAACATGGGAAGTCTGGCATGCCTGTAATCCTAGTTACTCAGGAAGCTAAGATCTGAGGATTGTGTTTCCACAATTAATTACCAAAACTAAAAGAAAGAAAGCTAGAAGTGGGGCTGTGGCTCAAATGTACATATACACATACACATACGTATGTGTATATACATACGTACATACATACATACATACATATATATAATCTATGCCCATTCCTCCCACTGACTGCTCCACTCCTCACCTCTCTGTTGCTTCTAGCCAGGTGGGCTGTGGTCACCCAGCATACAGATCCAGTCCTGTCCTTAGTTCCCCCACTGGCACAGAGGAGAAGCTGAGAAGCTATGCTGGGACTGAGGGCCAGGTGAATCCTGTGACTCTACTGTGTGGTCCAGAGGGGTAGGTTCTGCAGGGCCAGAGCAGGAATCCTCTAAAGCCCAGAGCTGTCCAGCCTGCATGGCTGTGTTTCCCTTCCCTTCCAGGACTCAGTCCCATTCCATGGAGTAAAGAGGCACACACACAATAGGCCAGCCTGGAGGGTGGGGCAAAGGCCCAGTGAGATCAGTTCCCACTCCCAGGTATCACCATATGCAAACATACCTAAATGTATTTCAACTCACATGGATGGAGGAAGGAGGAGGAAGGATGTAGGGAAGTGACAGGTGATCAGGTGACCTGGGAGTCATGAGGGATGGCTCTCCACTTTCTCACCTTTCCCATTCAGCTATCCTTCTGAGACTTGAGGGGCTATGGTTTTGTAATACAAGCACGGAGTCACAGAAGCTGTATAGAATCAACGTTCTCATGGGGACAAACAACCTAAAACCCTGCTAAAAAATTTCCGAGACACAGTGGCCCAGCCCTCAAACCCATCCAAGCCCATAGCTAACCAAGTGGATAAACTATAAATCTCACAATACACAGCCCTACAGTACTTGCCCACCCACAGCTTCGTGAAGACCTGTGAAACGCAAGCCAGTGCAAAGCCAAGAGGTCCCAGTGGCTGGGGCTGTGCACTGTCCCAAGAGCACGCAGCCTCCTCCAGACCTGCCCAGGGGTAGTCATGGCATGGTTCCCCAGGGCTCCTGGTTACCTGGCTCTTCCGGGGCTGGTGGTGTGCTGACTTCAGGTTCTGGGATGACTTCAGGGGGCGGTGGGGGCGGGGCTGGTGGAGCTTTGACGGGGGTGGTTGACTCTGGGGTCTCAAACGCTTCTTCCGAGTCAGAGCTCCTGATGGAGAGAGGAAAGAGGCATGGGTTAGCCTGGACTCAGGGACCTTCCTGCTGAGCCACTTGTGGTCCGTCTTCTAACCTGGAACCAGTTCACTACTCCAGCTTTCTGGTCAATTGTCCTGTTCAGGGACAGATGTGAGGACGAGTCATCTCCCCTGATTCCCAAGGTAAATCAACACTGCTTGTGCACAAACAGTGTAGTCTTTGAACTCAGTTCACACGCTTCTCACCTTAGTGGCAAATACCCAGTGAGCTTCAGCACCCACCATCGGCATAGATGCCCTCTACCACATACGGTGTGCATGTCCGAGGTTGGGGTTCCAACCCACTCCTGAAACCCCTCCTTACAAACTCAATTTCCATTTTCCCTCGCCTCATCCTACCCCCTCCGCATCTCCACTCCCCTGCTTTCCCAGAGCTTCTTATAATTTCTGGGTATATTTATTCACTTTCTAACCACATTTTTCTTTTTCCCCAGTGGGCCACACTGGCCTCTTGTCTGTCCCAGTATCATGCAGGAGATCATGAATGAGCCTGGTTGAACGAATGAAAGTCGCAGCCCAATCAACAAAGATGCCAGACCAAGCCACAAAGCATGGCTGACTGACGACGCTGGCAGGGTGGAATCAGACCTTGGTGTATAATAAAATCTATGCCCAAGAAAAATTCCTCACCCAGTGACTTGGTCCAACAGTTCTCAAAGGGAAACACCTTCTCAATAGCAAAAGGGGAAGCCAGGGGCTCAAGCATGACCATGGGCTCAAGAAAACCTTGAAGATGACCTTCCTTTTCTGCTTCCCTGGGCCGACTGATGTTAGGCCAGAAGGATAAGATGAAGGCAGCCCAGTCACTGGGCCAGCATGCCACATGCAGGACAAAAGGCCACTGCTCACGGGATCCTGGAGCCCACCTGGCCAGGGCCTAACCTCTGTTTAAGGACAGCAGGTGCGGAAGCAGGGGCAACAGGCCAATTCTCATCTCCAAGAAGCCTGAACAGAACCAGATACTGGTGATTCTTTTACAACAAGGAGGTGAACTATCAAGACGGCGGATATTTAGGATTACAAAGCAGCATAAGCCACCCCAATGGGCGAATGGGACAAAGAAGTATAATCAGAGGGTAACACAGCACAGAACAGGACACGACTGGATGTACTGAGCCACGCCCCCAATACTGCTGAACTCCCCTAGAGGCAAAGGGCCAGTGAGCTCACTAGAGGTCGCCACCTTCTAAAGGCCAGAAGCAGAGGGCAGAGCACCAGGAACCAACCAATCCCAGCACTGTCCGTCAGAACGAGAGTAAAGGAACCATTTGGTGAGTTTCCTTTAGAAAACCTCCATCAATATTGCTTTTCTAAGTTATTGAGGGTCATTTCTTTCATGAGTGCCAATGATTTTTTTTTCCCCCATCAGACCTTTAAGGACTTTGGTACCTTCTGCCAGTCACCAAACCGTCCAGAGACTCCAAGAGACCAAGAGAAATACCAGAGCTGCTTTCAACAGGTCCAGTGAGCTAGGGTCAGCTCAGCAGTAAATTTCACAGTAAATACTTAATGCATGCAGCCAGCCACTGACTTCTCATACACACACTGACGGGCTTAGTACTCATCTGTGGGCAGAACTTAAGAACCATCCATGCCTGGACCTCAGTCTAGTCTAGGTAGAAATGTCTGTTTAGAGGTATAAAAAAAAATACAAACAGGGTCTGGGCACCTATGGCTTATGGCGGTAATACTAGCTACTCAGGAGGCTAAGAACTGGAAGATCAAGGGCCAAAGTCAGCCTGGACAGAAAAGTCCACAAGAGTCCATCTGGAAAATGCTAACCAAAAGCCAGGCTGAGTGGAGCACCAGTGGCTTGTGCCTGTAATCCTAGTTACTCAGGAGGCTGAGATCTGAAGAATCAGTTAACCCAACACAAATCTCTGAGACTCTGATCTCCAATTAACTAGCAAAAAGCCAGAAGTAGAACTGTGGCTCAAGTGCCAGTGTTGAGTGAAAAGGCTAAACAGGAGCACCAGGGACTATGTTCAAGTACTAGTACAAGTACCAAAATTTTTTTTAAAAAGAAAGAAACAGGGCCTAGAGCTGGGAGTTCTATGCCTGTAATCCTAGCTACTTCGGAGGCTGAGAGCTGAGGATCGCTGTTCAAAGCCAGCCCAGGCAGAGAAAGCAGAGCTGTGGCTCAAGTGATAGAGTACCAGCTTTGAGTAAAACAGCTCCAGGACAGCATCCAGGCCCTGAGCTCAAGCCACAGGACTGGCACAGAAAAAAAAAAAAAAAAGAAAGAAAGAAAAGAGACTGAAGGTGTAGTTCAAGTGTTAGAACATCATCCAAGCAAGTAAGCCAAGTGTATAAGGTCCTGAAATCACATCCCAATACCTCAAGCAAGCAAAACCTCACAGAGAGGTAGTATGAGAGAGAAGAGAGGTAACGCTTCAGATCACCTTGGTGGGCCCAGGTGCAGCCTTGGGAACGAATAAGCTTCCTCAGCCGGCTCCACACGCTTCAAGGACCAGTGTTGACGAGACACACAAAGCCAACTTGCCTCTTCCCACAACTTGTTTGTGGGGCCAGAAGCCTGGAGTCCTCACTGGTGCTCACTGCCATCCACATCCGCCGGACCCATTCCACAGGGGACACAACGGCCAGGAGCCCAAGGCCATCTCTGCGGAAGAGCAGCTTCAGTCCTCCAAACTCCCAGCTCTAATACTGCTGCCAGCACCCCTGCCCCACCAGCCACAGATGCAGTGAGGTTCACCAGCATCCAGACACCACAGCTTGCCCACTGAAGCCCAGACGCAGAGCGAGGGACCTAGCGCCCATCCCTCGCTTCTGCATGCCTGGGCACTGGAAGCTCCAAAGCACAAAGGGCCCTGGTCCTGCTCACTGGCGCAGACGATAGAGAGGGCCAGATGCGCTGAGGTCTTAGCGGCTGACTTCCAATGAGGTCTCTGCTAGCACAGCTGCCCGTCTGCACACCCGCTCAGAGGGACCACCATCTACCCCAGCCAGTGTGCAGATCAGCAGGGCACAGTACCCCAAGCCCCTGTGTGCGTCCTGTTTACTGTCAACTGCTCTTAACACATGCGGGGACACCAGGGATCACCGGAGCAGCATCCACTTCCGGTGCTGCTGGCCTTGTTGTCACATATCTTCTATGCCTTTCCCCGGAGCAGAGGGACTTAATTAGAGGAGGCAAATAGCAGCCTTGTAAATTAGCTCTCTTTTCCCCATTCGGTTTCCCAGGCGCTCAAAGGCATTTCCAGGAGCAAGGATTCCTGCAGTTCATCAAGTCTGTCCTAAAAAACCAAGCAGCATTTTGGACTTCCAAAGCAATAACGCAAGTTCCATATATTATGTGATTCTTTTTCTAGTAGAGGAAATAAAAATGTACAAAGTTATTGTTCAGGTTGCATGTACATGAAAAAGGGAAAAATAATACTCTGGTTTCTCTTCAGATTGTATACAACTTTTGCCTTCTACTAAAAATGAAAATAAAAATAAATTTTAAAGTGGGTGGTGATGACTCACACTTATAATCCTAGCTACTCAGAAGGCTGAGATCTGAGAATCCTAGTTTAAGGAAAATCTGTGAGCGTCATCTTCAACTAACCAGCAAAAGGCCAGAAGTAGAGGCGTGTGGCTCAACAGGTAGAGTGCCAGACTTGTGTGAAAAAGCCAAGTGGGAACATGAGACATGAGTTCAAGCCCCAGTACTAGCTGGCACCTACCCATAGGCAGGAAGGGAGGGAGGGATGGAGGGAGGGAGGGAGAGAGGGGAGGGGAGGGGAGGGTAGGGGAGGGGAGGAAGAAAACACAACAACTCTATTTCTTAGCATGGAAAACTTAACAGCTAGCCTGCTAAATGTTATATAATGTGACAAGTGCTGCATTAAGCTCTCTTGCTGGTACTGGGGCTTGAACTCAGGGCCTGAGCACTGTCTCTTAGTGTGTATGTGTGTGCATGTGTGCATGTGTGTATGTTGGCCCTGGTGCCTGAACTCAGGTCCTGGGTTCTATCCCTGAGCTTTTTTGCTCAAGGCTAGCACTCTACCACTTTGTGCCACAACTCTATTCCAGGCTTTTTTCTGAGAAGTTTTCTGGAGATAAGAGTCTCATAGCCTTTTTGCCTGGGCTGGCTTCAAACCCCAATCCTTAGCTCTCAGCCTCTGAGTAGGGAAGATTATAGGCGTGAGCCATGAGTGCCTGGCTGTCCCTTAGCTTTTCAATTCAAGGCTGGCACTCTACCACTTGAGTCATACCTCCACTTCTGGCTTTTTGCTGGTTAACTGGAGATGAGTCATAGACTTTTCTGCCTGGGCTGGCTTTGAACTGAGCTCCTCAGAGCCCAGCCACCTGATTAGCCACCACCCAGCCTGCTCGAGAGTGGGCCTATTTTATAGATAAGATTACTAGGGCTCAGAGAGGCAAACAACTTTGCCAAAGGCTGCGTAGTCAGTAAACAGTGCTGAGATCCAAAGCTGTTGGTGTCTGAAATCTGTGCCCTTCTCACTACATCTGTGGCTCTCTATTTTAGCAGCACTATGCATCATGTTTTTTATCATTAAAAAGTCTATCACGATTAACAATTAAGCTGTTAGGATCATCTTGAAAATTTGACATGGGGAAGAGGGAGGCCAAAGGCAGCCATTATCTGGCAGATTTCACTCCTGGTTGCATGACTTTAGGAAAAGTCCTAATGGGTACCAACAATAGTAATTACCAACAGCCCTTGGTTTTTAACAGCAGGTCCTGTGGTGATGAGATTTTCTTCACCTAGGCAGATGGGCAGGAGAACCACCTCACCACCTAAACCAATTAATCTATCAGCACAAGGCAGCACAGGATAATAGCCAAAGCACAGCATGGCGTGTGCAGACGGGAGGAAAGACAGCAGTGTGTGTCGCCAAGCGTGGACAAACCGTGCAGGCCATGGAAACGCAAGCCCACAGGGCCCCCTCCCCCACCCCTTCCCATCCCGGCTGTGTTCATGTAG